CCGGTCGAGTGCCAGCCCTAATCAAGCAATCCCACCTCGAGGAGAATGAAGGTAAAAATATGCCCTTGGAATCCTGCTTGGAACGAACTAACATAATCCAAATTATAGCCTGGGCTGCCTACTGGTCTCCCATTTTCCAGTCACTGACCACTCAATGCATTAATCCATGTCGCGATATCCGTCACCATGCCATCTCCACGCTGCAAAGGTCTCTCCTGTCCGCCGAGCTGATCTCAAGTGATGACAACGAGTGGGCTAGTATCTTCGATGAAGTCTTGTTCCCGCTTGTGCTGCTCCTCTTGAAGCCCGAGGTCTACCACTCCGATCCAGTCGGCATGAGCGAGACTCGATTCCAGGCCGCAAATTTGGTCTGCAAGATCTTCCTACGCTTCCTTGACCAGCTTCCCAACAGGACGGGCATGCTTCCTCTCTGGCTCAAGATTCTGGACATCCTTGACCGTATGATGAACAGTGGCCAAGGGGATAGTCTGGTAAGTCTACCCTTTCCCTGCATTCCGAGCATGTCCCCACAGCAAATCTAACATACTTCCTTCAACCTCGCAGGAAGAGGCAGTCCCCGAAAGCTTGAAGAATATCCTCCTTGTAATGGCCGATGGAGGCTACCTAGTTCCGCCATCCCAAGACCCAAGCAAGGAGGAAATCTGGGTCGAGACCCGTAAGCGCCTAGGTCGCTTCCTACCTGATCTCTTCAATGAGGTCTTCCCTGAAGCTTCCCAGGAAGCCGGAAAGTCTCGCCCGGGCTCTGTCATCGCCTCTCCAGTTCAACCCACAGAGGCAGAGAGGACGAGCGAAGCAACTGCGTCTCCACAGGAAACCGGAGAAGAAAATGAGACCGCTGACGCTGAGGGCCAATCTGCTTCCGAGGAAGTTCGGGAAGGCACTTTATAGTGGAAATGCCAGTCCTTTTGGCCTTTACCGCGTGCTTAATCCTCGGCCATGATGTTTCTCTATCTTCTCAATTTTCTTTGCATTTACACCTAGCGTTGGGGTCTATGCTGTACCTTTCCATTACCTAGTCTCGTTTCTCTACCCCATCTCCCATGTAGATATAGTTCAATTTGATCATCGGTGCTGTATTCGAAAAGGCAAGCTATCACTCATATCCTTGATAATGTGACTGCTTTGTACGCAACAAATCAAGACATAATCGACGTTCTTGAAATTATGTCTGATCCGGGTGTTGATGGTTTCAAACATATATTGGCTGATGACAGATAAGTGGTGACACGAAAGTATCGTTCCATCGAACAACCTATACACACGTACACATACAGCTAAACAAGCGCCACATCAAATCAGGTATCCCAAGACAAGAAAGGAAAGCAGATAACGATAGAAACGCGACAAAGCCTTCGGTCCAGGCTCAAGAACAGAAGAACAGAAGGAAAATAAATCATGATTTAGAATGCAGTAGGTGGTTAGACCAATGAAAACGAGATTGACAAGACAATCCATCGCCTGCCCACGTCGGCGTGCCTGGGAATGAGGCAGCTGACGGAAACACGAAATGCGCTGCAGGTGAGGTGGAGATGCATCCACGCGCTCATTCTTATATTCAATGCCTTGCTGGCATTGAATTTCTCATTTGTACTGCGGGTTTTATGGGTTTTATGGTTTGGCTTTCATGTAAGGGCTGGTCGTCTCTCATTAAGAATCAGCCTCACTTTTTGTACTGGAGCATCATCAGGCCTACGCGGGACACGAGTTCTTGCTTCAACCGGAAAGAAGCGCCTGCATAGCCATTACGATACTAGTTAGCTCCAACAGGTTCATAGAACTTTGATTGATTGATTGAAAACAATCCATCACAAATGATACTTATACTAGGAGTTAAGAAGAATAGCAAGAGTATACACGTCGACAGATGAAACACAAAAGTAGATGATAGATCGAGAAAGAAATGATGAAAGGTGAAAAAAGTCATGAATGTCCGCTTTCTCTAGGGAGAAGATGGTTTGTATGAAGCCTTTCCCTCTCTAATCCTCGTCCATGTCAAGATCAATGGCGTCGGGGTTGGCAGTCGCGGCAGCCGGCGCTTTGTCTGCGGGAGGACGGTTACCACCCTCTGGACCGCTGCTGGCGGCAACGAATCCAACAGGGGCGCGAGCTTGTCGTTCCAACTCGGCCATGGCATCTGCGCGATCTTGGCCCTCTCCATCCTGTTCGCCTTCTTGGGGCTGTTGGCTTCTGGCAATAGCCTGGGATGCAATGAAGTTGACATCGGTACTGCAGGAAAGGTTAGCAAATGATGCAATTGTGCAGATGGGTTTAATATCACATACTTGTATTGAGCCTGGACACTTCTCTTGATGCGAAGCATCTCCTTGAAAGTATCTTCGTTTCCGTGCTGAACTTCGAAGGCCTCCCACTTCTGCCAGAAGGGAGCGTTTGTCCGGGGATCGCAGAATTGAGATGCGTGGCCGTAGATAGCGCGAGCACGATCGATCTCGCCAAGTCGTCGCTCCATCTCGGCGAACTTGAGACACATTTCCTTTGCCTCTTGGTCGGGCAAGGCGGCGATGGCGCGCTCATAGATGGGTCTTGCGGATGTGAGGCCAAAGTTGGAGGCTGACTTCGTGATGTAGAATTCGAACATCTCGAATCGGTCCTCGTCGGAGACTGCCCGAGTTGCGCGCTCGTAGATGCGCATGGCGTGTCGCGCAAGACCACGCTCTTCTTCCAAGTTTCCGTACATCAGGTAAAGGGACTTGGCGAACTTGGGCGGGCATTCTTCCAAGGCTTGCTCGAACAAATCTCGGAGACGCTCAATGCCGATCTTACGGTCCACGGCCTTGGTCAAGTACATGTTCCACAGCTCAAAGGCAACTGGATACATGAAGAGATCGAGTCCGCGCTCGTATACCTTGAAGGAATCTTCGAAGTACTTATTTTCCTCCAAAAGATTGGCATAGTTAACGACAGTTTGGGGTGTAGCGATGCGAAGCTCGAAGATCCGCTCGTAGACCTTTTTGGTTTCTTCTAGAGAAGAAACACTCTCGACGAGATCGACATAGAAACTCCACAATTTCCAGCTCTTGTGGATTCTTTGCTGTGGAGACAAGTTCTCGTCGAAGTAGTCCACGGTGGACTTTTTGGGTGCCTGTGTCGCCTTCGCCATGATGCTAACTGCCTTGTCGAAGTTCTCGGCGCGGAGCTCCATTTCGGCCCATTCGCACCAAGTCTCCGCCAACTCAGCCACGGACTTGAAGGGGACCTTGACAGCCTTGTCGAAGATGACTCTTGCAGTGTCCAAGTCTCCGCCATTCTCGTAGAGCTTGGCATAGTTGACCCAAAGCTCAGAGAACTTTCCATGGGCTTTCTTGGGACTGATTGCTGCAATAGCATTTGTGTAGGTCTGAACAGCTTCTTGCTTGTTATCGCCCCAAAGTGCCACCCTCTTCTCCCATTCAATGACGTTGTGAGGGTTCTGTCGTAACAGCACATCATTCACCAGGAATGGTCTGCGATCCATCAGCTGCTCGAAACGCATCATGCGGAGGTCAAGATCAAAGTCGGCTTCTTCGTCGAGTTTGCCCTTTTCAGACCGAACCGCTGCACCTTCCATCAAGTTGCCGATGATAGACTCCTCGAATTCGACATAAGAGTCAAAGATAAGAGTGAAATCACGAACAGTCATGACAGTAGTAATTCCCTCCTCGAAGACATCCCGCGCCTTCTCGAAGTTGCCCTTGGTGATCCAGTATGTGGCGAGACCGGCCCATAGCTTGCCTCTCTGGTCTGCGAAGCGTTCAACACCACTCCGGAGAATGGCATCGACATCGATTCCGACCTGTGGGCCAGTTTCGATTTTCTTAGCCTTGGAAACAAGCAAGTCGACCATCTCCGTCCATAGCTGGAATGGACTCTTGCCATTCTTGGACTGGAATCGCGGGTTGTCAAGAATCTCCATGAACTTTTTCACGGCTTCCGTATATTCGCCCATCTCAACGAGCAGCTCAATGTACTCTTCAGCATTCTCTGGGTGAATTTGCATGTACCGCGCAAAGATTTTGACGGCGGTTTGGCCAGAAGCAGACCGAGCGAAGCCCTTGTAAAGCCTCCAAATTCGGTTGTGCTGGGTGACTGGCAAAGCGCGCAAGGAACGGTCGAAGGTTCGTCGAGTCTGGGTGATAAGAGGTTGTTGGAGTAGGAAGGAGAGGTACATTTCCCAGATGCGCGGCATCTTGTTGAGCAGGATCAAAGCTCTTTCGTAGAGGGCATTCACCTTCTGGTATTCAGCGCGATATACCGTGGGGTTGCGCCCCTTCAAGTGTTTCGTACGGAACTCAAGATACTATCAAAGTCAGTAATTAGTGCCCAAAAATTATGAGTATTGTCGGGCTCACCATTTTCCAGAGCTTGTATGACCGCGGTAGCTGTCTACAAGCACGCTCCATGATCTGAGAAGGCATTTGTATTAGTATAGTCCATCGTAGGGCAGTCGTGGTGAGCGGCGACGTACAAATGCTTGCTCATAGAGCGTGCCATTTTGCTGCTTGAATTCGATGTAGGCGAGCCATGGCTTGACGCTGCCGGCGTCGCGAAGCAAATCTTGTTCGTAAACGATATCCTGGTCGGCCTGCTCGAGGAAATGGTGTCAGCATCGCTCCAATAGTCCAATGGGTCAAAATTACAATCAAATAGAGGTCCGGCCGGGCCGCAGACGGTCGATCCATCTCTGCGTGCTGCCGGTGCGATCTCGGGGGCAAGAGAGTCCCTGGCATTGCGCCACTCAGTCGAGCGGGATCCAATTACACGGTCTCAACGAGTCAGCATGGAGGTAGGGCGCATGAATAGGAGGCTGTTTGCTTTGCGCGTCTGGATGGAAAACCATTGTGACGGATGTGGTCGTATGCCGGTCACGTGGAGTGTCTGTATCTGGCGGGCGGTGAAGCTCTTTATCGGCGTCATATCAAGGTGGCCGCATTATGCCAGCCAAACAACAAGGTCTCTATTGTGCTTTGTGCTGAGATACAGTCATGTCGGGTGCCGTAGTAAGTCTACATGGGATTGAAGCTATTAATCATTCTATCTGACAGTTCTCTAGGGCCGAGAGGCAGTATTCCCGACTCGCCAGTCACTGGGGTTGATGAAGAGCAAGCTGAAAGGGGCGGAGATTGGACATAGTTTGCTGAAGAGAAAGAGTGAAGCTCTAACAAAGTGCGTGGTGTCTGTTCTTCCTGTTCGTCTGGCTGTACACTGACCCTCTATCTCTTTGAACAGACGTTTCCGAGGTATGCGGTACCGACACATTCCCGTTCCCCCGCCTTACATAGGCGCTAATAATCCTTCATAGAAATCACACGACGCATCGATGAGGCCAAGCAAAAGATGGGCCGGGTCATGCAAATTGCAGCCTTCTCCCTCGCTGAAGTGAGCTACGCCGTTGGAGGCGATATTGGATACCAGATCCAGGAGTCAGCCAAGCAGGCCCGTTTCCGCGTGCGAGCGAAGCACGAGAACGTCTCCGGTGTCTTCCTGCCGCAATTCGAGAGTTATACACAGGAAGGTGTCAATGACTTTGGTCTGACCGGTCTAGGCAAGGGTGGGCAGCAGATCCAGCGCTGCCGGGAGACATATGCACGGGCTGTGGAGACATTGGTGGAACTGGCAAGTTTACAGGTATGGATGGGACTATGCGGCGGATCGGGGTATCGCTCACTAGTTGCGACAGACTGCCTTCTTGATTCTGGATGAGGTTATCAAGGTTGTCAACCGACGAGGTAAGTTACATGACTATGAACCGTCACGGCTTATAGACTAATAATTATCCTATAGTAAATGCGATGTAAGATCCGAATCATTTTAGATTCGAGTTGGCCTGCTGTTTGAATACTAATCTATCACAGCGAGCATGTTATCATTCCCCGAACTGAGAATACCATCAAATGTTTGTACCATCTACTTCGCTTGGAATTCACTGGCTAACTTCCAAAGACATCAACTCCGAACTCGACGAACTGGACCGTGAAGAGTTCTATCGTCTCAAGAAGGTCTCGAACAAGAAGCAGAGGGACGTCGCTGCTGCAGATGCAGAGATCCTTGCAGCTCGTGAAAAGGCAGCGGCGCAGCAGGCAACAAACCCGGAAAAGAATGCCACGGTTCAAGGAGAGGAAGAGACGACGGATGTTCTAGGAGAGCAGGAAGACAACGATGTCATTTTCTAGGCCCTGGGCTTCCTTCTATCATGCTTCTTACAGATACTCTTTCCTCGTTGGCTTCCATCTTTTTCAGCAGTGACATGTACCACTTTGTACGCCCATACTCTTTAGCCCTTTGGCTTCCTGTTCATCTACTTAGGAAGTATTGAATTCCATGTGATACACAACCTTGATGCATTGCGACAGCAAGAGAGTCGGGTTAATGCTCTCCGTATTCCTAATACACATGTTTAAGACGAGACCTTCCAAACGCCAAAAAGAACGAGACAGGGATATTTTGTAGGATGCAACATGCCAGCAACTATTGACGCTGGTAAGTGACGCGAATCGGCTTGCCCTGCTCGCCCATGGGCATGCCAGACGTAGCCTCCTTCGCGCTGATTGCTCCAGCCTCGGCCTCGTACTCGACGAAAGCAATTCCCTTTCGGCCGGGCACCAGTCTGACTTCCTGGAAACCTTCGAAACGACCAAAGACAGCAGACAGGCCCTCCTCGCTCGCCTCGTCGGGCAACTCCCGCAAGAACAGAATCTTGTTGGGTGGTAGGTACTCGTCCGGAACGACTGCAGTCGTGGCACCAGAGGTCGGCTTGAGACCAGCTCCCTTGGTTGTCTTGGCTGGGCGTGTGGATTCGGCGGCGGCGGCGGGACGCTTGAGTTTCTTCTGTGCTTCGAGCGCTTCTTGGGCTTGTTTCCGCTCTGTAGAACACTCGTAGTTAGCATCGGCTTGGACATTCCATACCGATCGGGAAGTCCATCTAACACACCTTTCTCGGCCATGCGCCTGCGCTTGTGAGCCTCTAGCTCCTCGCTGCCGCCTTCGCGCTGGACCGTCGCATCACTTCTTGTCTTTGCGTAGTCCAACACCATAGGCTTATCGAAGATGTCGAAGCCATTGATTTCCTCAATAGCGCGGGTAGCGGAGTCGACGTTGTCAAAGACGACAAAGGCCTGGCCCTTTGCCTTGAGGTTCCTCTTTGCGATGATTTCTAGAATGGTGCCATATTCCGAGAAAATCTCCTCCAAAGCCTCTTTCAACTGCTCAAGCTTGATTCTCTCATCTAGATTCTTGACCTAATCATTTTGCAAAGCCGTCAGTATGTGAGTGCTCAAGCGGAACCGGAATGCTGATTGGCAGGGGAGGGACAAGATGCGCACATATACTCTGCGAACAGTGGTTAGCATGGATATTGGCAGATGATGAATGAGTACTTACGTTGAATTGGCAGGAATGCCAGCTGCAGAGACGGCTGCCATTGTTGCGACAGTTGGAGCTCTGGGAGACGGCGAGGTTGAGCTTCCGCTTGACCAGAGGCGGGCAGATGAGGTTGAGGGGAAGTTTTGGAACATAATGCACTAGTGTGGTATTCTTTCACACCAGTAGCATCATTGGTCTAGTGGTAGAATTCGTCGTTGCCATCGACGAGGCCCGTGTTCGATTCACGGATGATGCACATTTCTTTTTTTCCCCTTTTATTTCTCTCTCCCAGTTTCTTATTTTTTTACTATGCTTTGTTGCAAATCTTGTAAAATACATTTATTCCGGTATATAAATTCATACATCGCTAATTGTCAAATTCGTAGATCAATATCTCCCGCATTCACATTCTATACCCTCTCCAACTTCCGTGTCAAGGATTGGCGGTCATCAATCCTGTCAAACGCTCCAAGTGGAGGTTGTTTAATCACGCCCTCGGTACCCTTCGATCGTGAATGACGGAGAGATTTCGTTGAGGATTGCCCCCGTACCTCACTTGCAGAAGACCGATGAACAAGAGGACGAATGGATGGTAGGCAGGAAGCAATTATAGCGACAGAAGCTTCCGTGAGACTCCATATGAGTGCAGTCGAAATAGTATCCAACAGATCACGATATCCATCAGAAGTCCCTGGAGAATTTTTTAGTAATCCATCACTCTTGCGGGCTGATATGAAGCATACCGTAGGTGAAGTATAACAATACCACCATTCGCGTGATACCAATAGCAGTTGATAGCGAGCCTAGTAAGAACACCAGAAGCACACTGATCTTCTTGAAGATTGTGAGCTGCAGCTGCCATACCAATGGTACCGGGAACAGCAAGAGAAGTATATCAGTGACCACATCTGTGATGGCATAGCCAGACCACGAGATCTCGGCTTGGATGCAGTGTCGTCGATGCGACCAAGCAAAATACTGCAGACTCCAGTTTCGAACATGGCACTGAAGGGCTGAAGTGATGAGAAACGATATCGCTAATAGTGCACATATAGCGATCATAGTAAGTGAAGCGACATTGAATGTCTTGCCCCGAAAGATTCGCCGGTATGCCAGCAATACGCTGGTTTTAATAACCCCAAACGCAACTTTCTCAACAATGCTATACCCCAGAACGATCTGGCTCGGATGCATCAGCATTTCACTGCAACCGGAGGCTTTGGTTGCGTTCAAAACAGACCTGTTCAACAATCTCATCCCGAGGTCCTCGCATGATAGTATTGTGATGGGGCGCATTAGGACCCGCCGGCTCCGAGTGAGCCCCCAAAGCCCCTAGGGCAGCACCTATGATATCGTCATTCATACAGTCGCTATGGAATATGGCTCAATGAAGAGAAGGGCCAGTCCGGGCTTACCGGAGATATTTGTGATCCCTAGTCCCCATACCAGCACCATGGACACTAGAACCATCCAGTCATCCTCCTTAAGTGAGACGCCTAGCTTGCGCCTTGAATAGAACCGTGATCCCACAGCGATTGAGGCGAGGGCGGGCAGAAGCACTCCCACAGCTATCACGCTATGAGGTTGAAGGTCAAGTAGCATATTGGGAAAGTGGTTGCATGATAACAATCAACAAAGTAGTGGCGGTTGCCCAGCAGTGCAATATGCCAGTTTAAGATGCGAAGATCATCCGCTTTATCCAACGTCAGCATGTACGATCTGCACCAGCGGTGTTTACATGAAGTCATGCATAAGTACAGCATGCCGGGGCCATTGGGGGCCGTTCTCGGGCCGCTTACATGTACCTTGGACTATGCATTTGCTAGAAACAGGATTGAGAAGCATTTTTCGAGAGTGATTTTGGGCGCATTGGGGGTTCTTCATATGCAGTTATAGGATCCTATATAGTCGGGTAGGGTTGTGTACCATTTAATATGATTAACTTTAAGCAAACCACTGCAATAGAATACATGGAAGGCAGAGATAAGCTAAAAAGCCGCTAACAAATGAGCCATGTCGAATGTCTCAGGGGTGTGTGGCATTAGACCAACTATATGGACACCGCGTGGGTCGCACTTGGTTAGCCTCTTCAGCAGGGACCAAGGACTTTGCAGGCGATCAGCAAGGCTCGCTTTTCAATTCTCTCGAATCCAGCCAATAATTTAACCCGCTCATGTCAGATTCCAAGAGCTTGAAGTGACGGTGTATCCAACCCCCATCATAGGGGTCACGTTTGGACTGAGGAACATTGTTCTCGATCGGGGAACTCGTCTAAGAACCGAGATCTCGTTGGCTAGTTGTTTCCCCAGTTTACTGGGGCTCTGTTCTCTGCCTTAATACTCCGTGCTTCCATATAAATCAGCAGACATATTCCTCAAGCAGCATCCCCTCCACACACTTAGCCAAACCACCAACCACCAACCACCGCGATGCAGATCGCATTCCTCTTGTCCCTTACAGCCCTGGCCAGCACCAGCACCGCCCAATCGGCAGGCTGCAACAAAAATATACCCTCCAAATTCCCAACCCCAGGAACAAGCACGAGCCTCAAACTCCCAGGCTCAGACCGCCAATACCGACTGTACATCCCAGCTAACTATGAGAAAAACACGCCAACAGCACTCTACTTCTCCTTCCACGGCGCCAGCCGCGACATGCTAGAAGAGGAAGACCTCTCACAATTCTCCAACCCAAAATTTAACCCCAACGGAATCGCCATCTACCCAGACAGCAAGAATGGATACTGGCTCTCCAATCCAAACGCAGACACATCACGCCCCAATGATCTGGATTTCACAAACGATCTCCTAGCCCACATGGAGGAGAAACTCTGCATCGACAGGAGCAGAGTTTACTCAGCGGGCAAGTCAAATGGCGGTGGTTTCACCGGCGTAATCGCCTGCAATGCCACCGTCGGAAGCCGATTTGCTGCCTTCGCAGCTGTCAGTGGTGCATGGTATGACACCGACGACATTGAAGGCGTGGGTCCTTGTGCTCCCGCTGAGCGTGAGGAGGGATATCCTTTCCTCGAGTTCCATGGCACGACGGATACCACTGCGCCTATTGATGGGAACACGAAAAGTATTCCAAAATTGCCGGTCATTGATATCCTGCAAGGCTGGGCGAATCGGAATGGTTGTGCTGAGAAGGCTCGGTGGGCTAGGAATGAGACGGCGTTTGAGGAACCGTTTGTTAAGCATGCTTCTTGGGATTGTGGTGGCAAGTCAGGTATTGTGCAGCACTATCGTGAGGGCGAGAATGGCCATTGCTGGCCTAGCACTGTTGGCAATGATGACTATGACCGTCTGGCTAGTCAGTGTCCACTCGGCAAGTATGTGTTCAATGCTACTGAGTACATTTTTGACTTCTTTGCTGGGTATCGTCTGGGTGCGTGAGTGTATTTCTATCTCATTATTACTACTAGGCTGTTGGTTGCTGATTATTCTTTGTGTCGACAGTGAGTAAAGACGATCTGTGAGAAGAGATGGCGGTGTACAATGGATTGGGGATATATCCTCGAATATATATCTGTTTATGTGTCTATGCATAATATGACACTAGAATCAAACCACGAATACTTTTGATTTTCAAAGGTCTATTCAAAAGGCAGCCTCAGACGACCTCCTACTTGACAAAAGCCTATTTCCAATATTCCTTGAGTAAGTGTCCACATCCACGCTCGTCGTCACATCAATACCAGCCATATGAATTTCGTAGTCAGCAGGAGAACTCTTGGCCGATGCCAACGAGGGTCCATAATAGCTGGAAAGCTGATGTGTGTCGTCATCATCGGTATTTTTGCGAGTAGATTTCCGAGAGGTAAAGCTCAGCAGGGGTCGAAGGGAGGGTAGACAAGCTTTGGGTTTCCGTCAGCATCGCTTATTGTCACAAGAAAAGAAAAAGAAACTCACCAGACACAATGCCAATATTAGTCTCCACGGCTGTCCACGTGGAAGGCCCAATGAAGACCCACGTAACATCTAGGGATGGGGTTTTATATGATTCCAACATGACCACCAATCGGACAATTGACATGATGCAAATACTGCTCCAATCAGCATTTATCCGAATCGGCACACAATGATGGATACATACAAGCCTCCCATTGCAAAAGCACAAGTTAGCGCAATCTTTGCGACTGTGTTTCGCTGAATCCTCCACACATACGGTAAGGGCAGAATCAACAAGGCAAAGTCTGTGATGATATTCGGGACTGCGTTCCCGATGAAAAAGCTGTTGATGTCCACACCACAGTGCGATTTAATGGAGTAATCCCAAAGACCCTGGATAGGCACGCATTGGAAGACGGTTGTCAGGATCTAGGGTCATTAGACAGACTGTTAGATTAGATCACCCCGGGGGAGAGAGCAGGATTCGCGTACCACACCAAGTCCCCATGCCGTGATCACGGATGCCAGGATATAGATTGGAATACGCATACTAGAGCTGCTGAAGATACGCCAGAAGAATAGCAAGATTGAGTACTTCGTCAAGCAGAGAGAGAGGGTATATAAAATCTCGCAGACAAATAGGTTGATATAGAAGTGCGATACACCCAGTATCCCCCATTTATAGATATGGGTGCCGACACCCCGATGGATCCAGATTATCATGTCGACGAAGTTACCCGTAGCCATAGCCTATCGATGATCAGCATTAGGGTCACAAAAAACAAGATCCCTGCTATGTAAATACTCAGGTGAAAAATGAGAATCCATACCAGGGCAACACAGATGATATAGTCATCCCACCATAATCCAGCTTTGGAGACACCCAATCGACAGTACAGCCGCAGTGCTACGGCGATTACCGCTAGAACGTAGGTGGAGGAATAAGTCGCATACAGCCGTGACTGATGGGACGCATTGAGATCTATGCCGGGTGGAGGGGTGAGATCCATAGTACAGAATTAAGGCTCATGTAGAACAAAGAAACCATGGAGGGCTGGCTTTCAATATAACCTATTGCTCAGTTGAAAGCCCCCAAACCAGGATACTTAATTGCGCCGGCTGATATTCATCTTCCGGCCCCAGACCCATGCCAAATCCTTGTCGCCATGTCCAATCATGACTATCGCGACTTAGCCTGATCTATGCATGCACTATATGCACGGCGGGCGAACCCCTGCAGGTGGAAATGAAACAGCTCGGCAGCGATAGTGGTAGCGTCGCTATTGTCGAGTAGTGTAGTGTATATTAATGTATATTGGGCTTGGATCTGCTGGTCCTCCGTTCCTCAGCACATTTATACTCTCTCAAACATCATGACCACTATCCTATTTGTACCCGGTGCTTGGCTCACTCCGCTATTTTATCAGCCTTTCCTCCAAGCTCTCACGGGAGCCGGCTACGATGTCCGCTACGCCGGCTGTCCCTCTTTAGATCCCAAGGAACCATCCGGTATCGATTGTCAAGCAGATACCGATGCCATTGGTGCCATTCTCCGCCCCCTAGTGGAAGATGAGGGCAAAGATGTCCTGCTCTTTATGCATTCTTACGCTGGCATGCCTGGAGCGGCGGCGGCTACCGGACTAGCCAAGTCACAGCGGACTCAAGAGGGCAAAGCGGGTGGCGTTGTCGGATTGTTGTTTCTGGGGGCGTTCGTCGTTGCCGAAGGCTCCAGCTGTGCTGGCCTGATGGGTGGAAACCTGCCCCCTTGGATTTTACTCGATCAGGTAGGACCCTTCAACTGCTGGGCGTAATCCTTGTCTGACTCGTTCTAGCCATCGGCGAACCTCAATATCGCAGATGACTCTATCGCCAACTTTGCCGCGGATGTTGACTCGGCGTTGGCCCAGTCCATGGTGACAGAGCTGAAACCGCATGCCACCTTGCCCTTCACTTCGCCCCAGCCACATCCGGCCTGGGCGGACGAGGCTTTCCAGGGGCGGTTGGCCTTTATTGTCACGACCGACGATCGTGCGGTGCCGAAAGAGGCGCAATTCGGTATGATGGCCGCCACGCAGAAACCGTGGATTGTCAAGGAAATCGCGTCTAGTCACTGCGGACCATTCCTGAATCAGATTGATGAGACCCTGCGACTGACACGGGAGATTATTGGTCAATTTCCATAGAGTTTGAAACACAAACCTATATGGGGAATTGCAAGGAAGAAAATATGCGGACCTTGACGGCCAAAGCTTGATAGAATGTAGATCAATGTAGATCAAGTAGAGTCAAGACACTCGGATAATTACAAAGTTAACACCCGTATGATCCTCGGGCATCCATTCCAAATCCTCATCCTGCATACCCCAATCCTGCAGCGGAACCTCACTAACATCAATCGTCCACTGCGTCTCCGTCTGCTGCTGAACCAGCTCCCAGAGCCTCAAGAACGAATCCCGATTATGATAAAACATCATCCCCCAAGGACGAATATATGCGCGGGCTCTTTTACGCCCCTGCTGAAACCCCACCAACATAGTCCCAGGCTTAGAAAGACCAACAATCTTCTTACAGGCCGCCAACTGGCTGTCCCAGTCAAACAAATGCAAAAACTGAGAAGCCAGCACCAAATCCACCTGGCCACGCAGCAGCTCAAACCGCTCATCCTCGATACTCCCCTGTAGGAAGTCAGCGTGAATGAATGTGGCCCGCATACGAGAATGGTCACGAAAGAGCTCATAACCTAGCCCCCAAAGGTGGGCCTCGCGATCCAGCGCCCACATACGCTCTGTGGAAACTCCGTGCGTAGCGAGTAAACGCAGATCCTGACCGAGTCCACATCCCAAATCGAGGATGGCGGCTTGAGGCCGCTTGGCGGTTTCCAGGATAGCCTGGAATCGGGGGAAAGCTGCTATTCCTGGTAGGAGAAACATCCATAGGCCAATGCATGGGTATTCACCTAGCGGCCATGCTTGATCGCGCTGGATCCTTGTTAGGATGTAGTGGGGAGTATGGGAGGCGGGACAAGATGTTGAGAAACTTACGATGCGATGTAGATGCGGTGTCAATTCTTCGTCCGTTAGTCCGCTCCATTGGCGAAAGATTAATTTGATGCTGGGCTTCAGTCGGGGGCCAATTTCTGACTTGAACCAGACTGAGGTATCGATTGTGGACATGGCCCCTGGACATAAAGAGTCTTACCGGTGTCTTCTTTAAGCTTTACAGGATTGTTAGTGCGTGCAATTTAGCGCTGTTGGTTCGGTTAAGATATACATGTAGCTACTGTAATACACCGGGCGTTGGATTTTGAGTTTCTTAGTAGATGATATCTTATATTAAGGGTCCCTTGAACGGAAATATAGAAATATCAAGACCAACTGACTTTAATAGTATGTAGCAAGTATAGTGCTGTCTCATCCTTAAAGTTTCGCTAAACTGCAATACATCCCTGCATTTGGCCCCCAAGTTACATTGGATTTACAGACTGGCCACTGGATTAGACAGTAAATGATCAATCCCCACCACATCACAGCCGTAGACAGCCTGCAGATAAGCAAAGCTTTGCTCTTCGGGCAGATGTAAGCCCGCCGTACACTCACGGACGACGGTGGTCCACAACCCGCGCTGGAACGCGCCTCGGACCGCAGCGTCCACACAGATATCCACAAAAAGGCCCACCACGACAAAATGCTCGAATCTGGAGGCGAAACGTTCAAAGTCCGGCGCCAGGAACGGGTCGAAATAGGCCTTCTTGTCGAAGATGCGATCATATGCCTCCACCTGCACGCAACTGGCAATTTCCGCCCCCCGACTGCCTTCCAGACACCAGGCCCGGCGACCCTGGAGTTGGTTGCGACGTCGCCACGTTTGCGGTTGATACTTTTCATCGCCTAGGAATCGGACCCACGCGATCTGCATTCCCTCGCGGCGGGCCCAGTCTACGACCCGCGGCATGTTTTCCTTGATTCGCGCCATCATCCGCGGCGACTTGTAGTCAGTCATAAAGTCGTTTTGGAAATCCATCACCACTAGACATGACTTGCTACCGCTGGGCGGGGACGCTAGAAGACCCTCGACCCCGAGTGGCTCACTCGCACCAACACCCACGGGGAGATTGGGAACGATCGTTTGCAAGACGGCGTCAACGAAGGTTTCTGTGTTGGTCGTGCCGCCCTGGTCCGGGGTCCGGATGTGCTTCGCGTGCAGCTCATCCAGAGTGGTATCCATTTGGCGTTGGACCCCACTGCATCCCCCTTGTCTCTCCAACAATGTTGCGGCCGCGCGAATGGTGGCCGAAGGATTCACCACACCCTTTCCGGTAAGGTCGTCGGCCGATCCATGCGCCGTTTGGTACTCGCTTAGGCCATTGTTCACAGTGGGGGAGAGATAGACGTTCTCGGCGCAAGCAGACTCCTGAGCCCCAAACCCAAACCGATCCAGCAGGATGGTTTGCATAATGTCTGCGTATTCATTGGCGCAAATCATCAGCTGGCGACCCTGCATGCCGAAGGCCAGTAGGTTGCGGTTCATCGTGTCTCCCTGTACGAAGTGGATGCCAACTCCGAAGGATCCCTCCCATTCTTGGGCCCAGGAGTAAAACAGGCCGTCGAACAGGTGAAACTTGTACACTAGCGTAACCGTGTTGATGTCGACTTCGGGCCCCCAAACTTCATGCGCACGGGCAAGGGAGAAGGCGAGGAGCTGTTCGAAGACTCCTTTGCTAAAGTACGTTGATCGTGTCACCGTCTCCCGGGTTGAGTCGAATTTGTTCAGTCCGGAGTAGCATCCCTGCGCCTCATCCCGCATCAGGAGGATTGACGTCGAAGGATTCAATTCGAAATGCTCAACTTTGACAGCTTGCAGCCGGTCTCGAACCATATAAAGCGCTTGTGCGCTGATGGACGTTCGAAACACTGCACATGCCCCAAGGCTGGATACTTCGCGACAGAAGCCTTCATAATGATCTGCATCGGTGAGGGTTTCCTCAGTCACCACATCCGTATCATTGATGGCTAGGAGCGAGGAGTAGGAATGATAGGTTCGAGAGGACTTGATGAATTTGATTTCCAAGTCGTACGGGGCTGCCAGTGCTAGGATGACTTTCTCGAAGACGGCCAGCAATTCGGGTCCAGTGCCATTGCCCACGGCCAGAGCAACAAGAATAGAACGCATCGTGTCTTGGTGGTCGGAAAAAGAGAAGAGATTCAAAGGTTTTATCGATTTTTATATACTTCTATAGACCCTTGTCCGGCACATTCTGGTGGACACAGCTGCAGGCCCCATCTCGCAGGGTGTCGCGATGCCAAATGGCACACCCCTGATTGACCAGCTAATAAGCGCTAGAAAAGCATTCTGGTGTCTGACTTGCATAGCACGCGATTGGCCTCATTTATTTCCAGGTTCAAACGGCCCCCTTTCTCGGTCTTTGAGGGAGTATACACCCGCCCAAGCCTGCTGAACAGGTTCGTCCTCACCCCGACTTCTCACACTCTCTGTCTTTCCCCTTAGTCGTCCTCTCAACCATGTCCTCAACAATCGAATCCGGCTTTCACCTCGCAGACAGCAAAGGCTACATGCTAGGCCGAGGACACGCCGCCGCCTGCCGCCTTAATCTCCAATTCTACCTCTGGAAAGAATCCCTCCATTTCAACATCCATCCCTCCATCCCAATCCCCCCAATCCCAGCAATCGCAGACATAGGCACCGGAACCGCCATCTGGTTACTAGACGTAGCCCACGGCCTCCCAACCGCCATCCTAGACGGCTACGACATCGACCTATCCAACACTCCACCGACCCAATGGCTCCCCAAAACCCTCACCCTACACAACTGGAACCTCTTCGGCCCAGTCCCAGACCACCTAATAGGCAAATACGACATCGTCCATCTCCGTCTCCTCATCCTTGTCGTGCAAAACAGCGATCCAGTCCCTATCATCCGGAACGTATCCCGCCTGCTGAAACCAGGCGGATATATCCAGTGGGATGATCTCAATTACCCCGATACTCATATTGTGAAGACAGACCCGGGTCGGGAAACGCCGGCTTTTGACCGGCTGCGCCAATTCGTGTACTCTAATGGCCGCCATGATTGGGTGTTGGATTTGCCTACACTGATGGAGCAGAATGGGTTTGAGGGGGCGCGGCTGGATCATTTTCGGGATCGGGTCGATCTTGTTACTGCGAATGGGGAGCAGCATTTGGCTACTATGGAGGAGTTTGTTTTGTCCTTAGAGAAGAAGGGGATGGTGGAGGATGCGGGTAACATTAGGTGTTTGCTGAGGGATGTTATTGTAGAGGCTGTGCAGGGTGTTGCCTTGTCAATGCCGCGGGCTGTGGTTGTTGCGCGGAAGGTATAGTATAGTGGGTGATAGATACGATATCCTTTCTTTATTCGATATACTCTTTGATGGGTTTAGCCCTGTAAGTGCCTTAGATCAAGCGACGTTACTAGGGAAGACGGGATATTTATCAAGTATCATGTATTCTATGCGATGTGTACTACATTTCAAGACTGTGGTTTACAATCAACTGTATAGCAATGTCATGTTCCCATGCCCAATCGGTTTCATTATTCGTTTGTTTCAACATTGTTGAGCAAGCACAGTCCGCAGACTCTCAACCTGCGGCTTTAATTCCTTAGGCGGAGCAGACCAGTCCTCGAACTTGGTAATTTCGGTGTCTGTCACCACAAATAGATACTCTGCAGCGCTTGACCGGATCTAATAGATAAACAAGTAGATTAGCACATCAACGGTCAAAAGAAAAAGAGTGTGGGCGTAAATACTCTCGGGAAAGGATGCAAGAGCAGTCCTGTCATCTTCTTCAGAACATCAGCTCGCATGGAGTCGATTCTTGTTAATGCGGCATATGCTTTGACGGCGGCTTCCAATCGAGCCATATTGGCCGATCTCAGATGTGATTTTTGGATAAGGATAAAGAGTTTGCGGAAACTGAATTAGACGCTGTATGTTAGAAAATGATGCTAAAACATAAGCAACGCGGAATTGGGGGACGGACCTTGGATCTGTGCCTTCCGGGATAACGGGGATATAGCTATCAATCAGGAAAGCGACGAATTCAACAGCAGGAATGGCAAAGCGATCATCTTGGATATTGTCACTCAACACCTTAGAGATATCTTGTAAGAAAGCCATCAGGATTTCCCGTCGCTGCGGCTGTAATTGATTGTTAAGGAACTGGGTCAAAGCCGAGCGAGATGCTCGAACAAGACCTTCCGCTCCTAAGATAGCAGAGGTAGCAAATCCCTGAAGTAGTGGAAGACGAATCCAGTCAATGCTCTGCAAGGTTAGTAGCTGGGCAAAGTACTCGTGCGACGAAACATGACTGAAGTGCTCGAATTTCCTATATTCAGTCAGTAAATATTTCCAAATATGATCAGGTTTGGTGGATTACGTTTCAAGCGGAGGCAGATCTTCCGCTGACTCCCAGAATACTTGTAGACAAAGCCATGCGTGGAGTCTGACCTTGTCCAGCTTCTCGGATGCAAGACGGCAAAGATTACCGACTAGATCCTGGACTAAGGCGGAGTGTGATTTCGAGCATGGTTCTCTTTGTAAAAAGATACCTGCTGCTTGGATTGCTTCCACTCGGATGAGAGATCCAATGTCACCTCTTCTGTCTGTGGTGTAATCATTCAAGAACTCAATGAAGTTGGCCGCAACTGTATCAATCGTACCTAAGATGTTGTTAGTTCTGGCGACCAAAATGCTAACATTAGGGAGATTAGCATACCCATGTATGGCAGGATGCTAGTAGCCAGGCATTTTACAGCAGCAACTCTTTTTTCAATGAGTTCTTCTTTCCCGGTGTAACGAAGTAGCTCAGTGACAATGTTTTCCTGGAGATCACTTTGTCCTTCTAGCTGCTTGAACACCGCACCGAGAGCCAAGATTTGGCCGCGACCAGTTGGCATTCTCCACGACGTATGAAGATGGGAGAACCAAATTCGGACCGTTTCTTCTTGCTTCGCTGTCGACAGAAGAGGGAATAATTGCGACAAGGCAGTTGAAGAAGTTTCGATAGAGGTATCATCACTCCGGGATGCGCAAATGGATAAGATTTGGAGTGTGCGCTCGAGAAGCTCTTCGGAAGGATGCGCTAGATCGATCGTGATGATAGATCGAGATAGCGAGGAAATTAAGCAGGATGATGCCTCTGCTGTCAGCTCAGGACGTGATGTCTGGAATGTCAAGTCGTCGTCTGTAGGACCTGCTGAAGAACCGAAGATCTCCCAGGCATTGGCCACTCGAGAGGAGACCTCCCTAGCTTCCTGGGTATCTCTTGTCTCAACTGAAGTCTCCCAGTGAGAAGTGAACGCATCCACTGTAGCAGCAATCGATAACAGACATCCATGCCGTGACTCAACATCACTGCGAGATGTGCTAGAGAACCTCTGCAGTAAACGATCCAGGACTAACTGCATGGTCCTGTATACGTCCTGGGTGCTCAGTGTTCCAATAGATTTCGCCGCGTGTCTTCTAGATTCGGCATCTGGCGAGCCAATGCCTCTCCAGCCCATCAAAGTATCCAGCAGAGGACTCCAGTAGATCTGATTTAGAGACGCCGTTGCTTTCGCAACATCTATCATAGCGCGAGAGCGACGAGCGACAGCATGATAGTCGACCACCTGCACGAGCGAAATGCCTTCAGCGATGGTATTGGGATGACGGCCAATCAATTCCTGCAAAGCAGCAGAAGAGCCGCGACGGATGTTCCCAGATGGATCAACACAAGCCGCACAGACAAGTTCCACAGCCAGTTTCTGCAGGACATCAACCTCTTTCTGACCGGTTGGTGAAGCCACTACCTGTGATTGAAGTGCCAGGAGCTCTGGAGTCGTATACTTCCGGGACAAAGCCCATATACCAAAGCAGGCAGCGTCTCGCACACCAGTGCCCACAGAACTGCCAGTAGATGACCTCTGCTCAAAGCATAAACCAGATACAAGGGACTGGAGAATCTCTGGAAGCTGGTGAATTGGAGGTGCGCGGCGGAAAAGCAAATGTGATAATGTCAAGATTAGTCCTTGCCATCGTTGGGCATCAACAGCGCTGAGATTGCGTTTGAGAGTGCGAGTTCCAAATTTCCGGGCCTCAAACGGTGTCATCAGAGAACCATCGTCCTTCTCATAGAGGATGTTTTCTCCAAGCGATCCAATGACCGCCTCGATGACTTCAGTCCCCATTTCTGGATCCAATTTCAAGGTGACGATGCTGAGTGCTTTACTCGCCGCAAATCGCACAGGAGTATCTTTGTCGGCCAGGGAGACCAAGAAATGATCAATCGCGTCTTCCAAAACGGTAGATAACACATCATCCGTGATGCGGCCATCCCCTCGCTCACTCAGAGACAAAGCCATGACTGTGGTATTGCGAAGAATCTTGACGACAATCTTCCTAGCCAAAGCCGAAGCTTGGATAGTTGCGGATACCGCAGACTGTCCTTGGGATACACTGAGGGTCTCATGGAAGATATAATTTATCAAAGGAGCAAGATCGTCCACATGGCCAGATGCGCCCAGACGGGCAATGAACGTGAGAACACCAATGCAAGCATAGACAGAGGGCGGATCAACCCCATCCGAGGGCTGGATAGTCGCAAACGCCCACTTAGTGAGGCCTGTGAGAACCCCAAGTGCTTGCATATCTCCACGCAACGACAATCGAGCCAAGAGAGCTGTCGCAGCCTCTCGTTCTTTACCGGATGCACTGATATAATGCAACGACAAAGAAAGAAGAGATCTCGCAACCATCGGCGTCTCAGCAGGCAACCAGGTCAGACGTTGTAAATTGTCATAAGGCACGGGGATATCATCCGACGACAGCGAAGAAAGGTCAAACGGAGCAAGCAGAAGATGAGAAAGCCAGACGAGCATCATATAACGCTCTTCCCAAATCAACCGTTGCGGCTCAGAGTCAATAACTACCTCAGTGTCTGACAGCTGCACAGAATCCCATTCAATAAAAGCCCGCAGCATCGACTCAAGGTATTTAGGCTCATTGTTTAGAAACCTGCTGATAACCTTGATGCCGCGAACTTTGCAGAATGTATACAAGAGTCTGCAGATAGCTCTTGGGAGCGGATGCAGAGCTCCAACCTGAGATCGACGCGGTGAAGTAGTGCCATACTGGGCGCGATGCTTTATCAGGTATGCCAGGAAAGCGTCCACTAAAGGGGACAGCAGCTTCTGCAAGTGAGGATCTAGGAGTTGAGGCCACTCTTGGAACGGTTCAAGCTGTAAGTAGTATCAGTAAATATGTATCAGGGACTGATAGAGGTTTATTTCGTGGTTGGAGGATCTTACAAGGCTGACAAGTTTCTCTGTCTTGGTTACTTGCACCCATTTGCGTGGGGTGCGGAGGGGTGTTCCATTTTGTGATCTCCACAATAGCGAAGGGAGCTTTGCTGAAAACTCGGCCACTAAATCGCCGGATGCACGTTGGAGCTTTACGTCTCGATCCTCGGCGGCATCCATCGTGGGCGATTGGAGTGATGCAGCTGTTTCTGAAGAGTTGCGTGTTGGGAATAGCGTCAACAGTGGGCCGGGTCACATGACAATGTCAAGTATACAAACAGCGCAGTTTAGGAATAATGTTGACATTTGAATTCATTGTATAAAACATTTGCCCTCTAGATACTTTTAATTGGGGAATTCCAGGGCTACGTTATCATGATCACATCCCTTATGCCCATGCTTAATACTTGTCATTCCATACGCTCCACCGCTTCTCTGGATGCCTTGGCCCAGTCAGCCATCTTCCAGAAGTAAAAGCCTTCGATCGCCACAATGATTGACTGTCCAATTAAAATGCCACACCAGAGCCCAAAGATGCTCCAATTCAACCAAAATGCCAAAACGATGCCCAATGGCAATCCCACGAGGTAATAGATTGACAGTTGCACATAGCTGCCCAAATCCGGGCGCCCAACAGCTCGCAGCAAGCTGTTGAGAGAGGTAGCCACAGCATCCGGAATTTGAACCACAGCACCCAATGGAAGCAGGAAATAAATCATATGCCAAACTTCGCCAATATCACTGAACAGGCCAGGGATCACTCCTCGCAGGGCGAGGACCACAAGCATATTCGCCAAACCAGCACCAAGGGAGGCGAAAACCAAAACTTGAGCTGCTCTTGTCGCACGGTCGATAAGACCTGATCCTACCAGATAAGCAATATGCGTACCACCAGCGATAGCGATGGAAAAGGAGATTTGGAATGCGAAGTCGGATAGTGTTGAGAGGGCAGCTTGGGCAGCGAGTTCAGTTGGGCCCAGTTGAGAGGAGATGAGAGTCATGAATTCCCAAGCGAGGACCTCAGCTTCAATCATCAACCAACTTGGGATGGCGAGGTTCAACATTGAACCCCAGCCGCGCCAGACTTCGGCAGAGATAGGGTTCCAGCACTCTGATCCTTTAATGAAGACGACGTAGAGTGCGAGGAAGACTGGAAGAAGACTGTTAGCGATAGCCACTGCAATTGGGGCGCCGATGAAACCCCATTGGAGTTTCTGGGGAAGAACAGTTAGTAAAAGGACTAGAGGAGTAATATAGCACCACGTACCCAGACAAATAGCCAGCCCATGAAAATATTGAGTGTAGAGCAGACCAAAAGAACCACCAGACTAGCACTGAATAAACCCTGCGCTTGGAAGAACCGCTTTCCGGACTCAAAGCAGGCATAGCCAGGAGCTCCTGCGATGGCGATTTTGAGATACAATCCCGCGAGAACAGCAGTTTCGTGAGATTCAGCGGGGAGAATCAACATAAAGATACGATCGGCATTATACCATATGGTTCCGATTGGGATCGTGAGGACGAGCATGAAGAGGGTCAGTCGTTGGACATGCAGGCCGACCATTCTCGGGTTTCCCGAGCCATATGCCTGCGGGCATAAAGTATCAAGACATGTTGCAAGACCTTGGAAGACGAAGTATCCAGTAATTTGGGCGGTCATGTTGGCCAAGCTCACGGCCCCGATTTCCCGTTTCCCCAGATGGCCCACCATGAAAATGCTGGATCCGGTCAATGCATGTTGAAGCAAGAGCGCAACCATCAGCGGAGCAGTGTATCGCGAGATAATCTTCAATTCTTGCTGCCATCCTGACTTTTTTGCCCCGTCCGCTGCTTCAGGGTCGACGTCATGCAACAAGGGAGAGGATTCTGTGGCCCTATGCTGGTTTTCCGAGACCATCGTGGAAGAGTTTTTAGGGCGATCTCCGTGCTTTCCGTTTAACACAAGATGTTCCCTTCAACTCCGAACGATGGTTCCTGGAGAGTATTAAGGGGAGGTCGAAGATGAGAAAAACAAGTTCTCATTTGCATGAGGTGGACGACCGAAATAACAAATCAATCTTTGCATCCCGGTCGCATCGTGGAAACGATCGCCCCATAGCAGCAACGTGCTCCACTGCCATGCAGCCCCGGTAGACCTATCATCCACGCAGGCAAACACTAACACTTAGCGTAAGCACGCCATTCTTCGGCATTTGAATACGCTAAATGGCGACATTCCAATTGACATAGAGTACAAGCCGAATCATGAAAGATATTGGGTAGTGAACCTGGGACTGCTGTCGCATGGCAGACGCAGTCAAGGAAGCTGAGACCCCCAGACTTCCCCGGGAATGACCTTACTGGTCCCGATCTGAGAAATACCCAGAATCTCCATATGGATCAAGGAATTGCGCCACCCACGCGGATTTGTAGTTGCTAGCCAGCTTGACCATCGTATTCCTGACATGTCCAATGAGGATTGCGAGAAACATGGCACCCCAGACATCCCGATTCATATCTGAAAGGTCCATGTACATGAGGAGGTTGATTCCCGAAGAGTTATCTTTGCCTAGAGGCTTAGCACTTTTGTCTTCAGACGGTGGATTGGCGTCTGAAGGCTGAGGGGTGGTGTCAAGAGTGACCACAGAAACAATAGGCCCGGTGACAAAGAAGCCTATTAGGGTTGGCCAGAATTTGTCGCGGGCAGGCGTGAGAAGGACATATCTCTTGAAGTCATTCGCTCTGATCTGCAGTTTCTTGTAGAACTTGGTGATGGCTTCCTGCGAGTCTTCTTTATCCGTTTTGGTGTAAACGACGTGCATAGGGATATTGCAAGGTTCTACCACGAGTCCAGCATCGGTCACTGCCCAGCGAAGATACTTCTCGATTGTCTTCTTGATGAAGGGCTCAGGCGGGGAACGAAGGACATTGCAGAAATCTCTCACATGGCCGCAAACCTGCAATAGTCCCTGGAAAGCTCGGATTGCATAGAACTCAGAGCTTTTGTGAGCCCCAAGGACAAAATCGCCTTCTCCGTGCTTGTCATTATCCGCGGCAAAGAACAACTTCTCCGGCAAGGTCATGAAATCCTTTTGCCAGTGTCGAGGTATCGAGGCCTTCTTGGAACAAGCATGAAGCTGAGCTGCAAGTGTTTGTTCCTGTGGTCCCAAGTCAGGATTGATAGGAAGATTTTCTGGCTCAAGTTGAGCCTTTCCTCTCCTCCTGGGATGAATATCCAGGAGTTGATTGCGTTCATACTTCGGAACGAAAGAAATCTCGTCCTCACTGTCATGGTCAGTGTATTCCGTATCTTCTGAGGCCTTCCTCCTCCTTTTGTTGTTCTTGCGTCGAGGGACAGGATCCCTGAATGAAGGGTCAAGGGTATTTTTCTTCCCACGCTTCGGGGTTGGTGATGGTGGTGGGTCCTCCTCGCTTGAGATGGGAGAGGAGGACACACTCGGAGTGAAGTTGCTATAATCCGAGTCACTGAGGTCTGCTTCTGTATCGCCACCTGTGTCGACGTCGAGGTCTTCAGATCGCTTGCGCTTCTTGTCGAGACCTGAGAAGTCTATTTGCTTGACTCGCTTAATTGGTTTCTCAGGCTTCAAGTCGTCGTCGGTTGGCGAGGTCAGTTTCTGAACTCGCTCAGCTGGTGACTCAGGCTCCGTATCCTCGACTGACGAAGTCCGTTCTTGGGCAGAGGTAACCTGTTATGAAAGTGAGTGATTGGCACATGAGAGTAGGGAGGCGAGGAAGGAGAGGTAAGAGAGATAAAAGCGAAAGAAAGATGATGGAATAAAAGCATCAAACTTACCAGTTTCCCTTCATTATCAAACTCAACAATGGTAGAAGGCACAGTTGCCAGAGAAGAGGAGCTTTCTGGCTCCATGAGATGGCTTAGGGTTGGAGAAGGGGGTGTGGGGAGAAACCGCTGCGAGGTGTAGCAAGGTTAGTGAAGCAAGAGAAGGAGAAGAAGGGGAGGGCGAAGAAGCGGGCGAATGATAGGCAGAAGAAGGAGAAGGTTGAATAATAGGGTCAGGGCCGTAAACAGGCTTATGATGAAAGATTCGGAAGTTATGATCGACCCGTTCAATAGGAGTCGCGTCTTCCCACAAGAAACGTCTGATTTCAGGATCGTGAGTCCAAAGTTCTCCCCAGCACGATGGGGGAGATCCGGTTTCCGGGCTTCCAGGAAAGTCGATGTGGTAGTTGATATTGTCAACTTCTGGCCGGCTGTTGTTGACAGGGGATTCGCCCAGAGACTCGGTCAGCTGCCTGGTCCATGGTTGGACGCGGGCTCGATTGAATCGCAGTTTTGGCCTGGGTGTGCGCGGAGTTTCTTTGTTGCCCGAAGACGAGGTCTCTTTGTAGTTTCAAGATGATGCCTCTTTGTAGTTCGAAGACGATGCTTCTTTGTCGACCGAGGGTGGGCTCTCTTTGTTGCTCGAGGGCACGGTATTCGCGGGACTCAAGACTCGAGGGCGCCGGCGAAGCAGGCGCTTGAGTCGTGATATTACGAACATTTTGACAAAGGAAGTCTATTTTGAGAACAAAGAACGGAAGCTGGAAGGGCAGTTGAGAAACACGGGAACGTGTTCCAGAAAAGAGAGATGAGAAAAGAGATGGAACGAAAGCATGGAGAAAAAGTAAACAAAAGAGGTGGAAAGATGGGAAGTTGGGGGAGGAGCTATGCTTTCTAGTAAACAGGGTGGAACTACAAACTATATGAACACATCGCAGTCAGGATGGATATCGTATTTGCATCTCCATAGGTGCAGCCGTTAGAACATAATATGCATAAAGCGCGGCTCCAGGTCCTACACCATCTTCATAGATCTTCAACATCATCATTTCTCATACTCCTTGGACTGAAACTCCCCGAAGTCCCCACCCCCTCATTTTTGGACATTTGAGTGTCCGACATAAAATAGAGTCATAAACCCGACCAGTCGGAAAAGAAACACATTGGAACTGAAAAAGAACTAGACAGGAAAGGAAAGAAAGAATAGAGCAAGCAATTTAGGTAGGCATGGAAAGGAAATTGACGCAAGCAACCTGGAGGTTTCATAAGCCGTGGTATCCGAACAAAGCATATCAAGCGGACCGGCGTCCACACCGGCACTTGAACGAAACTGCAATTGGGTATGTTGGAGCAATTTGAAGAGCAAGAAGTGCTGGGAAGGGCGGGTGACCCGCGGCGCCCTGAAGAAACCGGCCGTGTTGGTATTAAACTCCTCCATCAACGACTCTTCACAGGGATCCAAGTGAATAATAATCATAGTGGTCATGACCAGATCAGGCAAAGTCGGCAGTATAGGAGAAGCCACGGAACTCTTCCTGCATGGCTTGGGAAAGCACTAAATTAAACAGTCAGTTATGGTTCATTTCAGATCAAAGAAAGAAGACTTACCAGATTGCACAGGTGTCAAGACGGGAGTCACACTGGTGAACTCCTGGTCGAAGTTGCTGGTATCAGTGGGGCTGCTAATTGTTGGGATGAATGGCGGAGGGACCCGCTTGTGGTAGATGTCATCCCAGTTGATGTTGCGGAAGAAGGCATGGGACATGACTTCCTGGGCATCAGTGGGACCAGAACCGAGACGCAACTCAGGCTCGCGAGTCAACAGCTTCTGGAGGATCGACACGGAGTCACGGGGCATGTGGATGGGGTAGAGAGGCTCATCAGCGAGAATGGCGTCGTAGATCTCATCTTCATCTTCACCGCGGAACGGAGATTGCTGCAAGAGCATCTGGTAGATGAGGACACCGAATGCCCACCAATCGACAGCCCGTCCATACTTCTTGTCCAGTAGAATCTAGAAAAGGTCAGTTGATCGGTTCTTAAAGACACTGAGTTCGGTAATACATACCTCGGGACCCATAAATTCGGGAGTACCACAGAACGTGCTGGTCGTGCAACCGTACCACATGTTCTCCTTACAGAGACCATAATCAGCAATCTTAATGTGACCGTCCAGGGTCAGAAGAATGTTGTCAAGCTTCAAGTCACGGTAAATGACACCGTTCTCGTGGAAGTACTTAAGCGCCAAGCAGACCTCGGCAGCGTAGAATCTAGGTGAACAGAGTCAGCATTTGCAAATCTTGACCTTTACCCAGAACAATACATACTGTGCCCTCTTAAGACCGAATTGGCCACGCTGAATGTGCAACATAAGATCACCACCACTGATGTACTCCATGACGAAGTAGACACGGGTTTCGGTCTGGAAACAGGCATGCAAGTTGAGAAGGAAGGGGTGACGTTCCTTGTTTGCAATCAAGAACACACGTTTTTCGGACTTCGTGCTCTCTACTTCATCATTTTCGATGATGAATTCCTTCTTCAGCACCTTGATGGCATACAGCTTGCGGGTGCTCTTGGTTTCAGCCAGCATGACCTTTCCGAAGTTACCCTTTCCAAGAACAGCAAGGAAGTTGAAGTGATCCAATCCAATGCGAGCCTTGGCCTGTGTCAGGGCAGCATCATCCTTAGTAGGCGGTGCAACTTGTTGGGGTATCTGCTGCTGTTGCATAGGCTGCGGCGGCGGTGCCATCTGATAAGGCGAAGGCTGAACCTTTTGCATGGCTTGGGGTGGAGGCTGCTGCGGAAAGTTGGCATAAGCAGATGGGTCATAGTGGGCATGTTGGGGCTGCTGTGGTGCTTGAGGCGGCATAGGACGGTTCATTTCAGCTGTGATCCAAGTATTAATACAATAATCCCAATTGAAGAGATAGGTGATGCATACTTGGTGTTTGCTGGGGGCTACGCATCCCAGTAGCGGCGGCGGCGGCAGCGGCGGCGGCGGCAGGTCCCGTAGGAGATTTGGGAGGCAACTGTTGGCGCTGTGCGGCCTGTGCAGAAGCTGTTGGTGACTGTGGTGTCACGAAGGAGTTAGTGGCCGCGCTTACCGCTTCAGCAGAGGGTTGTCTTGGAATAGCCCCGTAGGGGCCTTCCATTGGTTTCTGGGGGTAGGAGAGGGCAGCATTGTCTTGAGGGGGTTGCGGCGGACCGCTTGGTCGAAGGGTGCGGTTGCTAAGACCGGAACTGACAGAAGCAGACTTATTGTGATTCTTGGCGCGAATCAATGTTTCTAGAATTTGGTTGGCCGCTTCCATCGACATGCCACAGAAATCGGGCACAAGGTGAGTGCAGTGAGCGTGACATGTGAGATCGCACTCTATGTGAAGATTAGTATATACCAAGCAAAACATGCATCCTCATGATATGCCTACCAGAGCATCGCTTGGCATTTTTGCGCCCAAAGGGCAGCAAATAACCACAGTGGCAACACCAGTTGGCGGAGATGTTGGAGAAGCCTTCGAAACGATGGGGGATGCGGTGGTTGATTTTCTCTTCGTCCGGATCGGTCTCGTAGTTGGCCTTGCTGATACACTTGGTGACAACCTTGGAATAGCACTTTTTGTGACAGGTATACTTGCAATCCGCACATTGCATGCCTGCGGCATACTTGAGGAATTCTCCACAAAGCGCACAGCGCATGATGTTGTAGAATTGCTGCGTGACGAACTTGTGACCTTGCTTCTCGTGGACCTCTTCCTTCTTTTGGCGCACGGCACCTTGACGATTAAGACCGATGTCAAAGGGACGGCGGTCCTTCAATTGTTTGGCTGTCCAAAGTTAGTATATGAAAACGATTTGGCGGATGAAGCTCGTCTTACCGAAGCTCATCTGGAGCTGAATCCGTCCAACGGGTTCCAGAGCAAACCATGAATCGATCATCACAGTGGGAGGGACATTCGAAACCTCCCCACCATGGTGTCCGCCATGGCCTGAGGTACCCGGTCGTCCAGGGCCGGGGCCATGGGAAGAGCCCTGGGGGGAACCAGGATGATCATGTCGAGGCGATCCGCCATCCGCCATCTTATCGGCAGATACCCAGCCGGATGCGTTGAGCTCCGTCTCGATCTTCTTGCGACGCATTTCCTCTGCAATGTCGGAAATTCGTACCCAAAGCATACCGATGGGTGTGGGGCGATCTCCCGACTTGTCGTAAACGGTCAACTCGATCTCGTTGGCCTTGTCGATATCCATAGAGAATGACTCGTCCAACCATCTATCGTTTCGTGTCGCTTTGGTTTTTCCCTTGACTGTGTCTTCCACTTTGACGACGACATACGTCTCCGGGCCTCGAGAAAATCGTGAACTAGCGGCGTGGTCCACATCCTTGACCGCGTGGATGCGCATTGTTAAAAGACCTGTCAGCGGCTTGCGCATGTTCGGGCTGCTTAAACTCTCGTCTGTGCCACTAGTCAGTACGTCTGAGCCATCATTATTCCCAGACTAGCAGTTTTTTGCGTACCATCTGGTGAATCGGCGGTAGGGTCAATGTCGACATGAAGGTCCTCATATCGCTTCAGCGCTTGCTTCAATAGCTGAATCTTTTGGTTGCTCTCAATGCGACGGCCCTCGGCATCAGCACGACTCTTTCGGTCGCCCTCGTCCTGGTATAAGCGCACCATCTTCTCGATACCAGCCTTGTATTGTTTCTCAACACTCAGCTTGAACTCCAGTTGGGACAGCATGAGTTGAATCTTCGGCCCGAGGTATGCAGTGTCATATTTGATAAGATCTGAGACATATCCATTCATGTCAGCATTCCGAACAATTTTAAGCTTAACGCAACATTTTTGAGGGATTTAAATCTGCATCTCGGATCACGATCTGACGTACCTAGCTTTGTGTAATTGGGTCTGGCCTTCGGGATCGGGGCGAAAGGTCGGGGGTCTGGGAATGGAGCGCCGGAGGGCATCGAGCCAGAACCACCCTGGGGGTAGTTGCGGCCATCGCCATAGTCGCCTTCGCCAGAGTATCCGGGGTAATCCTTTGGTGGGGGAGCCGGGCCTCCGTGCGGGTGACGCTGGCTGGGCGAACTACCATCCTGCTGCATGTGACGAATCTGCAGCTCTCTCATCTTCTCCTCCAGGTAGGCGATATTCTTGCGGCCATCGCGGATGTTGGCGTCGACTCTCTGTTGCACGAGGGGGTTGTCGGTCGACTGCCGCATGTTACTGGCAGCGGTGATGAGGGCCTTCTCCCGCTCGATCTTGTGGGCGACCGAGGCGATCAGCTCGTCCCCGTCCATGATGGCTGAGGGTAAAGAGCGAGGGCGAGAGGGTAAGGTGTTGTGGGTGGGAGAGGGTTTCGCGGGGCTGTTGTTGACAAGGGGCGCAACGGGCACGGGTAATGCCACTTCGGAAAATGTGAGACAATCTGCCCGCAATGATCGCCCACTGGACTTGCACCAATTTAAGAGGGTTTCCAGTACTTTCAAAAGAGATGAAAAGATATGAAAGAGAATGGATTATCCAGATTACCAATTTCTGACCATTTCAAAGATGTCCAGCCCATAACAGGCCTAATCAGTGGCGAAAAGTGTGTTACAGACAACTGCGGGCACGTGAAGGGCTCTTTTTCTTATATTTCACTACAGCTGTCTACTCTTAACTCTCTGTACCCTTTCATCTTTCCTATTCCCAACCTCTACAGATCCAAATCCACGAAATTATCGAGATACATCTTCAGTGTCACCGCTTCACTCTGTAGAATCCGGTGAAGATCGTGCCGCCGCACCCCCTTGCTGCATACACCATGAGGGGCATGTCAGTGATCGATTTAGGTCTTTGATTTAGGCATCCTTCTGGGTTTCTGCCTTTTTGCCGGGATCACCGACTCGTTGATGTCACTTGTCTCATATCCCAAAGGCACAATCAGTTTCCTGGGTCTGACCCCCTCAAAAAAACTCCGAATTCCGCCCCATTTGTTTGACCATTTCTTTTGCCGTTTCCGATGGAGATTTACAAAATACTCTGCTATATTAATCTTGAAGTGCGAGACCCAATCAAGCATGGTAAATAGTGACACACAGCCAGCCAATTACATACTTGTAATCGTTTCTAGAGACAGAGATCTACCTTATGCCCATGTAAATCAGGTAGCAAGACAAGATTGTCAGACACCAAATATGCATCTGATAGAATTCAAGCTCCAACTCGGCCTGAACTGCAGAACAGGGATCACTGCTCTCTATAGGGCTGGGAAGTGGCTTGTATAGACACTTCAGCCATTTGAATGTTTCATAGCGTCGGTGCATACAGAGAGAATTGAACCATCTCCCACATAAAACATATGCACCATGTCGTGCATTCTTTCAGAGCACCCTGACATTAAGATCAAAGTCGTGGGCATATATATACACAGTAGAGCCTAGGCCTAGGCACTCAACGTTTTCTCAGCCGGTACCGAAACCACGCTAATCCGTATTGGATAACGCGTAAATAATCCTACCATTCCATACATACACCTGTACCTCAATGCCCTATACTCTGGTATATATCTTTCTCAACCTCACTATCTGAGGACTACTAGACTACCCTGGTTTGCTACGTCTTATTCAGTAATATGACACAAAGCCTGATCTATACCTTGAGACCTACTAAATGGACCTCCCTTTTTCCTAAAATAATCGTACTACCAAATTTGGGCCGCCTTTCAAGGCATTTTCTAAAAGGCCTTTGAGCTTCTTTTATCTACGGTATAACGTTATATAATGCCTTGGAAGTTTCCTGGGAGGTGTATTAATCAGACTGGGATTCAAGAGGGCTATTTTCTGTACGCATGCTTGACTATTGAAGAATCTGGTGATTGAAATTGTGCTTCTAGCAAAAACTATCTTATTGGTTGGGCCACCTTGTTTTGAACCTGTCAAGCTGCCACTTCTTCGCTGCTGTGCTAGAAAAGTTCCAGTCAAGCCAAACAACTACCAGGAGCGGAACACCAGCCTCATCTCGAATCTCCACGAGCGGGCAATGCGGAACAAGTTGTTAAATCGGCTGTGAGAAACAGCTCTGCGCGGCTAGGGTAATGAATCAGCAATATGGTATGTTGAGCGTTTGGGAAGAGGTACGATGATGCCCATCAAGCCTGCGTACCTGATCAAGCAAGATGGTGTCAGTGAAACGCGTAAAGGGCCAGACGTTGGCGTCAAAATCAAGTAATACAGCAATCGGATTTCATTTTTCGTTCTTCAGGACACTAGGCAAATATCACTGAGCCGTTGTATGATTTCGCTCTGAAAGTACTCAATAGTCCAGTAACTTAAGCGTAAAACAGACAACTACCTTTGTGATGCGTTGTGATGTCCAATCACCTGCAGCCCTACAGTGTCCCTGGATCCACATTTAAGCTTGGCAGGCAGTTGGCGCTGTTTTGTCAACCAATCAGATGTGAGCTCAGCGCCATATCACGCGATATACAACCATCCATGTAACATCTTAATCTACGCACCTCCTACTGACTTGTATCCTCATTTCCTGCGATATTTCGTTGAGACACTTACATCTCCCCCGTCTCATAACCACCATTTGCCTTTTGCTTTAAGATAGATCGCCATTCTGTGAAAACGACCTTCTCCACACGCAGGAGTCAGTGTCAAGATATCAACCAGGGGGATACCATCCAGTCACCCTTGGAGATACATCTAAAAATTAACGCTACAAGATACATCACAAGCTAGGTTGAAGGTGGCTAAGGTGGCTTTTCCACAGTGTGGCTTGCGAAGAACAACGGGTAGGTTTATCTCTCAAATTTGCTCATTTCTAGCTAATCTTCCGCCAGCCGAGATGAATGGGTCGCCTTGAATATCACGACCGCAGATTCGCCGAAACCGCGAAAGCTAGGAATTTTGAAACTCCTAGATTCTTGAGGGGAACTTTCTTCAAACTGCGTTGCTCAGTTGTATGATGCCGTCACTCGCAAAAGCCCCAACGGAGTCCACCAGTGTCTTCTATTTGAATTGACTGGGTTATGATAAGCTTGGACTGAAAGCATATTCCAAATTTCTACGCAGCTTCTGAAAGCGGGGAGGTCCATCCAGAATGCCGGCATATGTCATGGAGGTAGGAGTGCTACCCCTCTACAGACTTCCTGTGGTTTAACGCTACTATACTCACATTTGATTACATATCAGTGGCCGGAAGATTGTATTTACTTACAATCAACCCTTGATCCAAACTAAGAAGGGGCTTTTCGAGGTTCTTGGATCTCCGGGATTGAACCGTTGAAGCGGATTGATGGCACGCCTCTAGGAGATGGACTGCCAAGCCAGCTGGTCAAGGCAGCAGACTGGACTCACTGGACAGGAGGACGAGGAAGGTACTCAGGTACTTGATTTTGGAGAGAGCTTCTTTCAAGAACAGGAACCCGGGAAGCTAGCCCAGCCAGGTCAATTACAGGTACCGGAGACAATCTTCAAGGACTGCTTTGATTATCGCGTCGACCTATGGCGCACAGGCTGCATGGTACGTCGTTATATCTTGCTGTTGAAGACAACTTGCTTACGGCGGTATAAACGATAGGTATATTATTTCCCATTCGCGACATTGCTTTCTAATACCTCGGTGAGGACGATTTCTCGCTTTCCAGATGATTCGCTTTGTGAGAGATCGACAGCTGAATGGGAGTCTAAGTGGGAATCAATGCGGCTCAAGTCTAGCCATGCTGCGAAGCTAGAAGATGATGCGGAGCTAGCAGAGCCGCGTCATCATATAGAAAAAGTGCATCCAACTCTTATCCAAAAATGCCAGGGGCGAAACTGGGAATACCAAATTCCCGCTGTTTCCTGTCCCCCTTGACTGAGTCATATGATTCCAACGCACAAGTATAGAAGAGAAGTCGGGGCGTTGACCGGTTGAAACAATCAGCTAGGTCCGAAGACGCGAACATCTCTTCTGATCTTACTCGAATTTTCCTGTCATAAAATCCGGTTTCCCCTGCATGAAATACTTGTAATTCATGTGTCAAAACAAGGACCACTTGAAGTAGATATCAAGAGGTCATATCCGTGTGAAGCAAAATCAAGAGGTGGCAGCTGTCTCCAAATTGGGGTAAGCTCGGCAGCACCTTACATACAGAAATTCTTTCTAGAGAGCTTGTCTAAGAGTACGTATAGATAATACCATACCCAAGGCACTTAGGAAATCGAGTCAAAATGAAACAGTTCGCGGGAATTATTGAGAAGCCAGCTCCTCAACAAGCGTCCAATTCAAATGGCACTTCTAGAGTGTCGTTCCCGCTCACCCAGTTCGGACTAGGTTCCTTGGCATGTAGTGCACGTATACCCCCATTCACTAACTAGAGAGGGCTCGGTCCATTTCGGACTTTTGACTGGAAAAGCACCTTCAAAACATATTCCATTGGTGGATATTCTGAGAAATGACGCAAAGAAATGACATGACGTAGCATATCTGCAATCATGCTTCGTTTCAGTTTGTCGTTTCACAGGTATAAGCATTCATAAGGGTCTTCAACCTTGAATATACTCACGTAACGCATGGCTCAGATGACCCTTGCGTAAACTTGATGTCGGTTAGGCCTCTTAGGCTGGCGTTTTTGTCTTCCAATCTTCCAGTCTTGCTTTTACGAGACGCTTGCCGCAACTAGTTATATTTGGGCCACAACTTGCAAGTCGACAATCGAGAACAATCGATTGGCTAAACACTACTAGGTTACGTGTGCATTTACCAGTACACAATCACTATAACAGAGCATATTCATCGCGATGCCGATCAAAGTGCCTATCTCGTCGTTCGGTGATTGATGGTGAGCTCAAACGCCGTACTATTACACTTTTGGTTCGTTAGTTTCCAGGGGTACGTTAAGTTGCCAGCTCTTTCCAAGATTAAGATTTGCCCCGTATAATTTATGTTGTCCGGGAATAACCGAGGGGTATAGGTATATAACATGCAAATTCAGTTGCCATATCGACACTGGAGAGTCCTCTCATTTCCCTTCACTATTTTCCGCTCGTCAATTTCTTTGGCTTTCTTGTCGAACTCCTCTTATTGACAAAAACAATATGGCGCAGCCGACTGACACTATTCTGTCTCGTCGGGCACAGGATGCGTCTACAGCAGGGACCAAGAACCTCATGTGGGACGTGCTGAACAATCTATGGTGTCCATCGACTAACCCAGATGGGTACGTCAATGTTGGCGTGGCAGAGAATGTCCTCATGCACGACCAGTTCTTGAGTTTCATCAACACGAAGCTTGACCTACCGGCCAAATACCTCACATACAACGAAGGAGGATCAGGATCTTTGAGACTGAAGCGAGCTTTATCCCAGTTCCTCGACCGATATCTACATCCTGCGATCCCTTTAAATCCTAGGCACCTCATCGTCACGAACGGAGTCTCTTCCGCAATCGAGCACGTCTCGTGGTCATTCACAGATCCCGGCGAAGGAATTCTCTTAGGGAAGCCATACTACGGCACTTTCATACCAGATATGTCGTTGCGACCTGGTGCTACCGTCGTTTCTGTCAACTTTGGAGACTGCGATCCATTCAGCATCGAGGCAGTTGACAGATACGAGGAGGCTTTGTTGGCCTTTCAGCAGACAACAAACCGGAAAGTCAAAGCACTCATGCTTTGCCACCCTCACAATCCTCTTGGACGTTGCTATCCAAGAGATGTGATTATCAAAATGATGCACCTCTGTCAAAAGTACAACCTACATCTCATCAGTGATGAAATATACGCGCTCTCTGTTTGGGAAAACACCGTGGATGATCAGCTTCATCCCCCGGTCAAGTTTGAGTCGGCTTTGTCAATTGATCTGAATGGTATCATTGACCCCCGGCTTGTTCATGTACTATGGGGCATGAGCAAGGACTTCGGTGCAAATGGACTTCGACTTGGCGTCATCATTTCGCAGTCTAACAGTGACCTTCATCAGGCCTTGAAAGGAATCTCTTTATACTCTTACGCATCTGGAGTTTCTGACCACCTGACTGCTCTTCTGCTGGAAGACTTCGATTTTACCGACAAATATATACGACAAAATCGGGACAAGTTGTCCGAGTCGTATACTTGTGCAGTTCAGTATATCAGGAGCCATAATATTGAATATGCACAAGGCTGCAACGCGGCATTCTTCCTTTGGGTTAACTTGGGGAAGAGGTACTGCCAGCTCCACCCCGGAGAAAATATCGAACACGTTAGCGACAAGGTCATGCAAGTCCTGTTGAGAAAGAAAGTGTTTCTGGCCAGCGGCGAGCTGTTCGGGTCGGAGCATCCTGGATGGTTCAGAATTGTGTTCTCCCAGCCTCGGGAGTATTTGAATGAGGCTCTGCGGAGAATCACAGATGCGCTTGCACTCAAGGATTAGATGTTTTCGGTACCTCATAATCATTTTTTCCAGTTTCTTATTCCCTGAAACTTTGAGCATTATATTAGTATACATTTGACGAGACTTCTGTGATGTCGACGTTCATTAGGTTCACCAATCTGTTGATTGGAGCCTCTGACCTGAATTCAAGTCCGATGAATGAAACCCAGAACAAACTCCTGCTAATGCCCCGGGTCCATAAGCAGACCATTGCCAAACTAGGTAAGAAGTCAGACCGCTCCCTAAAAAGACATTTGCCGACGGAACATTGGAAGACTGGCACAGTGTTTTCGACAATGCATAGCCCTAAGCATGAACTGGTGGAGGCGCTTTAAGCCGCACTTTATCCCGTCGAGCCAAACCCTAGTCCCTGGAGGAGATTTCCCATCATTCTCTTGCGTAAACTGCATGTTTGAACAGGACAAACTCGCCGGAGGGCCCATATCGTTATTCGTCGGTGACCTACTGAATCGGTAGTTCTAAAAATATCACAGGTTGATGACTACCTTTGAACCAAAGGATAAAAGGCACTGTTAATTGCCTTAATGCCTCCTAATGCCGTGTTTACTACCGGGCAAAAGACGTCATCTTAGAGTACTTATTCAGTTGTGATTCTTACTACTATGTCAGTAGCACTGCAGATGCGTAAAATGCTAAGCTTTCCGGGCGCACGAAAGGGTAGCTCGTTTACACATGAATGCTTAAAATATATCAGGACCGAAAATGAGATGCGATGAAGCGCAAGTATCAAAATATTCATAGATGATCATTAATTATCATCAAATACCAACACCAAGACGCAAAATGCTACTTCCAAGAGAATCCTATAAAATGAAAAAAAGAGTGCATTCGATGGTATCACTAGACGACGTTAGTAAAGTAATTGCAACCAACTGGTATAAAAGAAAGCAAAAACAACTTACCAAGAAATAATCAGCGACGGGTTTCTTTGCAGGCATTCCCCTTGTGTCTTGTGCCGCAGCCTCAAAGACACGGTACCTCCTTCCTGGACTGACAACTCTATTCTGTGCAGCGAGTCCATTGCTCCGGCCATATTCACCGTTACTGCGAGCAACAGTTCCACCACCGCTAGCGTCTTCGCCCAATTCGAGGATAGCAGCGACGTTACCGCAGCGGTAGCAGTAATTTGGTGCAGACCAAACAGTAACAATACCACCATCGAACATCTCCTTGTAGCCCTCCATGACAAGCTGGTGGGCACGCGCAACAAGGGAGAGTCCGTTGAGATGGTTGAACTGTTTAACGATATCACCACCAAAGAGGAAACCAGCTCCACGAGGACTCAGACCCCAACCTTCGATCTCATCCGGATCAGACCAGAGAAGATCGCACATAGCACCTTCATGCGGCACCTCTTGTTTGCGGTCGATCAGCCGAATCTTGTCGACGGAGTCGATGAGTGGTGATAATCCACCGTGCACGCAAAGCACGGCGCCAGTCTGGCTGGTCATGGCGCTGCCATTTCCATCACTACTTGCGCCTGTCCCTGGTGCACCTGTTCGTGACGGCGCGCCAGCCTGACCTGGGACGGCGGAGATGTCGCGTGGCGGGGAGATGTTTCGGGAGTCTGTAGATCCGGAGGAGGAGGAGCGCTGGCGCGGGCGGTAAGTACTCATAGTAACCTCGCCTCGAGAGTTAAGCACTTCTGTTTCTAGCTCGCTATCGTCGATGGGCATTGAGGATTGTGGTATGTTAGATGCGGTGGGTTCGAGCTCCGAGCTCGCGCCGAGCACGATCGCCCCCAGGGCCAGGTAATCGAAGACCTCGCAGCAGTAGCGCCAGACGTTGGCGCTACCATATTTACGGATGCATTCATCGTAGAAGCCGTATACGGTTGTGATTTGGCGCGACTCGTGGTTGCCCCGGATCAGGGTCATGCGGTCGGGGTATCGGACTTTCAGACAGAGGAGTAAGAGGAAAGATTCGAGGGAGTAGAAGCCTCGGTCGACAAAGTCGCCCATGAAGAGATAGTTTGTGTCGGGGACGTCGCCGCCGACGCGGAATAGTTCCATCAAGTCGTGGAACTGGCCGTGGATGTCGCCGCAGATGGTGACGGGCGCGTCGACGGAGACGACATTGCCTTCTTCGATCAGGAGCTCGCGCGCTTTGTAGCACAGTTCGCGAACTTGGCTTTCGGGGATCAGGCGGCAGGCCCGCAGCTGCTCGATCGCCCTGTCAGACACGGTTAGTGGGATCAACGATGAGACACGGATTAAACATACCGGTCCAGGTCGCTCATCTTGTTAAGAGCGGAGGGGTGGAGGGGAGAGGGAATGGATATCAGAGAATAAAGACCCCCTCGCAAAACAACAAATCAGATGGCTCAATCGGAGCTTGAACAAAGACTCATCGTCGCGATGCAGCAGAAGAAGAGACTTGAGGGCGGAACATCCAATCACGCGGGACCCAGATAAGATTAGATGTCTGCGCTGTCTCTTCGTCTCTTCTTCCAGCCTCACCACCTCATTGACACTCTCGGATGCTTGTCAATCTGGAGAACTCCGCTTTAATATCCAATTGGCTTCATTTTGACCTCATCCGCTACTCGACTACACCTATATCCCGAGGTCCTCCGATGGCCTGAAAAATTTACAACAGCCGGCCACGCCCACTTCACCTCCAATTTTCCTCGATACTCGTCATTAGACTCCACATAATGCCGCCTCATCTCCATCCTAAGTCACGGTCGACAATGGGCCTCTTCGCCGGCACCCTACTCGCATCCCTCGTTGTGGTCGGCATGCCGCACCTCTTCCCCTGCCCGGCCCCACGACGCACCTTTGCCGATTCAGAAATGACTATCACAGCCGACGGGCAACAAGTACCACGCATCAAACGGAGACGGCGGAAAGAGGTCGAAATGGACCCCGAGGCCGGTCGCCCAGGTCTTCCGACAGCAGCTGGTCCGGTGGACGAGGAGGTCTCGACCTTCCTCCAGATGCAAGAGGAGGCAGAAACCCTTTCGCACATCAATCGGGAATGTCCTGTTCCCAAGCCGAAGGGTGTGCTGGGCCAATTGCTTGGATTCCGCGATGTTCAAGCGAATGTCCAGCCTAGCGGCCTGTCCGAGGGAGATCGATGAGTGCAATCGCACACTCCCTGAATTTTGCATTTTGTTTCTTGACTTGTTTAATGATACCATGGACTGTGACAATAAGGATTGATTGGATTGAATTGGTGGATGTTGGAGTAAAGACCCTGCTCGAGGTCCCGAGCTAGACCTATGTATTCCCTATGTACAGTGAGATGTATAAAACAATAACACACTATTCAAAATAGACAAGACATCAATCGGAAATGACATACTAGACAGATATGTTCCTCAAGTGTACAGTACTCGCCAGTCCAGACGCTAGCGGACCAACTCCGGCCACCTTGAACATTCCCCCGTCAACCACACCTCGCCATGGCGTTAACAGCCAAAAGCTTCGCATACGACGTGCTCACCAACCAAAGACACACAAGATGGATAGCACCGCTCCTAATTCTTGGCGACGCACTCCTCTGTGCCCTCGTCATATGGAAGATCGCCTGTAAGATCGCGTCCAGTCGCGTCCATCGCAAAGGACAATCAAGCTAACCACGCCCCCAACCACAGACACTGAGATTGACTGGACAACATACATGCAACAGGTCTCACTATATCTCTCCGGCGAACGCGATTACACATTAATCAAAGGCTCGACAGGCCCGCTCGTCTACCCCGCCGCCCACTTGTACATCTACACACTCCTCTTTCACATCACCGATGGAGGCCGTGATATTCTCCTCGGCCAAGCGCTGTTTGCCGTGCTCTACCTGGCTACCCTGATTGTTGTCGTTGCCTGCTACAGACAGACTGGAGCGCCTCCGTATCTCTTCCCGCTGCTGGCTCTTTCGAAACGACTTCATAGTATCTTCGTCTTGCGCATGTTCAATGATGGTGTTGCTGCTTTTGCTATGTGGGTTGCTATATACCTGTGTCTGCGACGCAAATGGACGGCTGGGATTGCGATATGGTCGTTCGGCGTGGCGATCAAAATGACGCTTGTGTTGTTTGTGCCGGCCATTGCGGTTCTTACTCTTCTCAGTTTGGGACTGGCACGGAGTATCTCGCTCGGAGCCATGGCAGTCCTTATCCAGGTTGGTGTTAAGTATCTAAGTTGCGTCCTGAACCATTGACTAACATGGGAAATTACAGGTCCTGCTCGCAATCCCCTTCCTCCAAACCAACGCTACAGGCTACCTCTCTCGAGCATTCGAGCTATCCCGACAGTTCCTATTCAAATGGACAGTCAACTGGCGCTTCGTAGGCGAAGAAACATTTCTCTCGAGGGAATTCTCATTAGGTCTGCTAGTACTGCATATATCCTTGTTGGCTATCTTCGTCGGAACCTGGCTGAGACCATCCGGTGTAAACATGTTCCGCTTCCTCCAAGGTACTCTCCAGGGACGCCAGCAGACAGTTTCCCTGTCAAAATCATTCATCATGACCGTGATGTTGAGTTCACTAGCCATAGGCTTGTTCTGCGCTAGGTCCTTGCATTATCAGTTCTTTGCGTACCTCGCATGGGCCACTCCGTTCCTGCTCTGGCGGGCAGGTCTGCATCCTGTTCTTATATATGTCGTGTGGGCGTTACAGGAATGGGCGTGGAACGTTTTCCCAAGCACCAACGCAAGCTCGGCGGTTGTGGTGTTATCGCTCGCGGTTCAGGTCTTTGGTGTATATCTCAATGGGTTAGGCGAGGCAGAGGGAAAGAGTGACAAAAGCGGCCGCAGTAAGGCGCGAGTCCAATGAAGAAAGCACCTGGCCTCGGTTCATAACCGAGGCGTAACAGATTTCAGAACCGGTCTTGGTAGCCCCAAATACCCAATTGTAGCCGCAGCCGTCGAACCAAGTCGATGCACGCGGAGACCATCATGCAATTCATTCTGACTCGTCCGATGAAGGCATCTGACCAACACGAGACTCTTCCTCGTCATCAGAGTCAGCAGCGACGACAGCAGGCTGTTTCACGAACTCCTTGGGCCTAAGAAATCATCAATTAGCACAATTCTCTCCAACATCTTCCGTATCAAAAGCCAGTTCAAGACCTACCAAAAAGGAGCCTTCCTCCAAGCCTTCTCATCCCTAACCACATTGACTATCTCCCCGCGAATTTTATTATCCCGCTCCTCCTGGCCCTTAGTATCGACAACCACATACGAGCCACGCTTGATCCAGATGGTGGAGCGGAACCGTGCGGGCAATTCGACCAGCACCTGGCTCTTGTCTGTGTGTTCGATCAGGTAGATGTTGTTTCCGGTGGCTTTGATTGCGCGCACGATCTGTTGGGTGTCGGAGAGCGAGTCGGGGGGTGTGAGGGTTTCTTCTGCTGTTGCCAGCATCTTTCTGCGAGGGGGACCCATGTTCAAGTGGTATCTGTGTATAAAAGGGGCGTGTAGAAGCAATTGATATAACTGTGTTGAGTTGCAGAGGAAGGAAGGAATTTCGGAAATTTGAGCTTATCGGCGGGGCGGGGGTTTTCCCGCAAGTATAGCCTGACAGTACTACAAGGTCCTTCTTTTGACTGACAATTATTGTCTTTTATTTTAGCAGGAACATACAGAAAGGCATTGTATATGTTCGATCTAGTCGGATACTCAAAATGAGGACGTGCGGAATATGGTTTCCCAGAGGCTTGAGGGCTGATTAGAAATACCACCCTAGAGCATCCAAGACCAACTAATACAAATAGAGGGTTTTCTTTCTGCGCCGGTCTTGACCTGATCAACATCCTCCAGAATGGCCACCTCAGGTTTTAACGCATTCCTCGAGATCGAGAGTACCTCTCGAATCACCAGTCCGCCATTAGCAGTTCGCAGCAACAAGCAAAGCGTCGAGTCCCAGTCTCAGTCCGACTTCGAGCTGAACACCATCCAGCCAGTCAAGACCTCATCATACATAACCGAAAATATTAAAAGTCCACCCTCTCCCACCCCAAGTGAACTAGAGCAACACATCTCACCAAACACCCAACCCAACCCAACAGAATGGGCCCCAGACCGAACAGCAAGCACCTGGAAAACAAAATGGCGAATGCTAAGCGTCTGTCTAATGAGCCTAGGAAATGGCATGAACGACAGCGCGCCAGGAGCCCTAATCCCCTACATCGAAAAGCACTACTCAATCGGCTACGCAATTGTCTCCCTAATCTTCGTAACAAACGCCTTCGGCTTCATCCTAGCAGCGCCATTCACACATTCCATTGAAGCCAAGCTCGGCCGCGCAAAGAGCTACGCTCTCGCCCTGGCATTGCAGGTCCTGGGCTATATCGTCATCGTCTGTGAACCACCCTTCCCGGCTGTTGTGGCATGCTTTTTCCTACTGGGTTTCGGGATGGCGCTTAGTCTCGCCTTGAGTAATGTCTACTGTGCCAATCTGGCTGATGCCACGACCGCCCTGGGCTTTTTCACAGGGTCTTACGGTATCGGTGGTATTGTCGCGCCGTTGTTTGCTACTGCGATGGTTTCTGCGGGAATTCGGTGGTCGTTCTTTTATGCCATTACCTTGGCTGTCGCGGCGGTCAATTTGCTCTTTGCCATGTGGGCATTTTGGAAATTTGAGGATGATGCTTCTGCCGAAGCCCAGGTTGCTCTTCGGGCCGGTGCAGGTACATCCTCAGATACCGAGCCATTATCCCGAACGGCTGTTCTCAAGAAGTCCCTGCGGAACCGCACTACCCTCCTAGGAGCTCTATTCATCTTCGCCTACCAAGGCGCCGAAGTCTCCGTCTCCGGCTGGGTCGTCTCATTCCTAATCAGCTACCGAAACGGCGATCCAACACGAGTCGGCTACGTCAGTGCCGGATTCTGGGCGGGCATTACAGCAGGCCGATTTCTATTAACACACCCGGCCTCCAAGCTCGGCGAGAAGATCGCTGTTGTGGGGATGATAGCCGGAGCTGTGGCGTTCCAGCTTCTTACTTGGCTTATTCCGAATGTTATTGGTGAGGCTGTTTCGGTTGCTATCTTGGGTTTGTTGTTGGGGGCTGTTTACCCTTGTGCAACGTCTGTTTTTACGAAGCTTATTCCGCGCAATATGCATATGTCTAGTTTGAGCTTTGTTAGTGCATTGGGAAGTAGTGGCGGTGCGGTTTCGCCCTTCTTTACTGGTATTCTTGCGCAGAATGTTGGTACTATGGTTTTGCATCCTATTTGTATTGGGCTTTATGGGGTTATGGCTATTAGTTGGTTGCTTTTGCCGAAGATTGTTAAAAGGACTGAGTGAGTTGGTGTGGTTGTGTTGTCTTGCTTAGGAGTATTCGAGGTTTCTATACTCCGTCTGCGCGAATATATATTTGAATCCCACAGGAATTTCAATGGAATGGCTTGGATTTCAATATTTGCAGAGTAATAGGTAATCTAGTCCCGGATAACTCTAATTCTATCTCATTCAAGACATATGCGATATATATAAAAATGTACGTTACAGCAACGCCTAAATACAACAACCCCTCCCAACTGGTGGTATCACGAAACAACAACCACAAGAACGACCAATGATAAGTTAACATATAAACCCGAAAATAACAAACTCAAAAATCACGTCCACCGATCCTCATAACCAGGAGTCCCAGAATCAACCGGAGATCCAACAGCAGACATACTAACCGAGACTCTCGACTGCTGCTCAGGACGAGGACCCGGACCAGAAGGCTGATGAACAGGCCCGACATTCCCATTCCGATAATGAATCTGAGCGGATTGACCTTGACTCTGACCCTGACCAGGCGAATTCCAAGCCCCGCCCCACCCATCCATGCTCATACTATTATAAACAGCAGCATTCCTAGACCACCAATCCTGGCTCTCTTCAACTAGATTATCCGTGCCATCGTACCCAGACACGGGAGATGCAGTAGAAGCAGGTGTTGTATTCTGCGGTGGCATTTGAGTGCCGACACCATCGTACCAGGTTTGATGTGGAGATGATGGAGAGGGGGCAGTCGCTGTCATAGCAGGGAATCGGTACGCTACTGATGGGCGGAGGTATGTCGGTTCGGGTGGAGCGAACTCTGGTCTTTGGGCTTGCGGTGCTAGTGAGGGGTGTGCTGCTTGCATTGATAGGAAGGATAGCGGGACTGAAGGTGTAGAGGCGTGTTGCGGGTTCAATGACGCCGGACCGACCATTGTGACAGGGTTTGTGGGGAGGGATGATGGATCGGTGTGTCGGGTTAAAGAATATTGTGACGGCCTAGCTGAGTATCTGCTTGGGCTTGTGGAGGGTTGGAAGGTGGCTGATGTTGTCATTGGGGAGGAGTCGTCTGATGTGGAGGGTGAGGTTGCTTGGTCCCAGGAGCCCCATGATCCCCATTTCGTGTGGGTTCGTTCGAATATGGATGTTGCTTCTGGTGGTAGGTCGACTTGCCATTTGTTTGCGGATATGTCGAGGATACGGAGGGTGCGTCGGGCGCAGAGCCAGCCTTCGGCCATTTCTTCGAGGTTCTTGAGGCCGTGGATGACGTCTCTTTGGGCGTTTTTGTCGGGAAGGTTGAGGAGGTGGATTGTGCATGCTGTATGAGCGATGTAGACTGCGATGTTGCAGATTTGTTTTAGTCCATAGCTGCGTTTGTATACACGCATGAGCTTGGAAACGGATGCCGCGGCCTGTGTGCATATTTTGCGAGGCGAGACATGGGGTGGGAGAGGAGTGTTGGCCTTGGTATACTTCAAGAAGGGGCGGTACAGGTGAATGATCAGGAGCTGGTAGAACATGCTGGACAATAGTTAGTAAGATGGCATGGGTTACTGCTAGGGGAAGCTTACTGCATGACAAGTACTTGAGGTAGTTGTCCTTCCTTCGCTTCCAGTTCTTTGGGCAATTCTTTTTTCCATGCCTCAAGACGAGTGTGGACGTCACTTAGTTTCTTCAATTCCAACTGCTTGGGCTGGATCTTTTCCAGTTCAGCTGGGTGATAGAATAATACCAATAAGTCGCCACTGATCTCACACAGCTTAGATATCTGAAGAGCCACAGCCCTAGTCCGAGATATCTGCGTATGCTCGTGGCTCACACCAGAATCAGTGTATGGCGACCAGAGCTCTGTTTCCTCTCTCGGCAAGACATCAAATTTAGGCACATTGGTGGTGGTAGAAGTCAATTGAGGCTGACGTCCAAGGTAATTCGACCAGCATCTGTCTTATGTTAGAACATGATCGAGAAGTTGAGAAAGGAAACCTACTTGTCGATTAGATAGCATCCCCAGAAAGTGATCCGTCGAGCATCAATTTCTTCGTCGCTCAGATTGTGCGATCCGAGGTTCTTCGAGTCGAGGTTCAGCCCGAGATCAAAAGCCATGCGGAAACTGAGGCCACTGTAGACCCAGCCTTTTCCTTCACGACCACATCCCGCTTCTCGGACGGACATGAGTGCAAAGGCTTGCACAGTGCAGAGCTTTGCATTCTCATGCTCGTCATTCTCCAAAACTAGCCGCTTCGCTTCTTTGAAGAAATTGTTTCCTGCCGTAGCGAGATTATGGGTATCGTCAAAAGCACCTTGCCATGAGCTGAAATGACAACCAAGGGCCAGCATAGCATTGACTAGCAATGCAGAACAGTATGAGCTGGACACACCACGAATATAATCCCGGTAGAACAGATCCTTGGAAAGAATCGTAAAGAACGGATAGTGCCACGTGAAATACATAGTCATCAAATGACTGATTAGCGAGTCATCTTTTGTAACTTCCGTCCATCGGCTCACGGTGTGTACCTGATCTACACCGAAAGGGTTCGAATTTGACTCGTGCAGCTCCGAGCCGGAGGGCAGAAAGATGAGGTTTGAGGTACCGCCAATGAATTTACGGGAACCGTCGAGCATCAACTCGCTCATCTTACCTGCGAGCTCTGATTCGAACTGGTCGATCCCAGCACTATCATCGCCCGCTGGCTCTTTTGTTGCTTGGGGTGCAGACAGGAGCCCTTTCTCTTGGGCAGTCACTGCGTCTGCTACTTCTTCCAGGTCATCACAGGATCGAATCTGGCGGACCAGTTCGAAGGCATCTGCTTCGTCATAATTTAAGATTGCCTGGATCAAGGTGTGGAGAGTGGTGTTTTTAGTTCGCAATGTGTCGGTATCTTTTTTGTATACGCCCTTGCGACGGTGATCCGAGTTGGGATCATATACACCTATTAAGGGTTAGGGTTGGTGCTATTGCTTTCCTAAGAGATACATACATGGCGTATGATAGACGGAGTAGCAAGCTGCACAACTGGGTAGATTCCCATCACACTGCAGCCAGATGTAATTAGCAATGTGGCGTAGACTCTTGCTCGAAGTAAAAGCCATACCTTCGACTTCCTTCTGCGACATGCAACACACGCAGTGCTGACGCACCGTCTTTTGGACGGTTGGGTACCTTCGCTCATAATTTCAGATAGTTTGATAGGCGCGACTGTGGTTTGATGGTAGATAGATCTTTCTCCGCGGGATCACATCGTATGCTTAGCCTCGTGTCTGGCGATTACTGGTCCAATCCTCGACATGCATGCTACATCCATCTTCCGGGGATCATGCTCGTGAGTCAGATACCACAGTTTGCCAGATGCAATAGCCCTGGCAGCATATTAGTCCAAGTGCCCCTGGAAATCGCAGTGCCTTCATACTGTCGGCAAGCGACAAGCTGGAGCGAGTACTTGGCACGGGGAATGTCGCACCTATGATCTACACAGGCCGGTTGGCAATGAGGATTGAATCAACCCCACGATCTTGACCCGCAGTGGAGGCGAAGGATAGATGTATGATCGGATTCAAAGCTTTGGCCGTGGGAATTTGTAGATGCACTGAAATTGATTGGATGCAAGCAACGATGCAAGAATGCTATCGCAGGCCTCTGGATGGCTGTTCAGCTGTGATGCGGGCGCTCGATAAGATGCCATTAGTCATCTCACGTGCCATAACCTGGGCAAACCTCGGAATCTCTTAGTATAGAGAGTGTACGGAGCGCAACTACATGATTCAATTTTAACTTAGTTCCTATGAAGAGACATAACTGAGAGGTAACAATGGATTGTCTTGATACTATTTCCCGGATTTAATCCTATGCGGAGACAGGGTTACAGTGAAGAATCCGTAATAACGTTACTCCGTACAATCAGAAACAGCACGTGACTGGGCCTTATCGTCCCGTATATCCACCTGCGCACAAAGGAAATGAAACCGTTGTCGGTTCACCGCATTATCTTCGCTTATGGCGGTGACCTGTAAAGCTCCACCAGCCTCTCGAGTTTTGTTTTTTGAACTTTTCGTATTGAGCCAAGAAAGGAGCTACTGTATTGCTGTTCCCCCTGTGAGATTTGCCTGTCAAACAAGGATTGTGTACGGTATTTTGTGGGTCTTATAGTTTGTTTCCCCTTATTCATAGTTGATAGTCTAGGTTATTCGCGATCTACAGACAGACTCGTTGATGACCAAGGATATCCAAGAGAGACCAAAAGAAACCAATTTTTTTATTTTCTTATTTGGTTAGGCTGCAATGTCAGCCAAAACGCCACGGGAATATAGTGAGAAATAGGGGTTCACCGCACACTCGCTAAGGCCCACTGGCCACGTCTCGACTTACTCTTTTGGTTATCTGCAGCCACCCGCATCTCATTTATACTCCAAAGTAACCGGGGGAAGGGAGTCCGTTGGGGTTCCTAGCGATCTATCAATGTGACATGTTTATCATTACTTGTTTAATATTCAAGAGATAACTTAAGCATAGAAGTACATGTATAGGGTACACCATTGTAAATCAAAATAATATGTACATTGATGGAAATTCTTCTATTTTCTGGGGAGAACGGTGTGCATCTGCCGGCACTGCACTAACAGCAACCTTAAAGGGCCCACCCGAGTTCAACACACGATTGCGGCTAAGTGTATAGGTGCATGCCAGTTGTACATGGATTTGTAAGATGTAATGAGTCACATGTTATTTGTTTATATGTATTGCAGTTGATTGCACATTAAGACCATGTCTACGTGTCAGATACAAAGATAAAAATAGATAAAACTGTGCAAAATCGAAAGGAAAAAAAGAAAAAAGACGAAAAAAATAGGGCAAATCCCACAGTGTTCCGGACTCCACCGGCGGAATGTTCCATGAGTAATGGAAATTGCATACGCTGAACCATACCGGAACACGGCATTGTATTACTAACCAATCAATCTGGCTGTAATTTGGTAAAATACGGTCATCCGAGATCCCCGGGATTCTTACCTGCCCAATACGGCGTGGCTGAGATCACCCTTACTCGCCCTTATCTGCTCCCCAGGGCTATTCCCTTCCCTTCAATATCTACCTCTTCAATCCCTTCTCCTTACTCTCTTCACCACTCTCCTCACCACACCACCTCCCTCCTCTACTCTTCAAATCCTCCAAGCCTTCGACTCTGCAACTCTTCCTTCCTCTCTTATCGCCCTATCAGCTTATCGGGTCGCGTGCGTCCCTGCATACCCTTGTCTCACGGCTGCCCATCCGCTTTGCATCACTTCCTCCTCGGGCCTGCCCAACCTACATTCGGATTGGCTACCGGTCTCCCGTCTGATACCGCGACGGGAGATTTTGATATCCCACCATTTCTTCCTACATCCATGTATCTCGCTCAGACACTCGACCAGAGTGCCTCATCCGGCCAAGGCCTCGATCTGAACTGTGGACTTCTGGTGATATCGTTATAAAATGATGGTCCCTAGAGCCTTCCTCTTTAGCTCAGCACCGCCGCAGAAGCCCTTTCAGTCTGGCATGAAGCCATTTCCTTCTTCGGATTATCCCGACCTTCATGGCCCCGCCACAAAGACCGAGACCCGCAGATCAAACAGCACCACCCCGGTGGTAATTCCCCCAAAACGAGGCTCGCGGATGATGTCAGGGCGTCAAGACAGTCGGTCTCGTACTCTTTCCAAAACATCCGAAGCTTCTCGTCGATCGTCTTCTAGTTCATCTAGTGAACGCCACATTCCTACGTCATTCACCTCGATGCTAGATGCGACGGCCATCCCCGTACCACGACGAAACTGGTCTACACGCAGGCCAAGGAAACTTCCTCGCGGCAACCATGTCGAGGATTTCAACCGGATGCTGCGGGAAAATGTCCGAGCCAAAGATCATTTCCTCGATGGAACCAGCAACTCCCCTCTGGACATCCTTCTCAGTCCACCTGATGAAGACCACGACAAACTCATCGGCAACGAATCTGAGCAAGAAAGTCAGTTGTCGCTCAGATCGATATCAAGTGATTCGATGCCCTCACTAGAACACGGCCTCGTATCACCGTCCAGCCTGCCTCAGCCACCCACCCCGGGTAGCCAGAAAAGCCCACTGGAAAGGCGACAGCTTCGGTACTTCCATTCCGAGGAGTGTGCCTCAGACCACCCTCTTCTCGAAACGGAACTTGATGAATGTGAAGTCATCGAAATCCAAGAGGATGATGAGCCTGTGGCTCCTGGTTCAGCCCCTACGAAGCGATCTGCCTCGTTCGGATCTTTTCCACGTTTCGGCTCTACATTCAAGTCCAATTTGACGGCATCCTTACGGGCTATTAAATTCGCTGCGCACTCAGTCTCCACATTTGCCACACCCTCCGTTCAACCAGAAGACTTCCTCACTCGGTCTCTCTTTACCATTGCCCCGGAGTTGACTGATGATCGCCGCCCACTTCCGATGCAGGAAACGCCATCTCCAGCATTGCGCAGATACCTCAACCCAACCCCGATGTCCCCGGCAGAGATGCATGTCTACCACGACCACCCTCACGAGACACTGGAGGCTGCCAGTGCATGCTCCGTCTCTATCCAAATGCAGACCTATCGCCGGACCGGCGGCCGCAGCCATCGACGAAACAATTTCCACATCGCCAGCCGCGATAAACGGTTCACATTCGACCCGGAAGTCCCCCAAATGTCACGCCAACGTGAACCTCGGGAAAACAGTAACTTCCTCCGCGTGGTCGTCCTGGAAATGAACATGCGTCGCTGCGGCAAACTCCGCGATGACATCCCTACTCGCGCTCGCATCTGGCTTCCAGCCCGAAAAACCAACAATCGCCTGTCAGGCCAATACGAAGACTGTGACGACAATGACACTGTTCCGTCTCGTTGGGTCGGTGTCTCAGCCTAGACCATCCTTGCGCGGAGCGCAGGGGTCCCCTTTGGGCACTTCACCCGTACATACCATACTCCTTTTTTCTCTTTGATGATTCTCTACAAGCGTGGCGTTAGACCTGGATAAGCGTGTCCTGGCCGACACATCTTTTCCTTTCTTTTGTTACATACCCCTTCATTCTTTCCTTTGATCATTTGATCGCCCTAGGTATCCAATTTAAAACAAATTCTAAAATCACTTTAAAACATCTCATCCAATATATCACTTAGAACAAGCTAGAATTCGATATTTAATCTGTGTTATGATATCATCGTCCAGCTATGATATCAATTACCCCGCGTGGCTTGATGGGCCTCTAATCTTTAGGTTAAAGCCTGTTCACATCCATGCTCTGTCTAGAGTAAATAAACCGGTCACGCCGGTACTCGTATTTACTCACTTACCAAAGCATAGTTCGAATATAGAGTCTAGCTTCCTGCTTGCTCATATCTCCCTCAGTACATGTACTGCCAAGAATCACCTGAAAGTTTCGGCCGGATAACTTTCCTGCTTAGCGGTACATAGGCCGGCCGGTCGTGGGCTAGGTGTTGGGGGCCGTGGTACGCCTCCGTGTGGGATGATAGGCTTATATGGATTTCGGTTTATATTTAGCTAGGCACCTACCCAGGTACTATGATAACTTTGTGATGATAACGTTCCCCAGGTGTCAGCCGTATTGAACGTACAAGTGGCGAGGCAGCTTAAATGGCCGTCCCGTATAGTAGCTCGTATAGTAGCTCACTGCTACTATACGGGACGGCCATTCCCAAAACCAGAATGCCAGCGATACAAAAGTCTGAACCTAAGCGCTTATCAAAATGTACCCGGCAACTCCTTTTTTTGTTTTTCTCATGATGTAGCCTACGGTTAGTTCGTGTTATTCGTCTATTTAGTTACTTATCAATCCTGTCTTTGATAATAGACAGGCCTTCATTCATATTAACTTGTTTCCGCCACTACGAAAATCGCATATTGAGCTCAATGAAGTATAACTAACCTAACTCAGTCTCTTATCATCACCGAACTTGGAATTCTATCATTATGAATCATGTTAGCACCAATTTTGAAAACTGCCCATATGACATACCCTAAAGGAATTTCAGAGGGGTGTTCAAACTTACTCTCTTCATCTAGCAAAGTCCCGTGCTTCCAACACTCCTCAACCCAATCAACACTAACAACATGCGGCACCTTCTTACCTAGATTCTCAGCTAGAGATTTCCAGACAGAGGGGAGATCTACTGAGAATGAAGACTCGGTATCGATCACAACATGTGTTATACCTGAATCCTTTAAGGAAGCAGCACTTTGCGCGCCTGCGAATCGGGCTGTGTTTTGAGCGAGGCGGAGACGGATATATTTCCTTGTTTGTTCGTCGCCGTCAGATTCATTGGGTTGGGTGTAGAAGAAAAAGGCGAGGTCTCGGAAGAGCCAGCCGCGCGGTGCTGTGTAACCCGCATTTACTTTGTCTTGGATCTGGGATTCGATTCTTTGGATGGTGGTTGGGTCGAGGGAATTGTTGGGCTGGTCTTGGTTTTTGTTCATTTGATTGAAGATCTGCAAGGGTGGATAAATGTTAAGGAAGTACCTTAGGGATTTCTAAATGTAGTCATACCTCTTTCAGCTCGTCGACATTTGTATCGCGGGCATAGCTGTCCATATATTTGTCGATGTTTGCTGCGATTTCTTCTTCCTTGTCTTCCATTGTGAAGAACATGTGTCTATCGAAGTCGTGAGCATTCATTTACTATTGTTTCATGACTGTTGCGGAGACATACCTCGGCTCAAATGGTAGAAGGAAGTCGGGCAAGCCTGCGTCCTTTACATTCTGCTTGATACAATCGAGAAGCCAGGATGGTCGAATTATGTTTTGATCTCCACTCTTCTGCAACGAAGCTACTTTGACCGTCCCTGTGAAACCAACATGTCAGTCTATACTTGCTTATACTGGTTCACTAGAGGCTCACTTCTTTCGGAGACACATATCATATCTGCTGCGGCTGCCTTGGTCTGGAAGACCTTGCCACCATTAGCCTTCACAAGGTGTTCCAGTTGAGGCTTCGTTTTCTTTTCCGGGACTGTTGACTCGCTCATGACGACTAGTGAGCCGTTGTTAGCATGATACGACTAGAACAATGTTGACCAAGCCACCCACAGAAATTGAGCCCATCAAACACATGCCCGGAAGGACCAAGGTCCTGCAAATTAACATCTTGGTCATATCCTGCAACCGCCATCGGCTTTTTGGTGGTTCTCTTCGCTCGCTTCTTCCGAGAATTATCCACAGAAAACTCTTTCTCCTTATGTTCTTGCTCTGCATTGGACTTGAGATCAAGGAAGCCCTGGACCGAAAGAGCACTCTTCCAATCCTTATCCTTCCGCAGTTTCTTAAAGCGAGGGAAACGCAATGTCAATCCCATACGGAATGTCGGACTAGCCGCCACAGACGCGGCTTTCACGCACAGCACAACCGAGTCGGAGGGTTTGATCCACATATCCGGACGTTCGATTTGGGCATCCCCGCCGGCTAATTCAATATACTCAGTCGGTGGCTTTTTTACATCCCATTCTTTCCATTTGCCATCTGTGTTGTGACGGATTTCTTGATAATCAGCTGCAGTGAATCCACCACCGACTTTGCAGAAGGACCAGCATTTCATGGATTCTGGTTCTGATCCACGGGAGGTTTCATCAACTCGTAGTCCACAGAGGAAGCTGGATAGGTGGCCTCCTCGGTGACCTGAACCGTAGTATCCGCCAATTATAACCAGGTCGAGTGACTCACCAAACTCGGTCATGTATTCTGGCTTAACTTTCATCCAGTCATCGTGGCGCTCGTTGAGCCGGTATGGAGAGCGGGGGTTTTTCAGAACGAGACCCTCTGATGCCTCGGCAACGACGGTTCGCAGCGCTGTTTCAATCTCCGCGGTTGTGGTCGCTTCCTGATAAGGATGGATTTCAAATCGGCGGTGAACAGGTCGGATGGTTTTCTGCAGTGCATTACGACGATCGCGAAGAGTGTACTTCGTGAGATCTCGTCCATTGAGATGTAAAATATCAAAAATGCGGAACACCGGCCGGGGACCGTTGGAGAAGGGGTTGCGCTGTTCTGACAATGCGGCAGTTTTGAGAGTGCCAAATGGGACGATGGCATCTTGTTCGGGATTCCAAGTGATCATCTCGCCGTCGAGAATGATACTCTGTACCCCATCTACAAAAGCATCCTTAAGATGTCTTGTCAAAGCGCCGTTCTCGTCGCAGATGCCATTGCCGTAGAGGTAGGTGTATTCTTTGGCTTTGCGAGACCAAAAGCCGAACCTCCGACCTCCCTCCACTGAGTCGTCGGGCGTCATGTGGAGTTGCATTCGTTCTCCATCCAGCTTCTCCTCAATCCAGAAGACATTATCATCCTCTGTAGGTTTCATCCGAGAGATGATCTTCTCAAAAGAATGCATCTGGAACTGCGCCAACTGAGGCTGGAAACATTGCATAACAGTAATGCCGCGTTCCTCCCCCTCAAGCCGAATATTAGGATCATGAAGCTCCCAACAAACACGACGCAGACTACTCGAGATACTGTATAGACTCTCCCCGTCGGGATGCCAGACATTAAACAGCGTCCGTTCCGTAGCACCAACCTTCATCTGCCGAAGGATGATCCGAATAAGCCACAAAAGCTCCTCCGGATTCATACGCATATAGAATTCCTTCATAATAGGCAATTGCTCATCTTCCTTTGAAGCAGCAGAAAGCTTATCCAGCTTCTCATTAACCTCGTCGATAGTCATGTCGCCCGGGTCGGTCCGCATAGGCCGCTTCGAGAGAACATCAAAGCATCGCCCGGCAAAGTCGCCTGCCATCCGTGCTGTGGCACCTTGGCCGGGGAGCTTCCAGTTCATGAGGTTGTAGCCATCTTCCGATTCTTTGTTGATCTTCATGATTTTGACGAGCATTTTCCCGATAATCTTCTCTTTGATTCCGTACATTGGCCGGTCGCGATCTTTGTCGGGGAGTATTAAACGAAAGGCTGGGTAGATGTCATCGCCGACGTCCTTGCGCCATCGTGAAATGAAGCGTTCGATCACATCGCGCCGGCGCTCGTATGGGTTGAGACCGGCGGCGCTTTTACCGTGGGGTCCGAGTTTTCGACCGACCGGAGCTGGACCTGCTGGCTTTTTCTTAATTTCATTAAGCGGGTTGAAGAGATTGATGTAAAGATCGTGGAATGGAAGTGTTGGACCTCGATTGTGAGGTCTGTTGGGGTATCTGGCGCATTCATCGGTCAGTGGTTCGAGCTTGACCATTTGATATGTGAAAGCTCACTTCTCATCTAGATCCTCTGGTATATCTGGCTGATGGGGCCCGGAGCCCATAATTTCGTCAGAATCCATGTCTAGAGAGAGAGGAGAGAAGACCAGGGAAGTTGGAGAAGTTCCCCGGATGTTTTTAGGCTGCAGCCGATAAGAGATAAGCAGAGCCGCGTGGATCCATGGAGACACAGCAGGGCCTGGCAAAGAAATGAACATTCTTGGGTCAAATCAGTCCAACAAAGTCAGTTTCGCTTCTTCCTGCCTAGCCTACAGTATTCCAGAAGTATTCTAGCAGTATTTCCTTAGCCATCGTCACTTCGTATCTATCAGCCTTTTACCAGACTTCACGCGTCATGATTTCATACAATTCTCTCGAGGGCCCCGGAGAGACTCCAGAGTTACTACAACAGCATTGACAACCAGCCAAGTATCAATTAATAAGGGTATATCGCGAACGAAAAGATACACAAAAACTAGTATACATCGCCAGAACCATCCAGCAAAGATCAAACATGCTCAGACTCATGACGACGACTCTGCTCCCAAGAAGAATGATAATGACCCAAATCAGCAAGCCTCGTCAAAATAGCCACAAACTTCTTCGAAACACTCCAAGCCGTCAACCCAGAAAGAATCTCACATCCAACGCGCAGAACCCGCTCAGGGCCCCCAACCCCACAGATATCCCCAACACCAGTAACATTCCCCCTCATAGCATGGCCCTCCCTCACAAACAGCTGCACAAGTTCATCATCGCACGGCCGATCAAGATGAATAAAACTAGGCTCGTGAAGCGGCTCGGCACGCGGGGCCTGCAAATGCGGACTCGACTCATGGGATGTATGTGCATGACAAGAACCATACGCCCACAGGGTTAAGACGGCAATATACGCCGCGAGGGGTTCATGGAATGCATTTGTAGAGTAGCGGCGGACATGCCAGAGAGTAACGCCCGCGTGGATAATCGACAAGCGGGCTTTATATTGGTCGTGTTTCATCCAGCGCCAGATATACTGCCACTCGAGGGACTGGTGTCGTTTGCTCCAGCGGAGTTTTTCGGTGGCGAGGGAGAGGGCTAGGGTGCGCATTTCGCGGAATGGGGCTAGGAGGAAGAGGCGGGCGGAGTGGAGGTGCAGGACGGTTGCGTGTTCTAGGCCCTCTGCTTTGGCTATTGTGCTGTTGGCGGTCCAGTGGAGGATGTCGAGGCAGTCGCAGGCGCTGTTGCGCCATTTGGAGTAGGAGGGGATTCCCGGGAGCCAGACTGAGCCTGTTGGGATGGCGGTTTCGCGGGACTGCTTTTTTGCTGTTGGGTTCCAGAAGGAGAGCGGGCGTCGGAAGTAGTCACCGACTTCCCACATTCTGTGGTAAAGGGCGTGGATTAGGAGGATGTGGCTGAATTCTCCTATTCCGGATACAAGGCGCTTTTCGATGTAGAGGATGTGTATGGCGTCGTAGAGGGATTCGTTCACTGGGGGAGTTAGACTCTGGTCGGCTGTAGGGTCTGTATTGAAGGTACCGGAGGTATTTTCCCATAGCTGCTTCCATGTCTCCGCGGATGTTGCTTGCCATAGTTTCTCCCGGGCAGGCAAGGCGGCTTGTCCATCATCTAGGGATAAGTGTGGTCGATCGTCAAAATAGTAGGCGAGCGTACAATCCACCAGCTAGACCGTGTCGTCAGTAAGAAGCTATAATATCTTCACGGCAAGGCTTACCCATATGCAGTAACCAGTGCGCCTTCTGACTTCATCTTGAATCCAAGACATCCAAGCTACTTCTTGTGACGCGCTGCTGAAGTTTACTGGAATCGGCTCCAATAGCCTATCTCGTTTCATGAGTGTCACCAAGTCACCAAATGCGCTCAAAGCTGAGATTTTGTCTCGCTCATATCTACTGTGAAGTAGTCCAATGCAATTGAAAAGCATAGCTTGCAAAAGTTCGAGAGAAGCCAAACCATGGCGACTCTTTTCCTTCTGTGAGATCACAATGATCAGTAACCGAAAAGGATAACGTGTAATAAAAGTGCTTACCTCGACATAAATGCCGCGCCTGATTAACTCATGGAAACCACTTGTACATTGTTCCATCTGTGGGATATGTGAAACATGGCAGCCTACTGCCACTATCGACAATGTCAAAAGCCAGTGGCATGTGTTAGGATCGAAAGTCGAAAGATGTAGTATCGGGTAAACAGCCTGGAAAGAATCAAAGAAGAAGGCGATGAACCAGTTGCACTCCTCTGCAGTAGGAAATCCATCCGACTCGAAGGTATCAAAGAGCGGGTTTTCGTTGCGGCAGAGTAAAATGAAATGTCGATATATCTCGTCGTAGGTAGAGGCTCCGATTCGTTGGGCGAGATGTGCCACGTCTTCTGATACTTGATCTGTTCTTATCTCAGAGATGGCAGGAAAATTGAATCGATGCTCGCTATCTTCTAGCAGTAGCTGTCTTCCAATATCGATTGGCTCCACAGAAGAGTTCGACCAAGGCGTGTGTTTTTTTCTATATTTCGGTAGTCTGGCTCCAGCGCCATCGACGTAGTAATCTGCTGATCGCTTGGCAGAGTCTACTGACTCGGTATGTGGGGAGGACTCGCTCATAGGATGGGAATATTGATTGGGACTTTCCATGTTTGTTCCCAGGGAAACATGCACAGAGGGAGACTGAGACACATTTCCTGGGCGCAAAGGGCTAATCTGTCCAGCGCTGACAACTGGTGGCTGCCACACTGCCCCAGAGTAGTAGGCGCCCTGGCCGAGGGATGGATTGTAGTGGGAGGAAACACCAGTGGACTGTGGCTGGTCAGGTGGACCGGGAAGCAATTCATTAGGCAGCCAATTGAGGGTAGAAAGCATGGACTGATCGAATAACGTAGGATCAAACTCCAACGATACCTCGTGGTTATGCGCCATGGCCATCTCAAGGTCAACTGCTTCACTGGTCATTTCCGGTTGAAGATGCCTCATCTCAGGATTTAGGTTGGTGGGTTGATTGACCGGGAATCCTTTCGGGACGCCAGGATTCGATAAATCTCCATATGTCTGGCTTTGATCTCCATCTGGGTATACATCCATTGGAAGTTGTCCAGCAGATGACCCTTGCGCTGCATTTGGCAGATAAAAACGAGAGCTCGGGGCAGCTGTGATGGTGTTTTGCGTGCTTTGGGGTATTTCTTTTGTTTGATCACTTGTGGGAGCAGAAAATGCGTTGATCGCGGTCTTGGACGATAGCCCTTCATTGGGAGGGTTGATCGAGAACTGGCTCATGTGAGAAGAAGATTTCAACTTTGGACGCGCAGACCTGTGGTTGTTGTTATTGGCTGTTTCGGCTTTTTGCATGTCTGATTCTTTCATGGCTTTCGCTTTGGATCGCCTCTGTGTTGGGTATTGGCATTCGAGAGTACGAGTGTCACACCTTTTACAAGGTATGCCCCCGCTACATCGTACTCTTGCCGTGGCGCAACTAAAGCATGCTCGGAACGTTTTGACGGTGATCCGGTGCGCGAGATCTTTTCCGCCTTCGCTCCCTGGTGTATGATGGCTCAGTTCGTGTCGATGAAGAGTATCACTGCAATCCTAGATGTTAGTTTGGCTCCAGTCAGGATCGATAGAAGTCTCATACGTCCTTGAAAAGTGACGGCCGCACTGGGCGCACTCAAAAGGTTTCTCCTTGGTGTGACTGCGCAGATGTCGCTTCAAATGTTCAGGTCGTCGGAACGTGCTGCTACAGATCGAACATTGGATGTGGCCTGACCCCAGGTCCTCCCGTTCTCCATGATCATCGTCTGGCGGTTCAACGCTGATCTCCCGTCCAATTGGACTTTGGGCATCTTCTTTGCCCGAGAGCATGGCGCCTCCAGTTCTTCAAAAGGACAGATAACATTCCCATGCAGGTCAAAAAGTTGCAGAAATGAGGGGAAGGTAGCCTTGAAGGATGCGGAGAACCCTGACGAGAGGCGATTGGCGATTGGTCTCTATTTAAACGCGAATGCCCCGGCCTCGGTTAATTAAATCTGGGGAGAGAGCAGTGGAGAACGATCGTTGATATTATTGGTAGAAGTTAATGTAAAAATCACAGAAAGAAACAGTATTTCTCCTGATCTTATTTGTCCATAGGGTCAGTCAAGGTGTACAAAGGAGTTGTACTGGGGACGTTCGACGTTGACGACGTATGACGGTCGCACACGGCCGGTAACATAGTCCGACTAACGGGACATGTGAGGTCATTGTTGCTGCACTTCGGACTCGTAATTTGATCTTGGATCGTCTTTCTTTTGATATCCTCCCATAACTGATTTCTCGATATTTGGCGTCAGACTCCTAGAAAATGACTGAGCCCACCCTTTGCTCTCCCCAGCATGAAGATGGCTGCCTGGAGGGTCTACCTCTCAGGAAGTACCGATATCAAGGAAGGCATCATTTCTATCGTATGCTAGATGATGAATTTGGCAGGCGCCAACGAGCAGTTGACGAACCTGAACATGTACTTTTTTCTATTAATCCTGTAGACTTACAGCACGACTTCCTCGACCCAAGCAGCACTTACTTCCCAAAAGTTCGATTTTCGTTTGACATACCACACAGCTTGTTACTCGTGAAAATGTCTTCCCCCGAGCATGGGGCGGCCGTGGGGACTCTTGCGACTGAACTGGCACTTGAACTAGCACACATGGGGCCTAACACGCTGAACGAAATCACGTCTTTTTCCGGGTCTGGTATTCGAGCTGAGGGCAAGGGGAAGGCCGCCGACTTCGCATGGGGACCTCGAGTCCCTCCAGCCGGTGCCGGTGCTACAGGATCGGTGACAGTCGCTGTTGAAGTGGCTGTGTCTGAAACACCCACCATGCTTAAACGGGACATTGACTATTGGTTGAGTCCCACAGCTGGAAACGCCAATTTAGCCATTGCCATGAAAGTGAGCAGATCAGAGGCTAAAGTCAGTATTGAGATGTGGCGGCAGGCTAGCAGAGGCGCTCATCGCACCCAGCATACAACCATTTCGAAAGTGAACAACAGGGTGACAATTTCGGGGGACGCGGTGATTATTCCATTCCAGGATTTGTTTGGAAGGGCGAAGTTGCCCCCAGCCGAGAGGGATGGGATGATCAGCGAAGACCAATTGAAAAGGGTGGCGGGAGCAAGCTGGGCTCAACAGGGCTTCTAGGTGCAAACTTTCCCTCCAGCTTTTCTTTTTTCTAGAAGGATATCACCACCTGCATCTCATCAAGCCCAAGTCACAAGCTGCCAAGAATGTCGATCTCCGGGTCGGTCTCCGGCCGCCGCCGGCTCCACATCGTACCTAACCACATCACATCAACAGCTACAGTGTACATACATACCCGAGGCGGGAGATCGATTCCATGAATGGCGATTCCGCTTCATCCGCGAACCAGCGGTTGGCCATGTCCCGCAATGACCCCGCTCGACAAGGCGCCACCTTGGCTTTTCGACACTCCAGGGATCCATCACCCGTGAAGAACAAACCATCAGCCGCTCTCGCTGCGGCACTTGCAAGCAGAGTGGATAATCATGAGCTGGTACGCCAGTCGACCGGATCCGACCCAGCACCCGAAGTGGGCTCCGTGAAGGACAAGATCGGGAGATTGACGGCAAGGCCACTTTCCCCTCCTGTGAGCACGCGAGGTCGAACCTCAGCCTCATCGCTCTCGCCAGCTCCTGAGCAAGTTGCGGCCCGACTCGCTGCGTCAAGGTCCCCTGCACGGGACCCCAGTGCACCGCCGCCAGTATCTCCAATGTCTGCTGCCAGGCTCGGCGCGTTACGGAGTGCAAGCAGGATGCGAACATCTAACCCGGAGCCAGAAAAGCGGGAGCTACGGTCCCCAACTCCTCTTCGTCCAGACCCTGGGAGACGTAGTCCTTTGGATCGCATGCTGCAGGATGACTTGGAATCCGATCGCGAGCTACCAAGCTACGAGCGCCCGCCATCCCAACAATCCAGGATGACCATAGATTATCCTGATAATCGCGTCTCGAGCCCTCCGCCATCTGTCGGGCCCCGGTATTCTTCCGTACCACCACAAGACGCAAAACCCAGACTTCCACCACGGTTGCCTCCATCACGGGCGTCTGTCAGAAGCCATGGAGCTCTCCCAACACCCCTGCAACCCTCAACCCCGGGTGCGGTCTCAGTATCAGGGTTATCGTACAAGTCTAGTACATCCAGCCTATTAAATGAGTCCACCGGAATGAGCGAGGAAGCACTCTCTAATGCCATTGTCGCATCCTCCCTCGCATCATCACGAGCATCCCCGGCAACCAAGGTTCCCCCACCGCTACCTCCACAGCGACGGCGGGCACGGTCCATTCTACATCTGACACACTCGCCCAAGAGTGATCTCTCCAGGACCCCGAGTCCCCAGAAGGGCATGCCGCAGACTCTCCGCGGCATGCCGAAACCCACCGAAGCCGATCATCGAAAACACAGAAACCTCCTTCACAAGCACCCCCACAAGCACCATGAGGGAGATCGTAAGCGCTGGCGACGCGAAGTGACGGAGAAGGAACGCAAACGGTATGAAGGTGTTTGGGCCTCGAATAAAGGGCTCCTCATCCCCAGCATGAACGATCGGGTCCCCGGCCCGTGTGAAGACGGCACTTGGCCCCCCAATTCTTCGGATATGGTCGTCAACCTCGTTGTCCGCGAGATCTGGTCCCGCAGCCGCCTCCCGAACATGATTCTGGAGCAAGTGTGGGATCTTGTGGATCACCAAAACATCGGGTTGCTAGATCGAGAAGAATTTGTCGTCGGAATGTGGTTGATCGATCAGCAATTGAAGGGACACAAACTCCCCGTGAAGGTCCCCGACAGTGTCTGGGATAGCGTGCGGCATGTTGCGGGCATTAAGCTCCCCCTTGGAAAGGGCAAGGGCCATGCTTAAATGTAAATGCGCTTACGAATTGGAATATGCACCCCCTTCTCCGTACGTCAATGTATACCAACCAATACAGTAGTACCTTTAGGGATATAATTTGCGTCGGGACCCACATGGAATTTGATATTCGCATGTCCGACATTACGCCGAGGCTGTATGGCTGGAAGTCATCACCGGGAACACCCCCCCGGGATCATCACAAGCTCTCTTCATCCACACATCAAAAGAATAAAATTGGATCTTATACATCATCGCACTCTAGTGCGCACGTGATCTTGTTTCAGGCGGTAAAATTACGTGCTTTCATCGCCCCTGGCTGCGTACTACTACGAGTAACAGATGTACGGAGGTTGTCACCATTTATGCCTTGACCAAATCAGTGTAAATATCAAGAAAATAGACGGACACACAATTACACAAATATGCACACCGATATCAATATCCATCATCCATCATAGCGGTATGCATGTCCCTGCGTTGACAAATCTCCAATTTGGGGTGGGCTGCTTAGAGAGAAAGCAAATCCCGAAACCTCCAAGCTCGGGATTTGCGAAGATCACCGCAAAGTCTCTCTATGTCACTCACTTTCAGACTCATCTTTTGTTTAATTTGCAACTTCCAAGTTGAGTCGCAAAATGCGCCCAACTAATGGTGTTATTTGCGAATTGATGTAGATTTCGAAGAATTTTTTGGAGACGAACTCGGAGATCCCCTTATAGTTGTGACCATGGCCGACAGTTTCCACGATTATAACGGGCTTGCCTCGACGGCGCGGCCAGTTCGCAAGAAGTTTGCCAAACCGCCTGTGAAGGTAGCTTGTCTGCCTTGGTGAGCAAATCCCGGTTTCTCTTTATGGACTTTCCCCGCTAATTTCTTCCAGTCGGGCGTCGAGAACACGCTGTGGCGGCCAAACGCCCTGTTCGAATGTATGTTTGCTCTAGTTTTGCTGGGATTCCTTTTGGGTCTGGCGCAAGCGCTAAGGATATGTTTGGACTAACTCTCGATCTGCTTTAGTGTGTCAGCAAAGATCGTGAATGCTCATATCTTCCTAGCAAGAGAGGCGGTCCACGGAAAAAGAAGGAAAAGACTTCTGACTCGCCAGAGAAAGAGTCTAGGCAAAATGATGCGCAATATGGTACTATGCCTTCGCCCGGCGAGTTCGAAGATGGTATGTACATGTAACGACTCACGCCTCGCCATGTCACTAACGAGGGCTCAGCATCGGGGATGTTTAGTCAAATCGATGATCTCGCCCTGCCTGGTGCAGGGTTGCGACATCTCGATCTCCAATCCGAAATGCCATCCATATTCCAGGGCTACTTCACTGGCGAAGGGCAATCACATATGCAAGTGCCTCCGATGCCGCCGTCCACGACCAGCTCCCAGTCCTTCGTTAGGACCTATGGAAGTGAACCGGAGATGTAAGTTCTGTTTCTGCGTGACATCCAACACATCTCTTATACATTCAACCAGATTGAATGCCTACTATGATTTCATCCATAATTATTTCCCTATTCTACCACCACGGGTCTCACCACCATGCCGAGATCGACCCTTGAATGTCCCCGTTCCAGGTTCTAATACACCCGAACCCATGATGATGTATCGACCCAGATCACCGCTAAGTCTTGCAATCTCCGCAATCCTGGCTTTGATCCCGCACCCAAGGGATCTCGAACCATCTTCTGCAGCATCTATTATTCAACGCAGAGCCTACGCGCACAGTTTTGCCCAGCTTGCAAATTCAACTATCGAAGCCGAGTGTGATCTTGACTTGTCGGCAACTGACCCCGGTCAGGCATTGTCTGCAGCACGGCCTTTTGTTGGACGGGAGAGGTTCCATTCTAGGACGCCTGTGGATCTCGAGAGTCTTCTTGCCTTGTTGATTCTTTCTGTATATGAATATGCGCAACGGGGGAATTTGCTCAAGATGAGATATCGGGCTGGTCAGGCCTTGGCAATTGCTTTGGACAAGTCGCTTTATGCGCAGATGGAAAATGATGAAATTTCAGAGGCTAAACGGAGAGCTTGGTGGTTGACGGTTTGTCTCCCTTGAATTCGAGTCTGGGATTATGATTGACCATTTATTAGTATTATTGCGTTATGCAAGGGTCTATTGTGAGCACGACGGTGAGTATAATCATTCCGTTGATTGTGAACTTGACGCTTATCGAGAAAAGATGCCTGCCATTGTCATTAATGATCCCCAGTTTACGACACCATACCCAACCTTCTCATCTGATGCAGAGGTTTGTCTGGACAATTCAACTCTCGCCACATTTCGGATTTGCTAACTCTCCTTCAGGGTTGGTCAATTCTGATACAGGCCCAACAAGTCCTAGTATCAGCAACACAATTTATTGGAGACCTCAACAAGTGCCTCACTTCGCAATCAGGCCTGTACTATATGTTCGAACGCATGCAACAACTGGATGCATGGACAACCGCTGTAATCACTCAAGCAGAGTTACTTCCCATCATGCCCCAATCATCAGACTTCGGCGACCATAACGAATCCATCACAGCGCTAAGCATACGCGCAATAGCCCGAATCAAACTAGCCAGGTACGCACCCCAATGCCCTCTACAATCCACATCTAACTAACCAAAACCCCCAGTGCCCAAATCAAAACGCACCGCTTCCGAGCCTTCTCCGACATCCCAATCTTTATAAAGCGACACTGCGACCTAACAGCCGCAAACCCAAACACAACAACCTCGAACGAAAAACCCGGCCTGCCAAACTCAGGCATAACCAACGTAACCTGCTCCTGCAGCAACCTAGATACATTCCGCCGAGCCGCCTCATCAGAATACATGACTCCCTCTGATTCCTCAACAACATCTTCCGAAATCCACCCAGACATGAACACCTACGCACCCCAATACTCGCAATACCCTTTCGCCTCGAGTTTCCCCTACAGCACGCAACAATCAGCGAAAATCTGTCTCCAGGCCGCTCTCGTTATCTCTCGCATGTTCCAGAGCTTGCCTGTTCCTCAGCCGCTCACTGATAGTCAGCAGCAGCGGCGCCGCCCATTGCCGAGGACTATGCCTTCATTTGCGTGCTGTCTTATGCAGAGTAGTTATGCCATGTTCATGATCTTCTATAAAGCTCGCGTGGCGAAGCAGCTGTCTCTTGATGCGGATAATGAGCAGAGTAGTGATTCCACTGGGCAACTTATTCAGGAGTTGAGACAGGGGTTGCAGCGGATTGTTGCTGCTGTTTCGAATTATTCGCTTGCTTTTGAGGCGATGGATGGGATGAGAGGTGAGTTTATCCTGGTTCTCTTTGGGTTGATAACCTGGTATGTCGTCTTGCTAACATTATTTTAGATGAAATCCAAGGTGCATATAAAACGGCGTTCCCAGCATCCCATATTTAATCCGGATTTTCTCTTCTTTTTTTTTTTTTCTTTTTTGGTACATCCAAGCCTACTATTTGCATATCGAAGATCCTCCCCTCTTACGACTTATATCTCCACTGTTCCTTTTTCTGCTCTTTTTATATCCTTTTTTTGGGACGGGGAAGGCTTCCGGCGTTTATGGCATGTGGATTTCAAATTCTTTCTGTCCTCAACTCGCATCGATAGTTATTCTGTACGCACACGAAAGCAGACCCTATCCTGCCACATCTATAATCCATTCATCAAGATCGAATAAAGCAATATAATACGCCTATCGAAATAATCCGTCTCTCGTTGAAATTTGTATATATATATATGCATGGGAGAACAAAGCAAACCCTAGAAAAGAAACGCATAGTTATTTCCCGTTTCCATTCTAACCAAATGCTAACAGCAACTTTCCCCGGTTAATATCCAGTCTCAATCTACAGTTTAGACCGGATACCCTCAAGCCGGAACTTGACATCCTTCAAAACCTTACTAGAAGGTTTCCAGTCATCAAACTGCCGAAGTAACTCCATCGTCTCGTCGTGTAGTTCGCGACGCACGAATTCTTCTTCTAGAAGACCGCGCATGGCGAAGGGGAGGATATATGGATTCGGAGTGACGGAGCCGCTGGCTCGTTTGATGCTGATTGTTGAATTTGGGACAGAGGATGTTTCTAGGGCGAATTCGATGGCCATGCTAGATGGGTGATGGTGTTAGATTTGGATTAGGAGGCTGTTTGGGGCGTGGGGGGTTGCATACTAATATACCGCTTCATCGTCGTACAGGCGAGAATGGCCTTCTCCAGTGTATAGACTGCCTGCTAGTGGGGCGCTTAGTTCGTGGATTAGACCGTGGTCTGATATACCCAGGTTTCGGAGCTTGAGAGCGAAGCCGACTAAGTGGGAGAGGCTATTATTCGGTTATTAGCATTTTTGATGAGTTGGACAGAGGTGAGCGTTGCTTACAAACTTGGGGCATGGACGCGGCCATCGACGAACACGGCGCGGTAGACGTACGGGTGCGCTATGGGTGAGAAGAGGGAGGACTGGGAGCAAGTTAGAGGAATGGTATATGATAGAAGTGAGGAATGTACGCACCTCCAAAGAAACGAGTTGATCGTCAATACTGCCGATGTAAGAAATGCGGACACCAAATTCAAGAGCACATTTTAGAGCTGCCTCATACTCCTTCGAAACTTTGCTGAAAGGAAGTGCAAATTCAAACAGCTCTCCAGCCGAGCCGCTGATCCAGCGAGATCTGTAATCAGGGAAGGGACCAAGGTTTACACCAGCCATGGCGCAAATCCCGACTCTTTTAGCATCAAGGCAGCCAAACTGGATCAGCTTCGCAACTAGCATAATCGCCACTGGTACTCCTTGACTGTGACAAGCAACCATTATAAAATCTGCTTTGCGGATCTCTTCCATCCAATTCAGAAGCAGCTTCCAGAGTACGTCCACCCGCTCCACAATGCGGCCTTCTCCTTCTAAGGCAATCTTTTCAATGTTGCAGGCATAGCCGTGGCTTTCTGTGTACTTGCGAATAGCGTCCGCTGCCATATTGGAGAACCGAATTGAGGTTCCTGTGGGTTGTCCGAGTACACTCCGAATGAAAGGAGCTGGGAAATATCCATGGACACCAATGGCCAAGGCGTGTTTAACATGCAGCGGGTCCTTGACTCTGCTAACATGTTTGAGTTCTGGCCCTTTTCCATAATGGAGGAATCGACCAAGACTCTGGAAGAGGGAGGGCGACTCCTCGAATGTGTACGTTTCTTCGAAACGTGGCAATACCTGGTTGGGGAGGATTTTCTGTAATTGCTTTGAGGCGGTGGTATCAGCTGGTCGAGGCTCAACGGGTGGTGTAGGTGTGGAACTGGTCTCGACCGCAGACACAGATCCGTCTTTGGCGCGGTTGTCTTTAGGTGGTTTGACTTTGATGCTGCCCTTTTGGGTGATCTTCACATTTGTTTCTGGGTCTGGCTCAAGTGTTGTCGGCTTGGATTGGGCGTGTGGTTCAATCGATGCTTCAACCGCTTCGCCTTCCTGCGGTTTGTCTGAGTGCCCGTCCTTTGTCGAATCCTTGGACCAGAATGACCAGCCAGATGATCTCGTATTTCCAACCGGATTCCGTGTCCCTCCAGTGGGCTCTCTTGCCTCACCTGGGGGATCCTTGGGTGTCATATTGATGTCGGCAGTTTCGGGTGATTCCGTATTCGTCGAAGAGACTGTGGGTTCTGAAGCTGATGGCTCTTCTTTCTTGCTGGGCGCGTTAGAACCGTACCACATCTGAAGCCAAGATCGCTTCTGCGCCACTGGAGTAACTTCTATAGTATCCTTTGTCTGCTCTGGCTCCGGTTCTGTTTGTTCTTCTTCGGCTGTGACGTCCTTCGTGGTAGGTTGACCTTCAGTCGGCTCTGTAGTTTGGTTTCCGACCGCACGCTCCGCAGTTCCTGTCGATTGTAGTGCAGCCGCAACACCATTAGATGTACTTGGCTGCCCATAGATCCATGAGAGCCAGCTGCTATATTGTTCAGGGCCCTCTGCATGTCCTACATGCAAAGTGCCAGGATCGGTGTTAGGAGTAGCCTCCTGTTCCTTGGCGGGTTCTTCCAGTGGCTTGGTGTCGTTCTCGCCGGACGTTTCTTTATCGGGTGTTACAGTTCCCGTTGCACTGAATTCTCCGGTATCGACGACAGCTGGCGTGGAAGCCGACCCATCTGATGCAATGTTGACACGGGTTGTAGTAGCATCAGCAGGGAGAGATCTGGCCGAGGACCCCGATTTTCTCGTAAGTTGAAGGGAGGGATGTCGAATCTTGTTGGGTGTATCAAGGAGAGAAGTTGATGAGGCTGTAACGCTCGAAGCTACGTTTCTCGCCGCCGAAATACTCTCACGGGCAACCTCGGTAACTGGGGCCGCTTTGGTGACTCTGGCAACGGATGACCAGGACCCGGGATACCAGCTCTATAACATGAGAAAATCGATTAGCCAGACATATCTTGAATGTGCTAGACAAACCCAATACTCACTGCATTATGCCCTCTCGACTGGGAGTCAGAACGAGCTCGGGCATTACTGGGCGCTGGAGTCGGCGAGTCCTCGCCGGAGGGGCTGGGCTTGACTCTCTTGCGAGATCCCTTCGTCATGGAGGTAGAGGTAAAAACATCAGTAGAGCTATGCAATCAGTAGACAAGCATCCGCCACGAGAGGGTGCCTGAATGATATCACGTCACATGTCTGGCACCGCTTTTGGCCTCAGGCCACAAGCTGGAGAACCTGGAATCGGTACAAAGGCGGTCAGCGATAAGTATTGCCAATTTTTTTTCTCAGATCTTCGATGGAAAAGTATACATTCGCTCTTTTCCCCAGTCATTTAGTTCCGCCTTTTTTCTGGTCTGAATAGATCAGTTTTCCGTCAAAATGGCGATCCAGAAGAAGGTCAGTCATATTTTTTTCCGGCTCACTTTGCTTCATTTACTGACTATCTGCAGCATGGAAAAGGTCGTTTGGATAAGTGGTATCGGCTTGCCAAAGAGAAGGGTTACCGAGCCCGTGCTGCTTTCAAGTTGATCCAATTGAACCAGAAGTATGGTTTCCTGGAGAAAAGCAGAGTTTGTATCGATCTTTGCGCTGCGCCTGGTGTAAGTACCATCAAGTCATCCTCTTTGTGAAAAGTCGCATGTCTAACTTCTCCGCAGTCTTGGTGTCAAGTCGCTGCAGAGTACATGCCCGCGCAAAGTCTGATCATCGGTGTCGATCTCTCCCCAATCAAGCCAATCCCCCGAGCCATTACTTTTCAGAGCGATATCACAACGGAAAAGTGTCGCGCCACCATCAAATCCCACCTCAAGCACTGGAAGGCCGACATTGTGCTTCACGATGGTGCACCCAACGTTGGTGCCGCGTGGGTACAGGATGCTTTCTCCCAGGCTGAACTGGTTCTGGAGTCCCTGAGGCTGGCCACTGATTTCTTGGCCGAGGGCGGAAGCTTCGTCACCAAGGTCTTCCGTTCCAAGGATTATAACCCACTGCTGTGGGTTTTCAAGCAGCTGTTCACTTCCGTCGAGGCCACCAAGCCTCCTTCCTCTCGAAATGTCTCTGCCGAAATTTTCGTCGTTTGTCGCGGATACAAGGCCCCCAAGCGCATCGATCCCAAGTTCCTCGACCCTAAGCACGTCTTTGCTGAACTTTCTGCCCCTACTCCCAACTATGAGGCGAAGGTCTTCAACCCGGAAAAAAGAAGCGTAAGCGTGAAGGTTATGAAGAGGGAGACTACACCCAGTTCAAGGAGCTCCCAGTCACTGAGTTCATCAACACAACGGATCCCATCTCTATTCTGGGTGGCTACAACAAGCTCAGTTTCCAACAACCTCCCGGTGGAGATCTTGCCATGTCTACCCTTGAGCGTCTAGAAGATACTACAGAAGAAATTCGAACCTGCTGTGAGGATTTGAAGGTCCTTGGTAAGAAGGAATTCCGCAACCTGCTCAGATGGCGTATCAAGGTTCGCGAGAAGTTCGGTCTCGTTGTCAAGAAGAAGACGCAAGAGGGAGACGCGGAAGAGGTCGCCGAGGTCGCCCCCATGGACGAAGAGTTGGCCATCCAAGAGGATCTTATGCGCATGCGCGAGCAGGAGACTGCCAAGGGCAAGAAGCAAAGACGCAAGGAAAATGAAAAGAAGCGAAAGGAGATTGTTCGTTTGCAGATGAACATGACCACACCAATGGAAATTGGTATGGAGCAGCTTGGAATGGGAGGTGATGACACAACTTTCTCTCTTAAGCGTGTGGACCGCGAGGGTGCCAGAGACAAGGTAATCAACGCTCGTGATCTTCCAGCTGAGAGTGAAAGCGAGGATGACTCTGAATCCGAAGATGAAGAGAGCGATGACGAAGGTGATCGTCTCGAACGGGAGCTTGATACTCTGTATGAGAAATACCAAGAGCGCAAGGAAGACAAGGATTCAAAACTGCGTGCCAAGAAAAACCGCAAAGAATACGAGAAAGATGAGTGGGATGGCTTCTCTGATGAGAACAAGGGCAGCGATGAGGAGGAGGAAGAGGAACAGGAAGATGAAGAGATGGTCGATTCAAACACAGTACCTCGTCCTGGAAACCTCTCAAACAATGCCTCCTTGTTCTTTGATCAAGATATCTTCCACGGGCTAGGAGTCGAGGAAGACGAGGAGGAGGAGGAGGAGGACGAAGAGCAGGAAGAAGGAAAGCAAGAGGCGGATGAAGGTGATAACATTTTTGAAATGGACGATGATTCGGACGTTGAGGAGAAGACCCCTGCTTCCAAGCAAAAGAACAAGAAGGATGCCAAGAAGAACGCCAAGAAGGACTCTGAATGGGAAGATGAGTCCGACGAGGGCGAGCCTGTCGACCTAGGAGATCCGAAGAAGGCTAATGGCCAGCTGGGTAAGTGACGTTGATATGCTAACCGCCGAGATTCCATCACTAACATCCTGTGCAGATATCGACATTATTACCGCTGAGGCCATGGCTCTTGCGCAGTCAATGGCTACCGGTGAAAAGAAATCGACCGATATTATTGACGATGGCTTCAACCGATTCTCCTTCCGTGACGTGGACGGTCTGCCTGAGTGGTTCATTGACGATGAAGGCAAGCACAGCAAGATGGTTCGTCCCACCACCAAGGCCGCCGCGGCTGCTATCAGAGAAAAGATGCGTGCCATCAACGCCCGTCCGATCAAGAAGGTCATGGAGGCCAAGGGTCGCAAGAAGTACAAGGCCGCCCAGCGCTTGGAGAAGCTGCGCAAGAAATCTGCACTTTTGGCAGACGACGAGGCCCTCAGCGAGCGTGACAAGGCCGGTGCCATTGCCAAGATCATGAGCAAGGCTGGCAAGAAGAAGCCCAAGCAGGAAGTCAAGTTGGTTGTGGCCAAGGGTGCCAACCGTGGTATCTCTGGCCGTCCCAAGGGTGTCAAGGGCAAGTACAAGATTGTGGATGCCCGTATGAAGAAGGATATTCGTGCGGAGAAGAGATTGGCAAAGAAGAAGAAATAGAGGAGAGTGTCTATAGTTGAATCGAGTTTACATAGCAAAAATCAAATCATTGTGATACCCCACGGTTCATTCTTCTTAATTCTCTGGTTTCAACAATTGCCTTTCATACGAGATACACGAGATGACACAAGTCAAGTCAAGTGAAGTCAAATATAAGAAGTGAAGTGTAGTCAAGGTACAGTCTAGAGCGCCAAGACAACGGGGATCGCGTGGTTTTCCCCGAGTGGCGCCTTAATCGATAAGCCTTTCTTTTTCTTTCTTCTCTCACCCCTCTATCCTTAGTCCTTTGCATACACTTCCTTGCATTTCTTACTTTGTTATTTGTTCATATTTTGCATATTCCCTATGGGATTTTTCGATCACCTCCAAAAAGGAGGGGCCGGAGCCTTCTCTCTACAACCCAAGAAAGCGCAAATCCGCAAAGTCGTGCAGACTCGACCTGCTGCCCCTGCAACTACACGATCAGCAACACAAACCCCGGATACTCGATCGCCTCGAATCCCATCCTCGTCGGAGCGGAGCCGGAAGACGCACCCGCTGAAAGCCCGATCAGTCTCAAGCGACGCCGATGCACGCTCGTCGAAACGAAGTACCCCCTCGCGCATTCGGAAAAGGCCTACACCGGAGCAACGGCTCTCGAGCGATGATGATGCGAGTGACAGTGATACCTCGTTCGAAGTGCGAAAGCGTGCAAGGACGAGCGCCAGTGCCGAACCGGACCCGGAACGGCGGCTTCGGTCAGTGAAAGCATTCTCGGAGGAAGGGTCTCGACCTTTCAAGATGGTGCATGCTGCAGACATCTCGGGCCAAAAGGCCAGCAAGTTCAAGCCGGCGTTCGGTGCCGAGGGCAAGTCGAAACAAATCCTCCTGCAATACCCCAGTGCTTCGCAGCAGGAGAGGTATGTGATTTGAACAAGTCTACTTTGGGTTAAAGTCAGACAGGCTAATTTTTCATTAGATATGAATCAGTGGTCCCTAGAGACAATGACGAATTCCGGCCCATCGACGATATCGTGCAGGTCATCGAGACTGTTTCCGACAATTACATTCCAAGTGAGGAGGCGGACGAGTTTAATGACGAGACGACTGGTATCAAGCGAAGATTACGCCGAGCTCTGGCTGTCACATCCGAGACCCAATTCAGAGAGGCTGTTGGTGATTACAACAAAGCTATTCAGCGACTGAGAACCAGCGGGAGCCTTGCCAAGCATCTAGACACAACGGAACGTATCAGTTTACCGTGGGTGGAGCGCATTCTGACTCAGATTTATGCGCGCACGGTATCACCTCGGGTTGACTCCCTCCGACAATACGAGAACGGCACGGACAATGTCTATGGAGAGCTTCTCCCCCGCTTCATCAGCACTATTTTCAAGGAAACCAAGCTCAAGTCAGGCCAGGTATTTGTCGATCTTGGATCTGGTGTGGGCAATGTCGTCCTTCAAGCGGCCCTTGAAATTGGATGTGAGAGCTGGGGGTGTGAGATGATGTCAAATGCCTGTGATTTGGCCGAGTTGCAGCAATCCGAGTTCAAAGCGCGATGCCGTCTCTGGGGAATTTTACCAGGCAAGACGCATCTTGTGCGTGGTGATTTCCTCGAGCAGGAGAGCATTATCAACGTCTTGAAGCGGGCTGATGTAGTGCTTATCAACAATCAAGCGTTCACACCCCAACTGAACAACGAACTCATTAACCACTTCTTGGATATGAAGGAAGGCTGCAAGATCGTCTCGCTCAAGTCATTCGTCCCTGCTGGCCACAAGATCCAATCCCGCAACCTGAACTCTCCTGTTAACCTCCTCCAAGTGCAGCAGAAGAATTATTGGTCGAACCACGTTAGCTGGACCGACGTTGGCGGTACATATTTCATTGCCACTAAGGATAGTTCTCGGCTTAAGTCATTCATGGAAAGCACTCTATGAATGGCGATAGCCTGATCGGTCACTTTGGATTGGCACGTATATTGTTTTTGGCATTTTGTATAGTACCTGTCTTTGGATATACCTTTCCATTTCTTTTGGTTTCATATATGATATTATCTCTGAATATATAGAATTCAACTACATTTGACATTTCAGGCATGCAAATAATTCCATGAGTCGACATCTAAAGCAAACGCTATGTGATCTATTTGGTGCAGCCAAGTGAAAGGCACCGATATTCGTATACAATTCGCCAAAGGGACTTCCAGCGACCCTGTTGTGCACCCAGTGCATTAAACGATTAAGAAAATTTTGATGCCTTGTTCATGGCGTCAGCTTCCTGGCCCATCCTCGCCATCCAACGATCCACCAGATCCTGGTTCTCCTTTTGAAGCCGAGCTGAACGATCCTCAGCCATGTTGAGTTGAAGGTTCAGTGTTGCCATCTCGTCTTGGAAATCCTGTGAAACCAGACGATATTAGCCTACACTTCGCTCAAAATCCTATATGACTTCCATCAAAGGGAGCCGAGCTGCTTACCTCTAGAAGCTTGGCTTTCCCTTTCAGTTCGGCATCCCTGTCTTTCAAACGGAGCTGCAGATGCACCTTCTCGCTTTCTAGAGTGTTAATGCGTCGATCATCCAGATTACCCTTCCTGTGGAGCTTTTCTAACTCCTTGCTCGCTCGGTTTAAGCGGTCTTGCAAGTCATACCGGGAGCGCTGTGCTTCGGACAGCTCTGCACGCGCTGTATTGAGAAGATCAGTCGGGGTAGAGCCTGATTCAGAAGATAGTTGTTTTTTGGATGGCGCCACCAAGGGAGCTGGAATGCTTTGAGAGTCGCTCTGTCTAGGCGTTGAGCTGGTGCTCGTAGCAGCTGCTACGGCATGCAGTTTGCTGGTGCGATCTGCAAGCTGAGTATCTAGATTGGTAAAATGATGTCAGTCGATATCGCTCAACAATAACATTCAGAAGACGGACAGGCATCATATAGAGAAGCATTTGCTTCTCTCTCTGATCTCGAACTGTCAGGGCAGCCAAGTACTCATCTCTCCAGTGGGCCATGGATATGTGATAGGAGTGGAGTGATGAGATGCGGTGCTATCGTTATCAAGTCCACCGCCCGATCGACCGCCCGTCATCGAATCCGGCTGCAACCCAACTCCGACTCTCCTCACTTTCCCTGCAGCAGAGATTACTAAGTCTTTGCTTGATATTGGAAACAACCTCTGTTCGTTTATTGTTCTTTGACCTGTCTCTTGGCCGATTCCCTGCCATGGCGTCACGAAAGAAGGTCCTCCTGAAGGTACAGCTTCCGCAACTACCCCATGTGCCGGACTTCAAATTCTATGAAATGAGTTACGTTACTGACTGGGTCCTTTCGTGTTACAGGTTATTATCCTCGGTGACAGCGGTGTCGGAAAGACAAGCTTGATGAACCAATATGTCCGTTCATCCTTGCCCCCAGCGCTCGGCAGCTGTGCCGCAGCCGGTCGCCAATTCCTACCAGCGCTAACATGAAATTTTCCGAGATGGCTAGGTCAACAAGAAGTTCAGCGGAAGCTACAAAGCTACCATCGGAGCCGACTTCCTCACGAAGGAAGTTCTCGTCGATGACCGACTCGTCACAATGCAGGTGAGGCTTGAAAACACCTCGATCGCCATGTGGGGGCTATAGCTGACTGGGAGATACCAGATTTGGGACACTGCAGGTCAAGAACGGTTCCAGTCATTGGGTGTCGCCTTCTACCGAGGAGCCGACTGTTGTGTCCTTGTCTACGACGTGAACAACTCCAAGAGTTTCGAGGCGCTGGACAGCTGGCGGGACGAGTTCCTGATCCAAGCCAGCCCAAGAGACCCCGAGAGCTTCCCATTCGTAAGTTGACATTTTCACATTCTGCCTTGTGAGGCAAAAATGACATGGTCCGTGCTAATCATATGCAGGTGGTCATCGGCAACAAGATCGATGTGGAGGAGAACAAGCGCATGATCTCCTCAAAACGGGCTATGACTTTTTGTCAGTCCAAGGGTAACATCCCTTACTTCGAGACCAGTGCCAAGGAAGCTGTCAATGTCGAACAGGCATTCGAAGGTGAGTCGAGACTCCAGTTCACGACTTTGTCCATGCTAACAAAATCAAGTCATCGCGCGCAGTGCCCTCGCCCAAGAAGAGGCTGAGGAGTTCAGTGGTGAATTTAGTGACCCGATCAACATCCATCTGGACAACGACCGCGATGGCTGTGCCTGTTGATATACCCTTCCCATTCTCTTGATGTTCCAGCGACCCTTTTCTTTTGTGTTTCTGTACTGTCGCCACATTGGTCTCCAGTTTTTGAGTCTGTAGAGAAGACTATGGTTTTACTTTTGGACGTTGTCTTCCCCCGTCTTGTAGATATTTTAGGTCTCGTGGAGATTGCCTCTCAAGTCTATCTAGTTTGTACTTGGTTTTCTGCAGACGTGTCTTGTTCTATTACAACCCATTTTCTGTCTTTGCAGTTGTACGTGTTGAAGCGAAGCAGTAAAATCAGAATGTGGAATGAAAAACCAAGCGTTAAACGTGCCCTATAATTGCCTGGAAACGCATAAAATGTTCCTGAACGGCCCGGTGACATTTCGCCCCCAGAACCCTTATCGAATGCTTGGCGGCAACCCCCGTCTTCGCTCTTGGCAGGTCCGGTCACATTCGTTTACTCCTCCAGTACTATCACACGTTGCGCTGATGCCGGTGTCGCCTGATCTCTCATCGACATCACCAGACGCAAACATAGCGATTGCGACACGACATCGGCGACATAGGCAACATCGGCGGCGTCCAACCGACATACATGTTGACGGGTCGCACAGCACAATCTTCACTGCTTCATCCACCCCAACCACTGCAGAATGCCTCCTGCCACCTCAGATGGACCCGGTCCAAGGGTATTCGGCATCCCCCGGCGAACGCTAGGAATAATCCTACTCCTGGTGGTAGTCGTGCTCTGGACAGCATCGAATTTCCTCGGTAGCGTATGCGCACCCCATCTTCAAACCAACACGTTACGAACAGTTTAGCTGATCTTCTCTTGAATGACCTCAGACAATCTTCGCCGACAGAACGTACCCGAAACCCTTCTTTGTGACTTATACAAACACGTCGATGTTCATGATACCCCTCTTCACAATCCTTATCCGGCGGACATGGGGTCTCTGGCGCCAGGGGAAACTCTCACAGATCACCTCGCTCAAGAGCTTGCTGCGACATTTGGATTCGCATGATCCTAAAGCTGAGGAAGAGAGTATCCTACATGGCGACTCGGACGAGGAAGGTGCACGGTTTAGACGCCCCAGTCAGGATGCTTCGAATGCCAAGTTGGGGTTGAAGGCTACGGCTAAATTAAGTGTTCAGTTTTGTATGCTTTGGGTATGGATGCTACCTCCGCTTGAGAGTATTCGATCCGGTTGCTAACCTGTTATAGTTTGTTGTATGTCGTACATCCCATGTTTTGGTTGATGTTGTATGAGTAGTTGTGTCTGGCATGGACTAATCTGTGATTTTATGAATAGGCAAACTACTTTGCTATGGGATGTCTTCAGTTCACTACCGTCGGGAGTACAACTATCTTGACTTCCACTAGTGGTGAGTATTCCCTGTCTTGAGAATTCAACACACTTGTAGTCTTGTATTCACACTCTTCCAGGTGTTTGGACTCTGATCTTCGGTGCCTTGATTGGTGTTGAGAAGTTCACTGCGCGTAAATTCTTGGGTGTTATTGCTTCATTGATCGGCATCATCCTGATTTCGCGCGTGGACCTCACCAAGTCGGACGACGCAGGCGCAGCCTCAGACGGTAGTGAGGGCTCATTCCCGCACAAGTCATCTGGAGAAATTGCCCTGGGTGATGCCATGGCTGCCTTCAGTGCCATAATGTATGGTCTTTATACCATCGTGATGAAGAAGCAAGTTGGCGACGAGTCCAAGGTGGACATGTCACTATTCTTCGGGCTAGTTGGATTCTTCAACGTTGTCCTTCTATGGCCCGGTTTCTTCATTTTCCACTGGACTGGAATTGAGACTTTTGCCTTGCCGGAGACGAGCCGAGTTTGGACGATCATTCTGGTATGTTTTAATCCTCTTGTCATTCGTGTCCACCTAACTAATTTGAAATTCAGTCCAACTCGCTTGCATCTTTCGTGTCTGACATTTTTTGGGCCTATGCCATGCTCCTTACCACACCACTCGTCGTGACTGTCGGCCTCAGTCTAACCATCCCGCTTTCTTTGGTTGGACAAATCGTCCTACAGGGGCAATACGCCAGCGCATTATATTGGGTTGGAGCAGCTATTGTGTTCTTGTCATTCTTGGTTGTTAACCATGAGAGCAAGACACAGGATGATCTTGCTAATTCTAGTGGAGCAGGCGGGCCCTCTTCCGGCGAGTATAACAGCATTCCTGCGGAGGAAGAGGAGATGCGTTAAGGAGGTCATTGTAGAATATTTTCCTTTTTATTTTCTGTTCGTTGCATGTCCTAAAAACGGCGTTGTCACATTTCTCTCTTCTTTCTTATCTCTTGTTACCTAGTTGTTTTGCGACCTTTTTGGCTTTTCCATCTAGAGTGGAATAGATTTCACTAAACTCTATATAATAGCAGAGACTATATATTATCTGTTATTTTCTTCTTAAGCATCACTAGCATACATTTATATCCAAGGCCAACATGACCCCGGAGTGGTCTGAAGTTTCAGTACTAGTCCTGAGTATAGCTGTTCATTTCTACGATACACCGTATCCGTGGATTTCTGCATATTGGCTAGCTCAATCATACTATGCCGTAGGGGTGTTGTTGGGTGAGAGTTTGGCCAAAGTAAGTTTTGTTTGCCTAAAATAAGCCTTTTACCTAGACATCCATGTAATAATAACACTGTTGGCAATTTAGCCCGACATTCACTGATAAAATCCGAGGAAGTAAGAAATTGACGGAATTAACTGCCTCTGGTGCTAATGGCGCCTTGTGTCCAGGAGCGTACATGGGAGGTATAAGACGCACTACTTATTAACGAATTACATCCCCGATCCCCGACACTTGCCATGACAACATATATAATATTATGGCAATTATGTTGAGCTAGTATAGAAATTTTTCTACCGGCTCCTAGGTCCTAACATCAAGCAAGAGACATTACAATTAAGTAGTCCTTTGCAGGCTCTTCAGTCTGCACCTTTCAGGCCGCGCGTTTCAAAATTGAATGAGGTTACAGTAGGTTTAGTTGAAGAAATAGATCCATCCTTGTATCAAAGTGCCCTTGAATAACAACAGTGCCTATCTTACGAGCATTCTATCTGATGGTGTAGTATATGTACATGAAGGTAAGACAAATAAATACTCCCAGACAGGTCTTGTGCATAAATAAGCGTCTTGTCGACCCCCTTATGCCTTCCTTCAGTTTCCTCCGGTCATACTCCCACTTGAAAATTCATCAGCAACCTGAACTTTGATCTAGACCTTTTCTTTGGAAATGTCCGAAAGAAAAGTAAGTCCAGGAAAGTATTATTGCCTTACATCAAAGTTGATGCTAGTGCTGATGCAATATCAAGAGAATCTCTTATAGATTCAAGGAGAGGGATTACGATATAATGTGCACTAAATGCAAAGAGTGTGGTCTGACACGGATAAATAGGATCGTGAACAAAGATACTGGAGCCGAGAGTTAGACCTCAACTAACTCATATCCTCCTATTTCGGTCCCGCCGTAAGTACAAGAGTAACCTTCCAAGCTTATTCTAAATGGTACTAGACACCTCACTGCGGAGGCTGTAGAAGCGATCAGGGCACTGGAAGGCGTTGTGGTGGTGAAGGAGTTACAATGAACACGGGATTTAGGAATACTTCCGACATATTGAGAGTCTAGTTGTGACTGTTTAGAAATGACAACTCAGTTTGAGGTTGCCTATTGAACTGGAGATCAAGAACATTTCACTTGGGTATAAGTAACTTTACATTTCTCTGCGCGGAATAGTTGTCTGCTATGTGTGATTGCTGTGCCTACTTACACTCAGCCACCCTTGAATATAATCCTCGGTTGCAGTCAAAGGTTTATATAATATTTGCATTCTTTTAACTCGTTTGATACCTCCTTTTGCTTTATCATCTCAGCACCTATCACCATCCCGACAGTGTTTACTCTGCCACATAGCTCAACTAGCAGCAGCATCACCGGTGTTTCCTGAAATATTTCGATACTCCCTGTCTGTTCTATCGTTCTGTTCTATCGTTGACTTTTATTTTCTTTTGCATGGCAAGGACTACATCATGGGAATATGTTTTCTTCAGCGGCCACGTCCGCCAACACTGTCCCATTCTCAGTCCTATGTACGATTACACGATTCTTCAAATCCAATTGGTGGAGGATGCATACTTCTTTGGTAAATAATTGGCCCGATGAGATGTGTCTGTGGTTCACCACAGGGTTCATGCAACTACTCACCGCTAAACACGAGAAATCGCACAAGACCTGCTTTTTTCTGGCCTCCTCTTTCACCTTCATTGCTCCCTCCCTGAGTCCACGCTAATATGTAGTTAGATACTTTATAGGAGAGCTTAGTTCCCTTAGTGACTCAGACATTTCAGAAATTGTGGCAGATTTTCCACGTAAAGCTGTACATGTACAATATGAGAAACTATAAAATTGCCAGTCTATAATAATCTACATCATAGCTTTGCATCATGTTTCCACCCCGGCATATCAGCTAGATCCTTCGCAGGGGCACCACGTCTAGACTTGAGGGCATCACCACCAGGTCTCCATCTCCACGCATCAGCCATATCTTGCGATAGACATCCTTCGATCAGCTCGACAACGTGCTTGCCAATATTTGGCAACACTTTGAAGGAATGGCTGTCATATATGTCAGCAAGATCATCACTCTACACAACACACCATTCTTGGGCCCTTTACTTACCCACTGTCACCGGTAGCCAAGATAAAGTTCTTCCACTTCGGATGTTCACAAATCAACAGATTAGCATCTGCAGTATCCGTACACCAGCACATCGCCCGATTAAAAAGTTCTTTATCCTTGAACCGTGGCATGAATCTCGCAATTGCTTTTCGAATGGTCACCTCAGATGCGTCGGGATATGTATCTGTAGGATGTTTGGCGTGAGACCGAGGAACGGAGATCAGCTTGGGAGAAGCAGCACCGTAGGGTTGATGCTGTTTAAAGCGAGTAAAGCCGGGGAACTCATCGCAGACTTTGATAACTCCGTACCTATAGATTGGAATTAGCATGTTCAGTTGGCCGCGAGGATTGAGGGTGCTTACTCGTTAGGCTCGAAGAAGAATCCGTATTCACCGTCGTATACTACCGGTGCATTCTTGTACTCGGCAGCTTCTTGGGGTGTGAGTTGGATGTGAGCGTAGACCCAGGCCTGGAATCATGCTAGTTAGTAAAGGGATACAAGATGCGCTTTTTCGCAATGTGAATTCAACTTACTTTGGAAACACACTGATCCTCTAGATCAACCAATGTTGAGCTCCAAGCACCAGCAGCCAGGACGACCTTGTCGGCATAGTATTTCGTTCCATCGACTGTCTCAACGCCAATACACGTCATTTCCTCTGTGAACAGAGGCCGCTTAAAGGTTCCGGCACTATGAGTAATTAGTAAACATCGCACTCCCCAATACAATCGTCTCACGTACCCGCCAAATCCGAAGTTGACACCTTGATCTTTTAGGAATTGTCCTATAGCATTGATGGCCTTGGCTGCAGCAAGCCAGCCTCCATCACTGCAGAACAAGCCGTTCCATCCCTGCGCGTACACTGGTCAGTTATTTCCAAAATAGATTCTGTTCATAGCGAAGCTACCTTGACTTGATCCGGTGTGAAGAACGGCGCCTTCTTCAGGATTTCATCTTCATTTAACCAAGTATTCGTCTTCTCCAGTCCGATATTCACATCAATAAGGGATTGGAGCTTCTTTTGAAGATTCTCAATCCCCTCCTTAGACGAAGAACAATCAATCTAACTTTATGTTAACATGAAAGTATACATACACAATAGGTTGACTCACCATTCCGACCTTGTGAAAGAAGGGTTTAAACAACTCATCATTCGTCCACATGTCAAGAGCCTCTAGCGAAAGTTGCAAATCGGATTTATTACGCAATCGGATACTCATGATTTTGTTGAGATCATGTCCTGCCGATTGGGAGGATGGAATTGGATATACATCCAGCACGGTGACGTTGGAAGGTGTGTAGCCAGAGCGTATGAGATGCAGTGCAGTTGAAGATCCGATTGTTCCGCCTCCCCCGACGACAACAATCTTTGTATCTGCACGGGAAGAAGCCATGCCGTGAATTGAGCTTGGCGAGTTGTGCGAGTGAAAGGGAAAAAGGTTACAATTGAAGGGGATCACGGAGACAAGTCAATTGATAAAGCCGGGTGGGACCATATGAGGGTTATCTCGGTTGACTCAAAATACTCAGAATATGACACCGTTCCCAATTATAGCGTTTATCAAGACCGCAACAGCAATTATTGGTGCGAATAATCGCCGAATATTGCGAAGTGGAGGCTAGCGCAGTTCGTTCGTTTGGACCTTCCATCACCTCAAATCCCCACGAAACCGAGAACGCGGGGAACAGTCCACTCCCTCCCCAGGCTGTGAAGTGTAGCGAAGCTCCAGAAGAGATAAGCAGAGCGTGGACCTTCCATCGACTTAATATCCTATCTTGGAAAATGAGGGGAATGTGACTCGGCAAAACACTGTCTGGTTAAGAGATAAGCGTAGTGTATAGACACGGGGTATAAATAACCCTATGCCACCCATTTCTAGCCTGCTAAGTCAACCTTTTGTGTTTGTATACTTTCTATAATGAGTGACTCAAAAGCTACTATCACCAAGCATGAGCCTCTTCCATCGCCAGCGACCGAGGGCGCCGAGGTCGATATGGGGCATTACAGGGCGACCGTACCACGCTGGAAGCGAGTATGGCAACATAGTTTGACGCAGATGATACTATTGAGTATCCAGGCATTTTGCGGACCAGCCATGGCGGACGCGATTACTGGTAAGTGTGCTGCACCGACCATGTTATAACGTTAAGTTATACCTCCAACTAATGATGTATCATAGGCCTTGGTGGCGGTGGTCTTGCAACTCCGCATATATCAAACATCGCAACAGCAATTACATATGCCCTACTTGCCGTCGGTACGTACATATCCACATTGGTCACCTAAGAAATATCCAGTGCGCTGACGTGAGTCATTCAGTCTGCTTCTTGGGCGGCCCTTTGGTCAATAAGATCGGTGTTAAATGGGCCCTCGTTATCGGATCAATGTCATTTCCTATTGAAGGATCTGCATACTACTGCAATAGCAAATTTGGGAATCAATGGGTGAGGAATCGAGACTTTTCTCAAGCCAACAAGTCTGACTAATATATCTTCTAGTACCTCATTCTCAGCGGTGCTATCAGCGGTATTGGAACTGCTTGCTGGTATGTCGCTGAAGCAGGAGCTATAATGACTCTCGCACCGTCCGGTGCTCGAGGAAAGTATCTAGCGTTATGGATCGTGTCACGGAATCTCGGCCAGTTGGTTGGCGGTGCAATCAAGTGAGTCTCCCTCTAATCATTGGTATGGAGATCCATTAATAATGATATTTAAAGCCTCTCAAAGAACCATGAAAAAGGAGCCGAAGGCGGCATCTCTCCTGATACTTATATCGCCTTCTTGATTATTGAGTCTCTAGCGTGAGTGCATTCGAGAGAACTCGCGCAAGAGCCTGTGCTAATTACGTTCAGCCTGCCATTCGCACTATTGATTACACCCTTTGAACGAGTCGTCCGATCCGACGGTACAAGAATCGTCACTGCAGAAACCCTTTCTACCAAGCAGGAATTGAAACGCATTGCAAAGACAATGACCTCGAAACTCATTATGCTGTCTGCCCTCTGGGCACTGTGGTCATTCTTCTACTCGTAGGACAAATCACCAGTCCCGTATTGATAAGTCTATACGATGAAAAGCTAACATATGTCATACAGAGGCACATGGTCCACCTACCTAGGAACCTACTTCTCAGTGCGCTCCCGCGCCCTCTCATCTCTAATTTCTCCTTTCTTCTGCATGTAAGTCCAACATATATCCCCGCGAATAAAACATACCATTCGCACAGACTAACACATGTCCCACCAGAGTCGGCTGCTTCGGCCTCGGCTTCATCCTTGATATGAAGGGCCTCAGCCAACGCCGCCGCGCCCAAATAGGTCTCTATATCGTCGTCATCCTCAACGTCGGCGTATACATCTGGTCAATTATCATGCAGACCAGATTCAACAGCCATAACCCCGGCCATATCGATTGGGATGATGGACTATACGCCTCGTCCTTTTTGCCATATTTCTTTATACAGACTACCGGTCCTTTATCGCAGTCGTATATGTATTGGCTTCTGTCTTCTTTTGCAACTGATGCTCAGGGTGAGTATAGCTGTTTCTCAGTGGATGAGGCTAGAGGTTTCTGTTTTTGTTTTTGGAGGCTGACTTTTGATAATTATCGCAGAAAACGTCCGGAATGGTGCTGCATTTAGGTGTATTGAGGCCATTGGTCAGGCTATTGCGTACGGTATGAATACTCAGACGACGAGTAATCCTCTTGTTGGATTGTATGTTTTTCATCTTCTCTTATATTCTACATACACTTCTTGAAGTAATTGACTCAGCTGACCTTTTTTTAGCTGCGTGACCTTCGCCTTACTTGGCGCGGCTTTGGTCCCTATGATCATGCTTGTGAATTCCACGCCTGACCGTATTCCTGCTGATGTTGTTGCTGAGAAGCAGGATGAGGCTCTCGAGAAGAGAGTTGATGTATAGTCCGACGGGATATAATGATTTGGGTCTTTTATGGGAGTTTGATCTTGTTACTGGGTTGACGAAATACCAGCCAGGTCTATCTGACTGGTGCCAATAGTTGTGACATGAATAGAACATCTACTTTTCATCTTTTTGGCAGCGAGTAAGGGGAGATGGAGTAGTTTCAATTTGTTTCACTCCATATAAATTATATTTATGAGCTCCATTACAGTAATATACCGGAGACAATATGATACAGCATAGTAAGTGCTTCACATAAATCAATAAGATAGAAATCAAAAGACACAGAAAGAGATAATGCCAGATTCGACTGTGAGATATGGGACACGTGAAGATGCAGTTCCAATATGAAACAAATGAGAAGCACAATAAGTTGAAGTAAAGAATGAGAACATAGAAGCTGGATAGCCTCATGATGGAAATGAAAACTCCTCTTTGCCCACTCGATGATGTGGGCAAAAATTAACGCCGATCCGCTCCTCGAAGACTCCGAAGCTCCTCGTCATCTCCACCTGAGACAAGGGGTAGGCGGGATGGAATCACCAACCTGGGTATATCGAATGAAAGATGAGAAAAGAAAGAAAGAAAAGAAGGAAAGAGAAGAAAGAAAGAGAATCGCTGAGAGACGTGGAAGATGAAGAGAGAGAGGTATGAGAATGGGAATAGTGGGACAAGCTCTCCAAGGGAATTGATTATACGGAACTTCCCAAAGCCGGATCCAGTTTCCGGCGAGCAGCAAGAATACTCTTCAAGGAGCCCAGCCAGAGTGCGAGGGATTCTTCGTCCGGCGCGCAAAGTCGATAAGTCTTTTCCTCGGCGATGATCTGCATGCAAAACGTCTTCGATCTCGACAGAGGGTCCACCTCGGCCGCATCGATTACCTGCGACATGGGGATGATCTTCAGCGCAGAGTACTCCGCGTCATCCTTGTAAAACGCCAGACTCTTAGGACGCAGCACAACCCAGAGTCGCTTCCACTGGCGCACGGTCCCTTGGATACGTAGCCCCTGCAGGTACCCCTGACAGGCGACTCGTTCGGGATCCCTGAGGATACCCAGGTCGGATGGTTTGCTTGTGTCGCGGGGAAGAGGTGCAATTTTCTCCTCTGGTGCGGAGAGGGAGAGAGAATGGATCGATGGCATGGATCGTAGATGGCTATTGCGGGTTGGCGGGGACCCGTCGGAGAACTCTGAGAAGGAGGTGGCCTCGTTGCCCGAGTAATCCTGGATGTAAGGGAGGTTCGGGGTGTGGCTATGGCTGCGAGTTGACCGGGTATGGCGTGGCTCGGGCGAGCTGGCGCGGCCGGCAAGATCGAAGTCGGAGTGGGAGTGGTCGGTCGTGTCGTCGACAAGCTGCTTATGGATGGCCGGAGGTGCGCGCCTGTTGGTCAAGGCTAGGAAAGCTTGCTCGTCCTCGTTGCCGGGGGTTTCGGTGCGGATGCGTTGGATCCAGTCCTCGGCATCGCGTTGTGTCGGCGCTTCGAAGCGGTAGTTGGTTGCAGGGGTGAAGACGCCGAAGACATGTTTCCTGGTTGAGCGCGCTGATTTGACGGGCGCAACGGCGGTCACTTCGGATAGGGGGATTGAGACTCGGAGGCGGGTGGTTTCTTCGTCTTTGTAGACGGACAGGTGGTTCGGTCGGAGGACGAGGTAGGCTGGTTTCCATGAGGCGCGGAAGACGTGCTTGTGCTTGACACGGCGCTGGACCCTCCCTGTCTTCACCACACGGTCGAATTCGAAGCTCCCATTCTCGTTCACTGGCGAGAAGGTATCCAGATTCCCTCTGCTGGCCCGAGTCCCCGCGAGAAAGTGAGATGAGGGGCCCCGATCCGGGACTTTGATGATCGGAGTTCTGGTCCCCTCGGAGGGCGAGGGCCGAGTAAGCACCGTATTCATAGTGGGAGGTAGGTTGAAGAGGATAGGCAAGAATAGGGGGAGACTTTCTCCAAGTCCAGCGTCATGCGGAGAGGGATGGCAAGAGTCTTGGCCTGAACCAAGCCTTTTGGAAAGGGTCTGATCTACATGCGACTATATGATATGTTGCATGTTTAACTTTGGATTTAATGTGAGAATATGCAGTATTAGAGTAATTTCTAATTCCTAAGAGTAACCATGCACACGACATGTAGCAGTGTGCAAGTTAATAAACCCAAGCGTTGATCTCTCAAATAGTCCAGACTCTCCAACTGAGGCCTCGAACATCGGAAATTAAAAATTACCAAATACCAGTGAAATTAGCAGGACCCCCAGGTACGTACTGGGTACATGCACGGACAACCCTTGCAATTATGTACATGCAGGTACTTGGTACCTGTACTTGATCTACATTTGTACATGAAAGTGACCACCGTGTAAGTTATAGGGTCTCCTAGAAACATTCATAGTAGTATAGGCTATTTTCGGCCCTACAATAACGGCCCCCAAGGTTTGGAACCTTTCGATCCACATACACTACGGAGTAGTTTCGAATGTAAAACAATTCAGAGTCGTGTAAGGTCTGGGGAACGACGTCTTTGCCACTTATGTATACGCTATTAATGGTAATTTATGGAGTAAAATGTGTATAAAACGGTTGCTTGCCACACCAATCCACTGGTTGGTATAAGGGTTGCATGTATCGCATAGGGCAGACTCGGTGGATCAAGTGGCTACGTTTTTTTATCCAGGCACAGTTGTACATACAGTAGGAGTACACAAACACAAGCATATTCTGATGGATGGGATCGAAATCGCACAAACTGGGGCTATATTATAACGTTTAAGTTGTTCCCTATATTCCGTACCGTAACCACAGCTCCCGTATACCACAGAGCGCCACCAAATTTAAGATAAGTGTAATCGAATAAAACCCGTTCTAGAAACGGAATTATTCTCCTTCAACATGTAAATCTAAATCTCCATACTTTAAGAGGCAAAGGAGCGAAATAGATTACCTTACCGTACCTGGGCCAGCGCCACCACGCACTACCCAGGGGCAAAAAGACCGTCTTTGGGTGACGGCCACGCTTGCGCCTCCCTGGTCTTGGCAAAGTTCCAACCCATCCCCATCCCCGACTCTCCCATCTTTCCCTTCTCCATCCATCCTTGTTGATGTCAACCCCTTTCCTGTGTACTCTGTTCACAGTTGTTTGCGTTGCTCCCAGCGCTCTCCCCATTTGTCTACGGGACTGAGAAAGTTGGGGGAGGAAAGGAGGCATTCCTCCGGCCACTCGTTTTGCTGTCATTTTCTCCATTTTCACTCGAGATCACGATCCTCTCTACGGATCGTCCCGTGATCCAAACGGCCCGACTTTTATTTCGCCGTGTGTCCTACCCTTGTCAAGAGACTTCACCCCTTGTCTCTGACCCGACACGATTTCTCCACGATCTCCTTAACGGCCCCGTGCTGTCGCTTGGGTCTGACAGCTGACCTCGACCATAACTGGGGTTCTTCCCACAATCGCACCCATGAGCTTCATTCAACGAATCACGAAACGGCTGCCCAGCGCGCCGAGTCTGCCGTTGGAAGATGCCTCCCATGAGAAAGGCCGCCTCCATCCCAGGTTCGCTTTCTTCCGGCGGCGGATCCGTCTGAAGGGCAACTCGTCTATTTCTATACCCCTGGGCTTTGTTTTACTATTTCCATGCCTTGTAATAGTTCTTATTCTGCTTCTTTTCGTCCGTCATCCTTCGTCTCCCGGGGGGATCTTAATTCCAGCGGGCACTCCGCCTTCTATCCGGTTCGTCTGTCTTCATCTGTGACTGCTCGTGCAGTGGTTAACTTGTTGTGTCTACAGGAAAATCAGCGAAAAGTATGATAAAGTATTCGCTACGGGCTGTATGCCTATCGATCCTCCGGAAATCGAAAAGGCTCCCCGCGCCAATGCCGCCTTCGTCGTCCTTGCCAGAAATAAGGAGTTGGACGGTGTCATTCAATCTCTCAAATCGATTGAGCGGCACTTCAACCGCTGGTGGCACTACCCCTATGTCTTCTTGAACGATGGTGACTTCGACGACGAGTTCATTGCCACGGTTAAGAACTACACCAGTGCACCCGTGGAGTTCGGCAAGATCGATAACAGCATGTGGGGATTCCCTGATTGGGTAGACCATGAGGTTGCGAAGGAAGGCATTCGGAAGCAAGGTGATGCCGCTATCATGTACGGTGGCATGGAAAGTTATCACCACATGTGCCGATTCTACTCGGGGTCAGTATTCAATGAATCTTGGGATCTGGGTGATGGTGCTAACTCTGTGACAGACACTTCTACAAGCACCCTCTCCTGATGAAGTACGAGTGGTACTGGCGTTTGGAGCCCGAGATCAAGTACTTCTGTGACATCACCTAGTAAGATACCTACTGATTCGATGTGATCCATGTCAATTTGCTCACCTACGACTAGTGATCCCTTCCTCGAGATGGCCAAGGCGAACAAGACCTACGGTTTCACTATTGCAGTGAAGGAGCTTCGAGAGACGGTTCCGAACATCTTCCGGTACGCGGCTGCTTACAAGCGCAAGAACAACCTCAAGTCCAAGGGTCTTTGGGAGATGTTCTTGGAGCCCAAACCCGAAACTCCTCCCGAAGAGAAGCAGCAGGACAAGCTACCCGATGAAATTCTCCAAACCGATCCCGGTGACAACAACCTGAAGGACGTCGACCCAGAGGCCATGGAAGGCGAGAGCTACAACATGTGCCATTTCTGGAGTAACTTCGAGATTGCCCGTCTGGATTGGTTCCGCAGCAAGGAATACGAGGACTTCTTTACCATGATGGACAGGAGTGGTGGATTCTGGAACGAACGGGTATGTCCATTTCATGTCTTTGAACACGGTCGAAGTTGATACTGATTATTCTAGTGGGGTGATGCGCCCATCCACTCTCTCGCCGCCGGTGCCCTTCTTGCGCCTAGTGATATTCATTACTTCCGTGACTTTGGTTACCGCCACACCACAATCCAACATTGCCCAGCCAACGCCCCGGCCCGTCAATTGCCCCGTATCCCATACCTCGAGAAGACCACCGATGATGAAAAGAAACGCATCGAGGAGGACGAGTATTGGGCAGCCCCTGACCAGGTCAAGGAGAACGGTGTCGGCTGCCGATGCCGCTGTGACACTGACATTGTCGACGTCGAAGGCAAGCAAGGAAGCTGTCTCAATGAATGGGTTGACGTGGCTGGCGGCTGGGCTTCACCATAGATGATTCCCATTACTTGATGCTCAGTGCTCGCCGCATACCACGCCTCCTTTTCCTCTCTGTTTAGTCGGCTATGAGCATCACTTGGGTTCGCCCTTGGGAGTTTAATGCTGGAGCCTGCATGTTATGCTGGCCATGTGATTTCCTTTTTGGGTGGCGTTCAATGGATCTGACGGCTTTTTCATTCGGAAGATGTCGTGGCATTTTCCATCATCCCTGTTGACATATTCATCTAACATGCTGGGCCACCGCGGTTAGCTGTGTGATTTATCTCTTGGTTGCGCCTGGAAAGAATGTGGTTTTCACCGTGGAGTACTGGTATCTTGTTATTCGGAATCATCTTGAATGGTCTAGCCATGATTGTGTTTCGGGTATCCATAAGATCCAGTGGTCTTGCGGCGTTCGCTGTTCTTTTGGCAAGACTGCCTGTCTTCGGTTTTGTCAGAAACTGGAAGCAGTTCTGCCCTCCGGTCTACCAAGCATACAGCTTCATCTCAGTGGTAAAGTGACCACTGGTTTGGGGGCGGGAGGAACACTCAAAGTAACTCCCACCGTCTATATCGACAACTTGTCTCTCAACCAACCTTTGCCTCCGCATCGACTACCTCTCGCGCCTTTCCCCTTTCCCCATCCCATATGCAGTTTTTGTGGTTGTCTTCCAGCATGCATTCATGAAATGTACATACCTTTCCCCTTCCTCGTCCTCGGTGGCCTACATCCCCGGATTGTTTTCTCGCATTGCCCTCTCCCTTACCCCCAAACCTCGCAAATACCAGATCGAGCATGGTTGTCTATAGAGTATGGAATAATCACCCGGTGAATTACGTGAAGAATGATATCAGTATAATGCACTTTGTTTCTTCGGTCTCTGACTCTTGTGTTGTCGTGTAAAATATAACTTGGAGCTATATTATTTCCGAAATTACTTGACTCCTTAAATTCATGAGGGGATCTTAGGTATGACAAGGCCAATACAAAACGCAGAGCAAAAAACGTCTACCATTACTGTGGTGGGTATGAACCCTATGAATTCCTCCAGTGGGCTGGCTATCAACTTCTTAACAACCCTGCATCTTACTTTGATCCTCCCCGGGTTACTCAACCCCTCTCGCAAGGGCCATTGCGTCTATGCTACAGATGCGACCTGAAATGTTCTTTAAAAAAAAGGATGAATCTGAGCAACTGATATGTATTTGAGGATCAAAATAAAAGGGTCGGGTTGGGGGGAAACAACCACTAGCAGAAGGCGAGGAGAGGAATATTGACGAGAGAAGAAATCGTCTGGCTCTCCGTGGGCTATTTATATCGTCCGCGTCACATGGGAAATCTCCCAACTAGGTACTTGTGTCGAGTCCTTGTCGCTTTACCCCGGGGCAAAGAGTAAACAGCGTTGGGTATGGACGAGAGAAGAATTCGCTGGGCGTTTCGTGGACTTTCTATATCGTCCGTGTTGATAAGAAAGCTTTGAAATAGCGACTTCTCCCTGACCTTTGCCTCAACTCTCGACACTTTACCCCGACACTTTAGGCATGAGAGTACAAATGTCGGCTGCATCTCTGTACTATGCAGTACACAGCGAACTCCTTATCCACAATAAACCTGGTTCTTCGGCCGAGACAAATGGGTTGAGAAGGTCTGAGCAGCATCCCGAGATTTCAATGGGAGAGCTATAACGCGGATGCAGGGCTAACCAAGCAACCATTCAATAAAACTTTACAGTCGGATAAATTTCTTAATGAATGCCACGAGATCAGTCTGTGAGGGATGTACGATATGTGCTAGATATAAAAGAGTCTTCACTCACTGGGTATCGAGCCAACGGGGTCAAGATGCGAGATTGCATGGCCAGTCTGATACTGAAGAAGAAGAGCGACGGCGAGGCCGATCGAAGCAACAACAAAGGCCTACAGCTTCATTATATAAAATCCGACAACTTCTATCACAAAAAATGCACGTCTCGGGAGCAGACATACTCTAATCCTGTCGATATAAGCCCCACGCCGTAAAATTTAACCAAACATAAGCCAGAACGGCAAGTTGCAAATAACGTCAAAAATTCAAAGGTAGCCATAAAAAAATGGGGCCCTAGCCCTCTTATGATGGTTGATGCAAGCATCAGGTTTCCATACCTGCTGTAAGGGCGATACATGAGCGGTAGAAGAATGCTGTCACGCCGGGCTAGGATAGGACGCTAGGCATCATATGAAAGAATCATATAATATGATCTAGAAATACGATTTATAGATCACCTTCTCTGGACTCGAACTCAGAGGCCTCCTACATACAGCCGCGTCTAGGTCTGGCGGTACGTCCAGCCCAGCCCTGAGACGCTATACCGTTGAGCCAACGGGGTGGTGAGGGTTGATACTTTACTCTTCTTTAGGGGTATAATCTAACATAAGCTTTTCAAAAGTTTATGCCTTCTTTTCCAGGCTGGACCTTGATATTAGCTATCCTCTGAACCTGACCTCTTCACTTCTTCTGTTCTCCTTCTATCTTCAACTTGCCTTCCCGTAGACCGGTATCGGCTCACTCTTCATGCTGTGATAGAAGCCTTTTGAGTCACGGCCAGACTAGAATGTCTTGATACATTGAGACTCCGTTAGTCTAACGGCATCAGATATGGACTACGAATTAGATCAGATCCATAACACTCCATTTCTCTGTATCTCCGTTCTCAGCTATTTCCAGAAATTCAAGGGTTCCTACTACCCCTAAAGCTGATATACAGCACGTTCAAGCACGTTATTGTTTACTGCAAAGAGGATGTTTATTTAGCCCTATATGTCACAACACCTCTCAAATCCCTGTGGGTGATGGTTCACTTAGACCGGTATGAGTACGAGGTTAGGTTGCACAGGCCAGCAAATAACATTCGTTCAAAGCTCGATAAGTACAGATATATCTTCGAAGCCATGTCAAGTAGATATATGAGGTCTATAGTCGAGTTTAAGGTATAGTGGGGCTGGTGGAGTAGCCGTACCCGCAGTATACAACCAGTCCATACTCCAGTATAGCATTACAGTAGATATAAATGCTATTTCATAGGGCTATTTGGATATTTCCAGGATCTGCACTTTTATACTACTTGGTCTATATTTGGGATCGAGAGGGGTAAACAAAGAGCCACATGGAGATCCATGCAGGTTAGCTACTGACAAGCAAACCTGGTTGTACCGGTACTTACCCCAAGCTGTAACCACCATAGCTACCCAGGTACCCAGTACAACCCCGCCATGACTGTCGTTCGGGTCATCCACTCTTATCGCGACACCCCTCATCTGCCGTGATCAACTCTCTCAGTTTCTTTTTGTTGCACCTCTCTCTATTGTCTCTACGGACTGACATCTTTCATAAAATATTCCTTCACGTCGCTGCCTGAGTCAGATACGCACCTGACCATCGGGCAACTCCCCGCAGACCCACCTGCTTATCACTCTATTTGGCTCTCTGGGACTCTATCCAGTATCTTCCAACCTTTCCTTCTATGTTGCTCAGTTCCTCTGCCTTCTAACTCTGCTATTCTTGACTTCGTCTTTTCGTTATCTCTCCGACTTGAGAGATCCCCCAAGCTCCTGTTCCCGCCGCTTGCCCGCTCTATGAAGTTACCTAGTACGCAGATATGACTGACTCTCCAGAGTCGTCGCCTCGACGACGTCTCACCAGTGCCCAGATTGCTTCTCACCTGCAATATCCGACCTTCCCACCGCTGACTGCCTCTGTGGAGGAGTGGGTTATCCGCTCACGACCTACCAATATGACGTCAGATCAACCTCCCGATCATCCGCCAAATTCCTTGAGTGATAGCTGGGCTACTTTGAGTGTTTCTGATATACACTCGGAGGATGGCAGTCACTCCGAGCAGACCGATACATGCTCGCTCATCGACCAGACCACCCCCGACGACGTTGCAAGCCTCGATGAACGCTACAGCAGCAGCGAGGCCGAGGTGCAGGATGAAGACAACCAGGAAGATGATGGAATAATGGGAGATGAAATTCCATGCAGTGCCTCAGTTTCTCAACAGTTACCGACTCTTTTTCCTTTCACAAGGAGCACAATCGATGACAGCACCACAACCACCAAGCCCACCTTCCCAAACTCCAGTGACTCGATTGAATTTGTGGAGCCTGAGAAGTGGCCTGAGATCGAGAGAGTGGAGCTCAAGCATACCATCCGTATCTTTGATGGGGCCGCAGCCGAGGAGTTGAAAAGCAGGTTGCCCTTTAACTCAACCGATTCCATCCTCATGGCGACTGTCCAGCAGACTATGACGAAGCAAAGTCTAGACCTGGACAAACCCTTCCGCGTGCTCTACGTCGGACAACCAGAGTTCCGAAACATCATTCTTGATAAGATCGGTGACGTTCTAGTATCTAGCTCATGTGCCAGTTCGGAGACCAGCTCTGCTGAATCTTCCCGGTACCACGTTGTGCCAACCTCTTTTGGTGCCGGGGCTGTTCCAAATTTCGCCGAGCTCCTCCCGATCCATGTTCAGCTGGTAGTCGACGAATGCGTGGAAGCCACAGCCGATCCCAGTGTGGACCGACCTAATACCCTGAGCCTAAAGTTCAAGAATCGCGCGGTCTGCACTTCGGCATGGAATGGCTCGGATTACCGTGTCTCGTCTGCATCAGATTGGACTCTTCCAGATGTAGCCATTATCTTCGTCTCTGGCCGTGATGATACAAAAGCTATCAATACCCAGTATCTTACTCATGCCTTCCTGGAACGCCACGGAATCCCGGCAATGATGATTTCGGAGGAGCCATTGTGGAACATGGCTGGGGAAACAATCCCTCTTAATCATAGCAGTCTGCACACTTGCTTGGAATCTCGGCACCCAGAATCAGGAGAGACCGCGGTTCTTCGACGGTATCCCATCGATTTGAAGACTTTCGAGAGCATCACGCCCGGGCAACTCAACCGAAACCTGGCATCGCTCGTTGGCCTTTACTCGAAGAAGGCACACAAGGTCACTGCTGAGGCATCCAATTCATTCCAAACGACATTATTTGCCGGTCATGAGAAATATCTCGAAAATTGGCTTCCATCTTCCTATGCCACCCGTGTTCGTGAATGGGCCCCCACACTACGTTTAGTCGCTTTGACTCTCATTTCGGCCATTATCCTCTCAATCGGATACGCCACTGTGAAGGTAATAGTAGTTTTCCTGGCGCAGTGTATTGCTGGATCAGCTCTGTCCAATGCATTCCCTCCCGCGTCATCCCAAATCTCCTCTTTCTCCGTCCCGCCCCTCGATAGAGTGAGTCAAACTTCAGTCTCGATACAACCGTCATCCTCTGTCCAAATATTACATGTTCCCCCAGTGGGTGTTTCGATCCCCAATGAGATCACAGGACCTGCGCTTTCAGCCCCGGGACCAGCAAATGCGGACGAATTTGAGATCCAGACTGTGGGAGACTGTCACGTCATCATCAAACCATCTTTTAAGTTTACTACCTCCAAGAAACAACCTCGCTTCAATGTTAGCGTTCAAAGGCAAAGCAAAGATCTTCCATACGAGCTGTCCCAATTGTTCGAAGGAGTCTACATGCTCAAGTTAGACCGGGAGGATGCTTACGGTTTAATCGACGTGACAATCACAACCCAGTCAAAAGTTCCAATCAACCAGACTATGGCCGTCGACTTCGGAACACCATGGTTGAAGATTGCGAGCTGGAAGCGCGCCGCCCAAGGAATAACTTCGCAGTTTACGAAGGACCTGCAAATGGCTCAGACCGGCCTCACTGAGGTATATGGCCGATTCTCCACCGACTTGCAAGTGGTCATGGGTGATGTGGTGAAGAGAACGCATATCCTGCGTCGCGATGCTGAGAATCTACGTCGTGATAGCCTCACTACACGCGACACCGTTCTGTCACGATCGAAGCAGATTTCCGAGGTCTTCACCCGCAACGCTCTTCAGCGATTCCGAACTGCTTCCTCCGTGCTGCAGCTTCGGTCCAGTCGTGCGAACAAGGAGGCTAAGGAGCTTGTGCATGATGCATGGAGTCGCATTGGAGAGTCAGCTGCGAAAGTCGACCTCCGCAGTATGATGGATCGGGTGCGCAATGCGCGCAAATGCGAAGCGCTGGATCGAGCTCAGTCGCGTGCGCGACATATTCTGGGTCTTGACTCAGCCCAGTAAGGGGATCTGATTCTCTCTCGCTACAATTGATGAATGATATCTCTTTTTGTTTTGTACTTGCTTTATGATTTGGCGGATGGGTTTGTCTATGGCGATCAGGTTTGGTGGGGGTAACGGGATTGGGAATCGGCTCACACGAGTTCTTCAAGCACAATATTATGCTTTATGCTTTATTTAAGTAGCTTCACTGGAATTTATCATAGAAACAATGTCTTTCCAAAGCATGCTCTTCATTCATTGTTCCAGAAGTTAGCATATACAAATCCAAGGCGGTGACGGGTTCTGCCTGGTACCCAAACTATTAATTTTCCCCCCTCATCGCCGCTCTGATCAACAAACACTCCCAATTCTCTTCCTGTATTCCACTCTTACATCCGTGGAACTCAGCCATCTCGTCTCTCTTTCATCTTTTTCAACCGAATTTCTGGAACCTTTCAGTCACCATGTCTGACGTCGCTGAGACCAAGCCTGACCCCACCACCGCCGCTCCTGAGGACAAGAAGCCCGAGGAGACCACTACCGGTGAGGGTGAGAAGTCTGTCACCGATGCTGCTACCGAGACCGCCAAGGAAGCTGTCGACACTGCCAAGGATGCCTCTGTGAAGACTTCTGACAGCGTGTTTTCCATGTTCGGTGGCGGCCCCAAGAAGGAGAAGAAGGAGGAGGCTGACGATGCCGACGAGCCCTCCGGCTCTTCCAAGGCCAAGAAGGCCGATGACGATGTGAGTGGGATATACCTGTGATACTGGTGATATGGCTGGATTGTTGCTGGATGCGTTCACGATGGGAGCGGGGTCTCTGTGCCCCTTTCCCCAGATAGTGGGGTCGTCGCAGCCACGCCATATTGTATCCGCGATGCTTACTTTTTCGCCGCGCTCATGCTAATGTGGATATTTCTTTGTAGGAGGAGGAGGTTTCCGAGTCCCCTGACGTCCACTTCGAACCCGTGATCCACCTGACTGAGAAGGTTGAGATCAAGACCAACGAGGAGCTCGAGGAGCAGGCCTTCAAGATGCGCGCCAAGCTCTTCAAGTTCGACCGCGATTCCAAGGAGTGGAAGGAGCGTGGTACTGGTGACGTCCGTCTGCTGAAGCACAAGGAGAACCAGAAGACCCGTCTTGTCATGCGCCGTGACAAGACCTTGAAGGTCTGCGCCAACCACTACAGTGAGTTTGTCTGAAGGTGGATATTTTTGGGTTGAAGCTAACTCATGCTATCAGTCGTCCCCGACATGAAGCTGAGCGCCAACGTCGGCAGTGACCGCAGCTGGGTCTGGAACGCCGCCGCCGATGTCTCCGAGGGTGAGCCCGAGGCCCAGACTCTGGCCATCCGTTTCGCCAACAGCGAGAGTGAGTGATTCGCCTCAAATTTGAAACGAGCCTTTCTAACCTGATTCTAGACGCCAACGCCTTCAAGGAGGCCTTCGAGAAGGCCCAACAGGAGAACGAGAAGCTCTTCGCCGCTCAGGAGTAAACAGCTCCCTTTCTCATTGCTGATTTCTCGAGAAAGTGTAGAGAGACACAACCATTCTGCACTAGGCATTCATGACCTTTGTCTCTATGCAACGTCCAGGAGCTTGCTCTCGAAAAAAACAACTCCCCCATTCTCGCCCCCTTCCAAATCGTTTCACCCCATCGCCCCATCCCTTTGAATTCCATTCCAATAAACCCCCGATCCCCTACGACGCGACGAGGCGAGGCAGCAGTTATGAATATGCTCCTCGCATGCTATCGTGAGCCATGCAGTCTACGAAATGGAGGGCAGTTCCCTGACGTTGGTGGTTCGCAGTTTGGCTGTAGATAGACATTTCCCCACCGAATATACACCCTGCACATCGCCATACCCTGATATAAGTAATTTATGACGACTATACCGGTTTGCCCACAATGCACCATGATAAACCAGCAACGAGCTTAGTGAAATTGCAAGTAGCCCAATTGCACATGTGTAGGAGAATGCAGGAAGCTTCTATACTTTTCGGTGGAACAGACTGCTCTGGTCTGAATCCAGATTCGGCTTTGCAATGAATCAGCCATCCTCCATAATACATAGACTATGGACCGTATTATAGACAATAGTGTAGACCACAGTATAGACCACAGTGTAGACTTGTAAAATATCTGTCTACTGCTGCATCTCAATCAATCACAAGATCCGTATTTCGGGTGTCTCAGATCAAAGGTAGATGGTTTCTATATTCATATATTCGTATATCTTGCATTGACATAGATGTAGTTGAATATCTATGAATGTAATATATTAAAAGTCGACTTAAACAGACGGCGTGAATAGTGTCGAGTTCATAGAAATGGGGAGACAAACATGGGCCCTCGCCGACTTCACCTACACATTTCCCCTCCAATTTGCAACAACCACCTCAAATCGATTGGCGTCTATATACTAGAGCCACTGTCTAGTCAATCCGAAGCCGTCTATTCTGCCCTGCTTTGCATCTCCAAAATCTCATCACTCCGGCACTTGCGCGTGGAGACCGACCCCAACCCGCGCAAACTGTTCTCCGAGCAGTTACGTTCCCTTCAACATCTTTCACCCCAAAATCTAGACTAGAATCTGAAAGCTCAGTCGCTTTCACTCTTACTTTTAAAAAATGCCTGACGTGAGTCACTCCCCCCATCGTTCTGCGAAGGGACTGCACCAGGACTGTGGGATTGTCACCGCGAGCTCTGCTTGCAGGTCTAACCCGGTTGCCTCTTGGGATATCCTAGCTTTCGCCCAATCAAGCTCTAGCTAATACATCTCGCCATACCTTAGGTCAAGCGTACCGTCCGCCTCATCACTGAGCAGCACATCATGTACGTGCCATCCTCCCCTCCCTTCCTGCCCCGACCAAGCGCGCCTTCCCACACTCCCCACACTGGTCTTTAAGACTCTACTCATGTGCCTTATGACACGCGAGCAAGGACATACAATGCGCGCATGTGCGAGCATCACCAACATCTTCCCCCGTTTCCCGTCACCCGCCTTCCTCCGCCTCCACCACCTCCGCCGAACACCTACATATACACAAAGCATTTTGTTCAAAGCACAAGCTAACATGAATCTTCCCTCTCAATAGTGACAAGCCATCGGAAGTCGAGGGCTTCCCTCAGCGCTCGTGGCACATTGAGGTCTGGCTCGTCAACGACAAGGGCGAGTTGGTTCCAGCCAATGTCTTTGACAAGGTCACTTTCCACCTGCACCCAAGTTTCGGTGAACGCGCAACCCAGAGTACGTTGTGGTCCCAATTGGCCAGTTTCACCGTGACCTGTCCTTCCCCTACAATGCTCAACGGCGGAGCGGTCTCTCAATTTGTGTCTGGGATCTTATGCTGACGCAGTCAACCTTTACTTCAACAGCCTTCAGGAACCCTCCTTTCCGTATTGCTGAGGAGGGATGGGGTGAATTCGACATGTCTATCGAGCTCACCGCTGACAAGTCTTATACCATTGGCCATGACCTGAACTTCGCCCAGACCCGCTACGAATCCAAGCATGTTATCGTGAGTATAGCGTCTATATTAGACAGGATATACCGCTGGAAAAGGATTTCGCTCTGACCGGTGACGACCATTTTGTTACAGACTTTCAAGAACCCCAAGCCGCCTCTGATGGCCGCTCTCCGCGAGTCGGGACCTGTTCCCGGCGACGAGAACGGAGTGAAGTCCAAGCGTCCTCTTGCTGGTGAGGAGAGCGCCAAGAAGAAGCGCAGCCGCACGGAAAAGAATGTAAGTTTGTTCATTGGTTTGTGCTTGGCTGTGAGACTGACTTGTATACACCAGGTCGATATGGACAAGCTTGCCGAAGGACTCCAGAAGCTCAACGAGGATGATCTCCTGCAGGTTGTGCAGATGGTGCATGATCACAAGGCTGCAGACTCATACACGAAGAACGACGTCGAGCGTAAGTCAATCCCGTGAACTTTTAGGAGAACAATCACCTCTTCTTCGTCTACTTTTTAAACAAGCAACCCACTCACGACCCTTTTACAGTTGGAGAATTCCACGTCGACCTCTATACCCTCCCAGACGCACTGATCAAAATGCTCTGGGATTTCACAGCGGAGCGTGGAGCCCTCTAAAAGGGCTTAACACCGAGCCAAGAGAAAAAGAACGCGTGAAGAAGAGCAGGCGTGAATAAGTATCCAATTCTCTCCTGTTTTCTTCTACCTACATCTTCATCTATATGTCTCGTCTCTCCGCTGTGTCTACACGACACGATATGTCCTGTCCCGCTTTTTATTAGTTCGCATGCTTCTCTCTATCTCTCCTGTTCTTCTTTTTCTTTCGTTTTCTCGTCTTTTGACAACCCCGGGGAGTTAGCGGACCGTCGAAGGAAATTGGATGGCTCTCTTTTTTCTTTTTTCTTTCTGCTTCTTGCCTCTGCCTGAGCTTTCTGCTGCTGCTCGCTGGATAGTATGGATCTGATACCAATCTTGATAACACTTGATTTTTGCTGAGGTTCCTTCTTTGTAGGGTTTTGGTGTAGGGAATATACGGGTTTTGTATAGATCTGTGTAGAGTCGAGAAGGGATATAGGTTTATTTCTCTACAATCGACAAGGAATACGGAAACTGGTGGTATCTTCCATGGCCCTGAATCTCAGACTGTTGTGCTCGAGAGTAAGTAGTATAGGTAGTTTAGCAAGATGTCTACATGACTATGAAAGCAAAAAGAGAATAACTTGTTAGAAAAGACCTTCATTTCAGAAATAACAAGCATGGGATATCTAAACCAACAAAAATCGAGTCCAGCCCCGAGCAGTAACAAAGAAAATAAAATATCAGACAAGGCAAGAAGAGAAAGCAGAGCAGCCACGTCCCATGTCCAATGCGACAAAATAGTATCCAGACCATCGGCCAACCAAGTCCAACCCCCGTTTCTAGGGACAAACGCCGACATGCAAGACCCATGTTTCCTTTTTTTTTTTTTTTTTTTTCCTGTGCAGCTAGTGCATCTAGTGTATCCATCAATGATCTGAGACAAAAAGGATATAGAGAGAAGAGGGGGGTTTGTAGGGAGAGCGAGTAAAAGACAAAACGAGAGGCAAAAGAAAGACAGGCCCTGAAAAGAAGACCCCCGGACAGCCATGACGCCTTGCTACCACCCAATCAGAGCGTGGTGGCTTAAATAAAGAGAGAAAAGAAAAAAAGAGAGATCAAAGCACACGATTTCTAGAAATGCACATCAGTATCAGAGTATTTGGAATGGAACAAACAATGAAGAGAATAGCAAAGAACATACAGCTTCAGGAGGTCTTCTAGACTATCAGCGCTGCAGCTCCGACCACGGGGAATGCTGCGCAGGACATCGACAATGGTAGCGAAGACGTCGCCACCCCGGTAGGCTAGGATAGCAGGGGCCTTGATATGATCCATCTCAGCGATATCCTGATGCAACTTGACGAAGCGGGTAGTGGGTTGTCTGCGGGCGATAGTGACGAGGCATTCTTCCACGATGGCGCTGTCATCCGACTGAACAAAACACAGTTAGCATGGTCCACCCAATTCAAAATCGAATGTGATATGTCACATCTTCCTCTCTCTCCGCCTGTAGACTCAAGGGGTACAGTATAAGTAGATCAAACATACCTTGTGGTCATAGATACAAACAACAACAACCGTCTCAGAAGTAACCTTCTCAATGGCATCAAGATACCCCACCGCATCAACATTCTCAACAGACCCAAACCGTCTCCCGCGGGGACTCAATCGACGGTGACCGCGGCCCTGCAGCTCCTGCATCCTCGACGCCCGCCACTTCCGCAGGAACCGCGCCTCATCGTCGTCGTCGCTAGCCGAGGACGCCTCAGCATGCGGCGAGTCATCGCGGGTCTTTGCACCGAAAGAGGGCCCATTGCCGTCAAATCCGGCAGCATTAAGGAGCGTACGACGGAACGACTTCTTCCTCGCCCGTTCAAAGGCCTGCGCATCGGCAATGACACCCTTCGGACCGGTATTAGCGTCGTAGACGGTATTCGGCACGTGGTAGTTCGCCGTCCGGGACGAGACCATGTTGTCGTCTGAGAAGTCTTCCTCGTCGGAGGAGTCGTGGATTTTGCGCTGGCGGAGGTTTTTGGTTGTTGCTTCGTCGGAGTACTGGGCGTCTGAGTCTGAGTGATTGTTGTGTTCGTGGTCTTCAGGGTGGGTGGCGAAGCGGGAACGGTTACTGTTCACCAGCTGGTTAAATTCGTCCTGGGCGGACATGGCGAAAGCGAGGGGTTGGATTGATTTAAAGCTGGGGTGAGAGTTTGGAGCCCGACAAGGATGAGGAGGAACTGGTCTTCCCCTGAAACGGAGATGGGGCTGTGGTAGGCAGAGATCGTCATGAAACCGGGAGCCCCTTTTCGCGTTTCAGACTGTTCCCGAACACCCGAAGAATGTTCTTTTCTTTTTGTCGACTGTAGTTAAGTTACTGAATTTAGTTATGTAGTGTGCCTATATCTTCTATTTACCTTCATCGGTTCAGAGAATATCTAAATCAAGAGTACTCGATATCAGCTTAACTCGTCTGGACTGCAATATCAAGGTTTATACATAGCAAAGCCCTCACGTTTCAGCACTTCACCCTCAGCGGCAACAAGGCAAACATATCCGTCGATCAATCTCGTATCCCAACGTGTACAAGGTGCCTATCAAGCCCAATGCAGCAAACGGTCTATCCCTTGCTTCGAGCACGCGGCACACCCCCGAAATAAAAGTGCTAAAAGGATAACGCAGATCGATTCTCCACGTTAACATCCACTTACTTGCATCGAGTCTGCCCACATCTAGTCCGATGTGCCGGTCGAAATAGCGTCTGGCCCATTGGCAACGCCGGCGATGCTGCTGTTTTGAGCTGGAGACGCCGTTTCGGCCCCCATCTTGCACTGCTGATCTGCTCCTGTGGGTCAGGGTTTTTTGATATTTTTGATATTTTGCGATTGTTTATTGGAGGTGGACTGGCTCTACTGGTTCGAAGGGTGAGTTTGAGCTTTTAGGGTTGGGTTTGGGTTTGGTAGGTTAAGTTGCAGAGTAGTTCCAGGTGAGAACTAGAGAGTATATGTATAGGGCATTCGTATACCTCGCATAGGAGGGGGTTCATATTCATGTTCATGTTTGCTTGCGGTTTTAGTATCAGGTTTCCAGTTTCCAATTTCTGTTTGCTGTTTCTATTTCTAGTAATACCAATGTCTCTCCCAGCCATTCCCCGTCCCTTGTCCAAGATTCGAGATATTAACCTCCTTAGAACCTGCCCTCGGCGTGTTCACGAGGACACTGACGTACCTTGTTTCATGTCTAGCCCGAGAAGAGTCTTTGTTCAAGGATCATCGCTCTACAGTATGTGACGTATCTGATGTTGTTGGCAGGGAAGAGTGGTATATCTCTAAGGGGGGACGCTGTTGCGAGTTCATATTTGAGTCTCCGAGGTTGGTCCGTGGTTACTACTGTTTCCTGTTTCTCGGTTTGTGAGATGAAGCTGTATGGTTTCAACTTGTTATCTATGTGCTGGCAGGGGAAGGGTTAGGAGGTAGGTTGTCTGTTGGTGTTTAGGGTTGAAGTCTTTACTTCTGACTCCCCTGACCGTGTGGATGTTGAGGCTGAGCCTACGTGTACAGCTTTATACTTGGCCTCACATGACTGACATCCGGAGGTACACTCTGCGCTGCTCTACTCTTCTACTTTACCGCAACCGAAGATCAAGACCGTGTGTATGCATGTCCTATCTCTGATGCTCACGCCACGCTCGCACATAACCAAGGCCAGGCAAAAACATGCTGCATATCGACCATCACCTCCCGTTGGAGCAGGAACCAAGAAGCAAAAAAGTGAACTAATGGAGATTGGAGCTGCTCGAACCATAAAAAAAAATCCGACACCGACGAATCCCGGAGACAAGAGATTCCAACGCAAGAGACAGTAAGTACAGCAGACTCTTTCTTTAGGAGAGACAAAAAACGATGAAAAAGGAAAATTGAAAAAGTTAAAAGAAAAAAGAAATGGGAAAGGAGAAGGGAGGGGAATCGACACAGGTAAATCAGCGAGAAATGGCCAAAATCCAGCAACCAGGTCCTCCTTTGCCTTCGCCAAGAAAATACATGCCGAGACCGATGAGGCAACCCAGAACAAGAAGAGAATAAAAGGTGAACTGAAGGGGGGATAAAAAAATTTCAAAAGACGGGGGAAGGGGGAAAGGGCATCGAGAAGTCGAGAAATGGAGAAACCAGGTCGCGGAAGCATCAGACATCATCTCGCTGTACAACCGACAACCCAGCTTGCGCTCTCGTCATATCCAAACAAATATTGTGTCATCGCTATCGTTTGTTCGCCCGGGACAGGCTCCCAAGGCGCCTCCACCTCTTCCTATCGCAACCGATGTCTGCGCCGAGTGTGTGGGTGTCCTAAGGGATTCCCCGTTTGATTATTATCGTATGGCGGAGATTCGAGCCATCGAATCAAGTAAAAAGTCGAAGAAGAGCATTGCAGAATGATCGACACGGGGTATCTTGCGTTTTGTTTTTGGTTTACCAGGCCCAGACCTTGAGCTGTAGAGAGGAGAGTCGTTAGTAGGTATTCCAAGGAAATGTCGGAGGAGACTTACGAGAGAATCCCAAGATCCAGTGCACAGACTGATGCCATCGTTGCTGACACCGAGGCAGCTAACGCGGTTGTCGTGGCCGCTCAAGGAACCAACCTTGTCACCGCGGAGAACATCCCATACCTGAATTGATATTAGTTGGGTTGGGTAAACAAATTCGAGATCAACATACCTTGCACTCGAAATCGTCGTATCCTGCGAAGAGTAACCGGCCAGAGACGGAGAAAGCAACGGAGGTGATACCGCACAGGACTTGGTCGCTCTGTAAGAAAAAAAACCACAAATTAGTTTCCGTCCAATTTAAATCGAGTCGTAGCACCAAATAATTACCTGGTAGATGTTAAGTTCGCGGTCGGCACGGATATCGAACAGACGGCAAGAAGTGTCATCAGAACCAGTACCAAAGGCGTTACCATCAGGGAAGAACTGAATAGCGTTGATGTCGGACTCGTGTCCGGCGAAAGTCTGAACGGCCTTGCCGGTACGGATATCCCACAATTTAGCGAAAGCGTCGCAAGCACCGGAAACAAATATGTTCTGGTTTGTCGGGTTGATACTGATCGACATCACATCACCGAGGTGGTCGGCGAACTCGGTCACCTTGGATCCGGACTCGATATCCCACAGCATACAGGTCATGTCACCGGACGAGGTAATGATGCGGCGGTCGTTGATGAAGCGACAGCAAGAGAGATATCCCGAGTGTCCGGACAGCTCGCGCGCGACACGAGTCGGGCCTTCGCGCGAGGACAGGTTGTAAATGGAACAAATATTGTCGAGACCACCGCACGCCACGTAGTTTCCGCTCGGGGCGTAGGCACAAGTCATAACCCACGAGGAGCGGAGGGGAATCGCATGAACTTTGTTTGTGGTGTAGGCATCCCAGATGATGAGCTTTCCGTCCTGCGAGGCTGAGACGAGGTGGCGGCGGTCGGTGGACCAGTGCATAGCGTAGATCTTAGCAAGGTGGCCCTTCAGCGTCCGTCGAGGCTTCATGCCAATTCGTGGTAGGGCATCGGTCTGGTCCTGCGCGACTTGGCGGACTGGAAACGGGGGTAAAAGGTCAGTCACGGTGAATCAATCTCGCGGGATGCAGCATTTCCCTGCCACATCCTGGATGTGACAGTAGATAGGGGAACATACGGGAAGAGTCGGCCAGCTCATCCTTTCTGCGCTTGATCTTGTCCTTCAAACCCTCGGCTTCGCGCCTGGCCGCGGTGATCTTGGCCTGCATCTGCTCGCCGCTCATATCGGCCATTTTATCAGGTCGCCCAGGGAAGTACAATTGAAAGTGAAACCGAGAGGAGGAGAGGAGAAGAAAAGAGAGAAGAGCCTCAGGCTTGGATCATAATACGGGGGGGGAAGAATGGGAGAGGAACAGGGGGTGAGAGGGAGAGGAGGCGTATTACCGGCTAGTGGTAATCGATGACATCGGTACCATTTATAAGCCTACTTTCTACTGCAAAGTTTGAAATAAGTAAATATGTACTACAATTAATTCAGTTATTGATATTGTTCTATTCAATCTGGTCTTCGATCTCAGTTTGATGTTCTTTGTTCTTCAAGGTGGCGGCGGGCCAAATTCACCCTGTTAGACCAATACACATTCAATACGAAGTACTTCCATACACACAGTCCCCAGGTACATAAAGGTCTTCTTTTCTTATGTTGATATCAGAACTGAAGCTGACATTATTACGGAGTACATGGCTATATACCTACATGTAGATACTGCATGTATTGTATTAGGGGCTCAGGGGTGGGAGCCACTCCGGAAAAAAACACGCACCACCAATAAAACATCTCCTGATAGTCTGAACCCAGGACCACACGGAGGAATCAGTGGGAAATTGTGGCGCTATGGATCGGCTTTGGTACTAAAGTCACTAGTCTCGAAGACTTAAGACATTCTCATAACATTGGATTACAGTTAGTTAACCGCCGCGGCTCTCAGTTTCTCGCGGCTATCACTGACATATCTTTTCTCCCTTGCGCCAATCCATTTTTCGAGTTTTGGCGGAGATTGGTTAAGTCCGCTATGGAGTCCAATGTATATTGTGCATGCACTAGCCTAGTGGGACTATGTAGACTTACAAACATAAGTTATAAGTTACTGGCATCCCTTATACAGGGGGCCTAGATAGTATGCAGAACAGAGGGACACGGTCCCTCAATACGGGCATGCAGAGTATCGTAAGCGCATTTCATCTAAATTGGCGGTTTCCAGTCCCCACCTCGCCGATGCTCGGCTTTCTAATTGCTCCTTCATCTTCATATACTCCTCCTATTCCGTACACATATATATACATACCATGGACAAGGACATGGAAGACACGCAGGTTCGTTACACTCCGATTTACATTTACAGTAATGACACCGCCAAGATCCCCGCTCTGGATCTACATGGACCCCAGTGCAAATCCTCATCTGCGGACATATAGGAGATGACTTCGGCACGAGTCATGGGCAACTGAAACCAATGCTTTGGATTCGGAGATCATCTCGCTTGCTAGAACCCATTGGATCAGAATAACGCTGACCTGTCGGTCCAACAAGGATTTGGCTGTATGTACAGTCATGATTCAAACCCTCGGCCCAGGGAGGCGCAACCAGTTCAGCCCGGGGCTGCAAGGCAGCTGTCAAACTGAGATCATCGAGAGATCAATGGTTTCTCCCAACTCCGGAGCCCTGGAGAATCAAAGCACTTACTAATCTCGGACCTCAACATGTATCTTACTACCAATGGTATTTCAACTGTCTGACCCTGGTCCATATTCGACGTAAGTCAGCTAAAAAGAAAGCAAAGATATCGGAGTACAAGAGATTATCTTCCTATCTGCGTTACCGTCTCCACGGCCTCATGGAGATCAAGCCCTTCAAAGCCAGGACCAGCTATAGTTTGTGTTATATCCCACCTCGAGTACTGGGCTAAATCTCCTGGCTGAATCTTTTGATCCAAGAAGGCCTATGGGGCTTATCTCAGTCATCGGATCGATCTTCTCCCAGGCAAACGGCGTTGCTGGTTACTCAGGTGGCTGGCGATCGGAAATCGATATAGGACGACTGAATATGCTTTGAAGAGCATGTCCTGGCAGCGAGGTACAGAGTTCTGTGCACAAGATTAACGTACGCATTGAGCCCTTTATATGAATCTGTTCCTGTGATCTAAGTATGGTGCATTAGTAACCTCTTGCGTTCGATATTGGAAGGTCAGAAAAGGCGCCACTCAAGCTCCTTGGCAAGATGTTCAGGTGATAATGAAAGTCAATTTAATACGTTCGTATCAGCGAATAATGGTTGATCCCGCAGAAACCATATTGCTCTATTAGTTCTATTATTGTTATATAGGTTAGATAAGCCTGCTACGGTACACTATTGCAGACATTCATTATTTACTACGTTATATATAATAGACTGGAGAGCCCCTTTTCAAAGGGGATTATGATATGCATAGGTGGACCAAACGCACAGTTCACATAAAGCCCATTGTCACGATCGAAGACCAAAGTCGACAATAAGCCGAGAACTAGCCGTTGAAGCCTCTAATTGAGGCCGATCCTGAATATTGAGAACGGAGCTCGGCACATAATAAGAGGGATGTTAGAACCGAGCTAGAGGAAATCAGCGTTGGGCTAGAACTGCTGATCTTCTGGAAAAAGGGGCCCAACAACCACACGTATCCTAACTGTAGTGCTCCCTCTCATGAGGCAAACATCTTGAAACCCCGCAAGTGCATAAGGCGGATATGGCTTCCCGGCAGTTCGCAGGTGTTCTAATCTTAGCCCGTCTGTGCGCCACACAGTTGCAAGCGCGTGTGAACCCTGTCGGAGATGTGATAGAGGCCCTTGGGGGCCAATGCTATTTCTTCTGCGGGGATTTTGGGGCTGATCTTACGCCTCTGACACTTGTTGCTAAGTTTAATTCTCTCAAAATAAACATCCCTGTCCCCAGGGCTGATGAAACAGCGTTAAGGGAGTATCAGAGTGTGTTCGGCACGTTAGTACTGATCAATTCCACATGATGATATTGGCAGGGGAAGGACCAGGCTAGACTGGGCTGCCGTCGGTTGTCCTTGTACTATTGCCTATTGGACAGGGTCTATTCTGCTATAGTGTGTAGGCACGTCTCATACCTGGGGTAATGATATACGAATAGCACCATGCAGCAGTATACATACAAATACCTCCAATCCCTTGGTCTTGTGCTCCGGTGCATTTTCGATGTGTTGACGTCGATAAAATTTAGATGTAACACAACTCATTTCTCTTGTCGATCCATCACTTCGGATATGAGGCTTCAGTGACCCCGAGTGTGGGGTGTTTGAGGACTTCTTCCAGTCAGGAGAAATGGCCGAAGCTATTTGAATAGTTCCTAGGAGTCATTGGTGGGTTCGTGTGCTGGTCACTGCTTGAGATCTACAGTGGCCTCCGCTCGTGCCGAATCGAGCCCGTCATACATGTAATTAATCAGGCGGCATCATGTTTGGTGATCGCTGAGTTGAAGTATTTGATCTGACATGGAAATCAAGGATAAATAGCCCTGTGACTAGGCACACTTATGCCAGCTGGTATGTTAAGGGATATGTGATTTCATCCTGGTGGTAACAGGGTACTCAATGAGAGAACCATTTCAGTAAACAATAGACGGAAAACAACAGATAACAGAAAAAGAAGAGAGGGAGATGCAGAATATAACACAAAAATAAAAGACAGATAGCAAGCAGGACCAAAATAGCCAGAGTACAGTGGCCAAAATAGCCCTGGAGAGAGTGGCGGGTATATCGTAATATTAAGGAGGCACCTGACGCTCTCCGCTTTCGCCTTCTTGAAACCTCTTCCTCCCACCCCCATCGCCATCCCCATCTCTATTGCAAACTTCAAGACGACTCAGTTCTTCATCTGCATTCTGCCCTTCTTTCCCTTTTTCTTTCATTAAGAGCCCTTGGGACCCCCAGCTTTTGTCCGGCCTCGAACCCTTTCGCCCCTTCTGGGAGTCATCGAATTTTATCGCCAGCGAGCCCATCGGTGACCTATATACCGTCGCCATTCGTGCGCCTGATGTCTTTGGTTTGATTTCTTCTCTAATCAGCGAGGAATCCCTAAAAACAGTGGGCGTCATCCCATTTGGTTAGGGGGCTGAATAAATCCAATCCCACGTCGGACATCGTCAAGGTCCTCGCCTTTTGCATCTCTTCGCCTCTATATGCTATTTTGCATATCCCGGCTCTACTACATTTAGCACCTCGTTTTTCCCGCAGCGTTTTCTCGTCCGTCATTCACCATGCGGGAAGTCAACTTTAGTATCCCTAATGTGAACAAGGCCTCGGTCAACATCACAACAACTCTCTATGACCGCCGTGCCCTTGACTGCACATCGACTCTACCGCTCATCAACTCTCTCAACCACCTTGCGTACCTCACAACCTCCTCCGCCCGGATTCGAGATATCCTCACCGTCGATGGCGGCATCGAGCGACTCGTGTGCATCCTTAAGGAGGGCCGAAGCAAAGATTTGATGGAAATGTGGAAATGGAGCCTCGCTTTCCAGTGTGTCGTGAACATTGGCGTGCGTGGCTCCGAGGGTGTCCGGACTCGAGTTGTGGAAGCCGACATGGTGCCGGTCATCGCCACCATTCTCAGCAACTATATCAAAGTGGTGGACAAGGTGCGATCTCGCAATGGACCATCCGCCGACACCGAGGACAAGGAGAATGAGGAGTCGTCCAAGGATGCCAAATCCAGAACCCACACAGAACCCTCTACTCGATCGACCCGTTCCACCCGTTCCACGCCCGCCTCTGCGGATAACCTGATCGAGTCACACTCCCAGGCCGAGTCACATCATTCTCGCCGACAAGCCCCTCCTCCGAGTATCGAAATCCCACAACCGTTCTATCAGGATAGCCAGCCTACCGACTCCGATGCCATGGATGTCACGACTTCTCCTCCCCGCGCGCCCATGACATCGCCCCCCGAACGCAGTACCTTTGGCCAGGAAGCCCACAACCACGGACGATTCCCACGGGCTGGCCATAGCCTACGGTCGATGCAACCTCTTGCCACCGCCGTTCCCACGATGGATACCGCAGATGGATTTGGACTGCGCCCTGTGCGGGACGCTGAGCGTCTTCCTAGCATGCTTCCTGGCCTGCAGACTGGAATCGTCTCCCAACCCGACTCCCCGACCACTCCAAGTGGACCTCTCCACGCACAACCCCGCCACCTACAAACAGCCGCCGCTAGACAACGCCCTTCAATCCGCCAGCAGATGTCGGCGTCCGGTGAATCGGACGACGCCAATGGCGAGGATTCTACCATGGGAGAAGATAGCACTATGGGACAACCCGCTCAAACTATCGTTGGACTTCCCAATCGGATGGAGCTTGACGATGCTGATGAGAATGAGACAACGATGATTGATGATATGTCTACCACCCACGACCTGACAGTGACCGATCCCTCTGAGGAAGGTGGCCAGGAAGTGGAGACCTTCAACATCGCTCGTCGTTCTGTAGATGGCAGCATCATTAATAACGAAACCACCCAGGCCAATGGCGGATTGGGTCTTTCTCCTGCGCAAGCCACAAACAACCCTAATTCTCCTACCATCGCACCCAGCCCTTACGCCTTGTACCTCCGTGACCGAAGTGCCCCCGCAACACAAGGAGTGCTGACAACCATGCCTCGTGACGAGGACGTCCTGATGTCCTTGCAGCTCTTGGCATACGTCTCCAAGTACTGCAACCTCCGTGAATACTTCCAGTCCTCGCATCTTGTCCCGAAGTTGAAGATTGATCATGAACTCCATCTCCTGGATGAGAACACTGATCTTTCTTCGCCGGTCGAGATCGAGGAGGAAGAGGAGTACCTGCTGCCCGAAGACCTCAACATCTTTCCCTTGGTGGAGAAGTTCACTGTTCGACATCATTCCAAGGACATGCAGTACTGGGCGTGCGTGGTCATGAGAAACCTCTGCCGCAAGGATGAAGCGAGAGGTGGCATTCGCCAGTGCGCCTACTACAAGTGCGGCAAGTGGGAGGTGTTCCAGCGTCAGTTCGCCAAGTGTCGGCGCTGCCGTCGCACCAAGTACTGCAGCAAAGACTGCCAGAAATCAGCATGGTTCTACCACCGGCACTGGTGCCACACGACCCCTTGATACGACCCAATCACCTGAAAGGAGTTTCATTTTTGATTTCCATGCATACCGGCTCGCATAGCGTCATATCCGTCACGCGTCTCCCTTATTCTGTTCCAAGGTCTCACGTCTCCCTTGCGCATGGCATTTCAAAATCTGGCGGCGTTTCCAATTCGACCCGAAGATACCTCTTACATGTTGTCTGGCATTATTTTCTTTCTTATTCCCTTTCTCGCACAGCTTGCCTTGCATCTTGGTTTATTGACGTGAGGCCCACATCTGCGAGCCATCCTTTTCATTGCCCATACCAATTTCTTTAAACCATCTGTCATGACTGTACATCTCATTCTGCGCTGGGAATTCTTCCCTCTGCTTTCGTCCCCTCGGGGGCTATTACGTTTTCGCTCATAACTAATTGTGTGCTGTCACGAGTTTCTTATTTGTCAGTAGATGGGCAGCATTACCGACAACTTCAGCCGCATCCCGGCCTTCTGAAGCATTTCAATCTGGTGCGCATCTCATCTATGATTCTGATTTATGTCTGGAGGTTTTCTCAGCTGTGTATTTGCACTTTGCCACAACGGCACCGGCGTTTCATAATCCATTCTCATTCTTCAATCATTCAGTGTTTCTGCAATATGCTTGAATACATAAGCCCGTAAGCTAGTAACTAGCGTCCGTAACACATCGCATATCCTATACCACACCACATATCACATATCACCCCCTCATTCATCCTTCTTAAATCCATATGTAGCCTCCAACCTAGACATAAGATGCTCATGAGCAGTCAAAGGCCTCTTCCCAGCCTCCAAACTCCCAGCCCCACCCCCAAACCCAACAATGCCCCCCTCCCCAATGTCCCCAGTCCTCTCCCGATGCAAACGAACAACCTCCCCAGGAACAGGAACCAACTCCGTCGCATCAACCGGATGGCAAAAGTAAACAAGCGTATACCTATCCTGAGGATCCTCACACCTCTGCTCAGCTAACGGAAACACAACACGGTGCACAGTCGACTTGAGCAACCCGTCCGTCCAGTAACTCAACAGATCACCGATATTCACCAGGATTGGTGGGAATGGGTACTTCTTTTTCTCTACCTCGCTTCCATTGCCGGGGATTATGGGAACGGGTGCCCAGGTCTTTTCCGGTGTTAGGATTTCTAGACCTGGTTGGCCCGGTCGTTGAAAGAGCAGGGTTATACTGCCGTAGTCGGAGTGTGCGCCTGCTCGCACATCTTTGTCGTGTTTGTAGCTTTTTGTTGCTTCGCTTTTTAGTGATGGGTAGTATAGGTAGCGGAGGATGCTGCCAGTTGGTCCTGTTGTCGGGTCGTGCCGGGTTGTGAAGAAGTCTTCGTTTATCTGTGTTATGTTAGGGTTGGTATATATAGAGGGGATGGGGATGGGGTTGCGCACTTCCAGGCCTAAGGCTAGCAGAGTCAGGATTCGGGTGCAGGTCTTATTGCAGAGACCGGCAAAGTCGTTGATCTCGCTTTCGTGTGGCTTCAGTGAGGGTGGGAGTGGTTGTTGGGCTTTGCCGTCTTTAAAGTCGCCGAAGTTCATGGCTCTGTTTGAGGGCTTAGCGAATGTGCCGGTTGTTAGTGGTTTAGGTTTGGCTGCATACTCTTTGAAGTCGCCTGTCTGTTTTCATAGTCAGTATCGTGATGTATACTCTATGGAGTAGGGATACAAGTTATGACTTACCCGTTGATGCTCGGGATCTAGCGTTTCGATATGCATGCCAGACCAACCGCGATTCTAGTGAGGTCAGCCTCTGTTTGGCTGTCATATATATGTATGCTGTAGGCTCAAGGTGTTACACATTTGGCTCAATCCGGCACATTTCCTTCTCAGCTGCGGGAGATGCAAAGAACTTCTTTGACTATATAGACGGTTAGCCATCATATATATCGTCATAGAGGTATAGACTTACCAGTTCAAACCCATGATCCACATCTTCAGCAGTAAAATCAGTGCCCTTGCTGTTGACGTACAGAAAGCCATACTTGGCGGCGGCATCCAGCATTGCCTTCCCCACCGCGGGGTCGTGGGGATTGGAGATGTCAATGACAGGGAGCTCGATTGGGGTTGGTTCGGCCATTTTGACGAGGATTAGAACAATAGTTACAGACTGGAGGCTTAGGTGAATATATATAGAGAGATGTGTTGGTGGGCCCGCGTATCGTTCAATATATATTTGGCCAATCCAGTTGTCTCTTCACTGGCTCGGCTCTCTTAGTTTCGCCTTTTCCGAGCACAGGCGACATCCGACTACTTAGGAGTAGATAACCCCAAATATCATGATCTTAAACGTAATTGGATCAGTGTGATATGACCTCTACCTTGCCTGTTTCTATTTATACAAGTAGCTTCCAAGGTTAGATATGGAGATTGGGGATGACTTCATGATTATGCGCCGACAGATACTGAAATCTAGCATATTTCAACTTACTACAGTAAATAATAAGGGAAAACAACCATACTGTAGTGGCATACTCAGTAGAAGGGGATGTGATACAGGCAAAAAAACAGGCCAACTCCGCCTTCTGCCCCCCTCGTGCCTTCACCCTCTCCAACCCCAACCACCACAGCTTTCGTCGCATTCTCGAGCTTTCAATCTGCTCTCCTGACCCTTTCATATCTATCGCTACCTATCGCCTGTCTTCCCTCTGGGCTTTGCTGTCCGGCGCCGGCCGTTCTTTTAGCCCGTGACAGCTCCAAACATGCCGAGTACCAACCCTGAGCTCCACTGCAATCGCATCGACTAACTTCAACCCTCAATTAGTCCGTCCTTTTGATGAATGGGCCGTGACCCGCGCACAGTCCCTCCCCCTCTCAGCTTTGAAGGGGGCTATCGTCGGTATCGATGCGTCGCACTACATCAACCAACACCTTATCAACCAGTCAACCCGCGAAGCCCTCCTGGGCGCACTCGGCGGCTTCCCTTTCGCCCTGAGAACCAACATCGAGAAGGAACTACAGACTTTCAAGAGCCTCGGCGTCGCCTGCATCTTTGTATTCAATGGCCTTGATTTCGGCAAGAAGGAACAGCGCCCCCAACCCACATCGTCGCGGTCTTTCGAACAAGCCTGGGAACTTTATGACCAACAGCAAGCCGACCAGGTTGTCGACGCCTTCAGCAGTGCTGGTATGATATCTTATTATTCGTCTTTTTTCCCTGTCGGCAGTCCCTCGTTCTCCCCCATCCACTGGACTCGACCAAGCATCCCAACAACCGCTGACCCGAAGCAACACCCAGGAACCCCACCGCCGGAGACCCTCTTCAAGTTCCTGCAACGGATCTTGACCCAAAATGGTGTCGAATTCATGGTCGCGCCCTACAGCGCCGCGGCTCAGGTGAGTAGCCATTGTGTCATGGCCGGGAGTGAGATCTGACCAATGCATCCGAACAGCTCTCCTACCTTGCTCGTGGTCCCAACCCTGTAGTCGATGCCGTGTACGCCCCATCCGAAGCTCTTCTGTTTGATCTTGACAAGCTGGTCACCCGCATCGACACCGAACCCGCGCAATTCTTCTGGATCACGAAACAAACCTGCCAGGAAGAGCTGGGTCGACTCACAAATGATCAATTCCTGGACTTTTGCTTACTACTCGGTTCTCCCTTCCTGCGTTCTTTCCCGCTTTTCGAAAACCCTGCTTATCCTGGCAAGAGCCCCAGCATTCGCGATGCTTTGCCAATGTTCAACCAGGCCGGCCGAAGTGCCTTAACACTGTGCGCACAGTTTGAAGATGATCGTCGCATTCAGGAAATTCAGTATGGAGATCGATACAAGCGCGCATACATGATCGTGAAGCATCATGTGTATATGGACGTGGACGGTCGAGTCGGACCCATGGACCCGGAGAACATTTCGTCAGACATGCACGAACTCATCGGACAGCGGCTCCCCGAAGAGCTGTATTTCTATCTATCCAAGGGCATTATTAGCGCCGATGTGCCGAACTTCCTTACATCTGGTGAGGTGCGCGCCTCGCTACCGTTAGGCACTGAAGATACCGAGATCTACCGCTCGCTCGTGGGTGACATTTTGACACCTATCCGGACTCAGTATATCTGTTTGCTAGCGAACTCGCTTCACCGATTCTACCAGACTAAAGTGATCACGATCCATCCATGGTTCGACGACAGTTCAGACAGAACAATTAACCTCAAGGGCATTCCCTCGGTCAAGGATACCATCCAGCCTTGGAAGATTCTGGGCGAGAAAGCCCCCGAGAGTGTCAAGAAGCTTCAGGCTCCTCGTGGATCTTTCAAATTTGCTGTGCAAAGCTTGAACGACTCTGACTTTGTGTCCAAGTCTTTTGCTACTAAGGAGTCACCAGTATGTTATCCAAATATGTGACGCTGATCAATTGCTAACCAAGACCAAAGCGCCTTTCATCGCAGGAGGATATCTTATCTAATGTCATGTGGCGCTTCTTGCAGCTACGCGGATATGTTGATGACAAGCACAATCTCACTACGTGGGGTAAGAGTCTGGAGCAGGCATTATCAGCTGTGGATCCTGCAGACAACCTCGAGGAGGCTATCTTCATCGCTTTTGAGATGCTCCGCCTGGATCTTCTCAACACCAAGCCCTGGTTCTCACAAGTATCTGGCGGTCCGATGCGAGGATCAGAAGAAGATAAGACTTTCAACATGCTTGTTTCCCGTGTTGCATGCGTTGGCAAATTGCAACACAAGAGCATTGGATATTCTGGTCCCCTAAGCCGTCAACTTCTTTGCTACCGCTCCTTGATCTCCGAGGTCCGCTCTGCGCTCAGGAACCTGGTTGAGGTGGTATTGACTGGTATGCTGCTCGGTGGTGACGCTGACCGGGATCGTAACGACTGGAATGAGATGGCTATCAAGTACGTATCCAGACCCCCAGTGGTTTATATTATTCTAACCTACCTGTTTAGGCTTCCCTTCATTGATGATAACGACTGTGGACTTGGAATTGCAGTCCGGACCTACCTGGACGATCTTCCGTTGCAAACAAACCCAACCTCTCCTGAGGCCCGTGCCGATGTGAAGGCAAAGGGCAAGGAATGGTTCCAGCACAGCGAGAGCTTCACTGGGAACTTGGATCTGGCTTTCAAGCTATGGGATGCGGTAAGTGCTGATAGAAGGTTCAATGTCGGACAAATACTGACCTTTGATAAAGGTCTACAAGGGAGCACACAATGCGGGCAAGGATTTCGCGGATGTTAAGTTCTGGGACGACGCGAACAAGTGGCTCTCGGAGAGACGATGATCTGATTAAGATCAATCAGCTATAACAACCAACCACGGGGATCTCGGGCTGCAGGGCTCGCAGTTGAGAATCACGCCAGAAATTCGCTTCGTGATGCCTCCAAAAATGCGATATCGGCAATTCTCCAGTGTATTACTATCTAGTAACAGACTAAAAAAAAAAAAAAAAAAAACGAAAGAAATATGAGAAACCCGATACTACCCAGACACTTATATTGGCCGATGTCGTATTGTTTGTAGCCACTGGAGATAGAGATCGATGATCTGCGGGTGGAGACACCAAGTGGCCTCTTCCGTATTGTTTTGTCAGCCAAGCGTCAACTTCAGGATCCGCCAATTCATTGTTCACTTTCTCCAAAAGCCCCCAAACACATTCACAATGGCACGTCTGAGCTTCCTGCTGGTCGGTGCCCTCACAGCCCTCAGCGGCTTCGCCAATGCAAGCTCCGCCGTCAAAGATCTAATCCCCAGCAACTTCGATGATGTCGTCCTGAAGTCCGGCAAGCCCGCACTCGTGGAGTTCTTCGCTCCCTGGTGTGGCCACTGCAAGACTCTCGCCCCAGTCTACGAGGAGCTCGCCCAGACCTTCGCCTCCGTCCAGGACAAGGTCACCGTCGCCAAGGTCGACGCTGATGCAGAGCGCTCTCTGGGCAAGCGCTTCGGTGTCCAGGGCTTCCCCACACTGAAGTGGTTCGATGGAAAGAGCGACAAGCCCGAGGAGTACAAGGGTGGCCGTGACCTTGAATCTCTGTCCGCTTTCATTACCGAGAAGACTGGCATTAAGCCTCGTGGCGCCCAGAAGGAGCCTAGCAAGGTTGAGATGCTGAACGATGCTACTTTCAAGACTACTGTTGGTGGCGATAAGAATGTTCTGGTTGCTTTCACTGCGCCGTGGTGCGGACGTGAGTTTGACCGCCCAATTATCTAGCTATCTATTTATCTTCAGATCTGGTCCGGACTGATCTGATCTAATTGTTCATCCGCTAACCATCCCAATCACTCTGAACAGACTGCAAGACTCTCGCCCCGGTCTGGGAAACTCTCGCCAACGACTTCGCCCTCGAGTCCGACGTCGTGGTCGCAAAGGTCGACGCTGAAGCCGAGAACGCCCGCGCCCTGGCCAAGGAGCAAGGCGTGACCGGATACCCAACCATTAAGTTCTTCCCCAAGGGCTCGATCGAGCCCCAGGCCTACTCCGGCGCCCGCTCCGAGGAAGCCCTGGTCAAGTTCCTGAACGAGAAGGCCGGCACCCACCGCGCCGTCGGTGGCGGTCTCGACGAGCTCGCCGGCACCATCGCTGCCCTGGACAAGATTGTTGCTGAGGGCGTCGCCGCTGGCAAGCTCGACAAGCTCGCTGCTGATGTTAAGAAGGCTGCTCAGGGTCTGCAGGATAAGTACGCCGAGTACTATATCAAGGCTGCTGAGAAGCTGAGCAAGAATGGGGAATATGCCGCTAAGGAGCTTACTCGTCTCCAGAAGATCCTGGCTAAGGGTGGTTCTGCTCCTGAGAAGTTGGATGATATTCTTTCGCGCAGTAACATTCTCCGTCGCTTTGTTGGCGAGGAGACGCATGATGAGCTTTAAACGACTTGTTCATGTTTGGATGTTATATTCGTTTGGAATTTCTTGGCTGCAAAATTTGCTATTAAGCCTGGATTCATGTTGACCATGTTGGATTCAGCCTATGAAAATATTGGCTTGATGCTGTATACTGTATGAAATGAGAAATCAAGTACCAACTCAAGGCTCTTGCCTTTACAAGTATACTGCGAGTGTACACTGGTACATGCTATGTGAATAGACCATAGATCCATGATTCAAAAGAAACAGATATGTTCCTTCTG